GGTCATGGCCACGGGAGCCAATGGTGGACTTGCCGAGTGGGACGCTAGGTCCTGTGTTGGCGGAGGTAGTGGTTGTTTACGGGGTCTTCCCCGCGTGGGACGCTCCAGTTGTGCGCTACGTGGGATAATGTGTAAAGGAGTGTGTTTATTTTTTTTCCATATCACATTTTTTCTTTCTTCCACGTTCTTCACTGCCTTCGTATCCACTCGTTTTTTTGAAAACAATAAAAGCCTTTGTGAAATGTCGGTTCAGCTCGTTCTGTTGATCGCAATTCTAAAACTATTGTCGCCTCGACGCCTATTTATTATTATTATTATTATTATTATTATTATTTTGCTTGTTCGCGTTGGCATCAACCTGCATAAAGCAGGTATATAGCCTTCGCTTAAGCTGCCATAAAAAAGAAAGCTCATCCTAAGCGAGAGGGCTAGAGGGAAATATAACGATAACGAGATACAGAATACAAAGAAATCCAATGAGTTCAACGTACAATTCAAAACAAGAAAGAAAGGAAAGAAAAACAGAGCCGAATCTACCGATTGATCCATCAATCGACAAAGGGGACTAATCCGTTAGTGTTGCAAAGTAGAAGCTGATTATAGTTGCAGATCTCCAGGCCAGGGCCAGCATATTGCCGATTCTGGATAGGTCTCCGCAGCATTTGATGTGGTAATTATCATAATGTTCGACAAAATTGTTAGAGTATCTAGTATCTAGAGTACCGAGTATCTAGTATCTAGAGTATCTAGTGTAATTGTATCCGTTATTATTGTTAAGGGTATCTAGTGTAATTGTATCCGTTATTATTGTTAAGGGTATCTAGTGTAATTGTATAACTTCAGCCATTACACACAGCACACATTAGTTCCTTCCACTTTCGACGATCCTGGGCGAGCTGCCTCATGAAATATGAAATATAGAACGAGTAAAAGACCGAGGTCCCCCGAGGTCTTTTACGAGGTCTATATTTCATATTAGGCCTTGACGGATTATGCTAGCATAATTTTTCGCATAATTCCTACCAAAATCGAATAATCGCATAATTCGAGGCAAATTGCATACGAATCACATGAATTGGAATAATCCGCTTGTTCGCATCAAATTCCATACAGTTGTACAATGTTCTACAAGTACAAGTACAAGTAGATGCACCAGGAAGTCGTAGGTTTACGACTCCCTTGATAACATGTCCAGTCCACTACAATCAGTGACGGTCGTAGCTAGGTCGGACGGTGCGTTGACCCCGTTGAACTTTTGCTACTACAGTACAACGCCCTCTACAAAAAAGCTCTTGCGCTAGTCGTCATGCATGTAGGTAGGGGGGGGGGGGGGTGGGGTGGGGGGGAGGCCCACTGTGACGAATTCCCCTGTTGTTTTGCACAGAACCATCATATACATGTACATGTACATGTACAGTTGTGGCAAGTGAAATCCGACACTTGCCATAGGGGACAGCGCCTCAAATGGACATCAATGATGTAATGCACTGCACCTAATTTGTACTATAGTATAGAGCCGTATGCATCCCAAACAGATCGAAAGGTCACACAGTTCACAAACATGGTACACATAAGGAGTATTGGTATCCAATTCCCATTCATTTTTGCCAGCACCTTTTGAACCTTGACTGTGATAAGTACGAATTCTGTCATCAGACAGATAAAGTTGTATGCAGCACATGTACTGTACGTATGCAGGGCTGCAGAGGCTGCAGGATGCACGGTGCAGTCCCTTATGCCAAGTGTCGGATTTCACTTGCCACAACTGTACATTACCAGCATATGTGAGCATAATGCGGCATAATTATGATAACTTTTAGCATAAAAATAGCATAATTCTGCAATTTTTTCAGCAATGCGAAAAGCATAATTTCACGAAAATATTAGCATAATCCGTCAAGGCCTATTTCATATATTGACCGATTATGAGGGCAATAATAGATTTATCACGACATAGCATACCTTAACTGTTTTTTGCAGTGTTTATAGGAAGAAAGGAATACTATTGTAATAGTACATAGAATAGATTTTTGGTTGGAGGAAAGCAAATCAGCACACGAGGCACAGAAGCCATCATTTCGGCTAGGTAGGCCTTGACGGATTATGCTAGTATTTTCGTTCAATTATGCTTTTCGCATTGCTGAAAAAATTGCAAAATTATGCTATTTTTATGCTAAAAGTTATCATATTATGCCGCATTATGCTCACATATGCTGCTTATGTATGATGGTTCTGTGCAAAATAACAGGGGAATTTTTTGTAGAGGGCGCTGTACTGTTGTAGCAAAAGTTCAACGGGGTCAACGCACCGTGTGACCTAGCTACGACCGTCACTGATTGTAGTGGACTGGATATGTTATCAAGGTAGTCGTACACCTACGACTTCCTAGTGCATCTACTTGTACGTGTACTTGTAGAACACTGTACAGCTGTATGGAATTTGATGCGAACAGGCGGATTATTCCAATTTATGCGATTCGTATGCAATTTGCCTCGAATTATGCCATTATTCGATTTTGGTAGGAATTATGCGAAAAATTATGCTAGCATAATCCGTCAAAGCCTACGGCTAGGCCTTTCGTGCCATTGGTATTATTACTCTTCAAGTCGAATACAACTACTTACAAGGTAGCAAGCAAGTCCTTATAACCGGCACGTTGGCGGTCAAAGCATTGGCAAAAATAGCACTTGAAAAATAGCGCTAGTGGCGATGACGATACTCGATAGTGAGAAGGACTCGGCGATACTCCGTCACCTGACATCGTCACCAGCCTGCCTAAGTGCAGTCTGCAAACATGGCACCCACTCTCACTCCAAGATTCAAGCGCGTGCGCGTAACAAATCTCACCTTGCTGTGCTCGACTGGAGCAGTGGAGGCAGTGTAAGCTGAAGCCTGAACTGTGCGTGCAAAAGAAGTATGTGCGAAAGTAATAATTACTGTAGTTGTCACTGTTTTGACATTGTACTACCGTGGTCCCCACTGTTGTCTGATACTGGTAATGTTCATTGTCTCACTGAGTCACTGTGCAGTTGGCGCCACTAGTGCTATCTTTTAAAGTGCTATTTGGTCTCTGCTCTGACCGCCAAATATGTTGTTGGCGCTACTACTAGTACTAGCGCTATTTTTCAAGTGCTATTTTTGTTAACGCTCTGCCCGCCAAAGTGCCGGTTATAAGGACTTGCTTGCTACCTTGTTAATTAACTTAATCACCATTGTATCCGACTTGAAGAGTAATGGTACGAAAGGCCTAGTCGAAATTATAAGGCTTCTGTGCTTCGTGTATTTTATTAATATTTTTACTTGGGCATTCCCAACAGACCCTACGGTCTTCTTACAGGGTTCATTTTGCAAGATGATGATGTGAAAAAGGAGAGTAAAGTTTGTACGTCCGCGTTGCAACTCGTTATGACTATGAGCACAGTTGCGTTGAGAAACAGAACCAGCTCAGGAAGCCGAGATGTGGTCGATTCAAATGCCGTTTGACGCTTGCAGTGACTCGGAGAACGGGTGTCTGTACTGTAGATCTACCTCCTTGCCAATGCGTTTTGTCACGGCTGGTAGTGACATTCCGATCCCGGGTACGTCCCGGGTGTCGTGTAGCGACCGTTACTTCAATCAATATTGCCATGGTTACATCATAGTAAAGAACTAAGTCCATGGCCTAAAAAAACACTTGTTGCAGGATGACATATTAATTATTTTAATTATTCTTATTATTATTTCTCACCGTGGCCGTTGGCCAATAAGAGAGATGTAATTAATAATGGCAAGAGTACACAACCCAAGAGTGTGCAACTCCAGCTATGGGGTCTGCGACGGCAGAACTTCACATCACGTGATGAACCCGTGCACTCTAGTGCATGATAGATACTGAGTTGTACGCATCCCAGCTTTGGGTACAACTCTCTTGTGGTCACTTTGCACTGTTTGCCAGCATAACCTTTTGAACCATGTCACGTGATGTGAAGTTCTGCCGTCGCAGCACAGCATAGAGGTTGTGCAGGCAGTTGCACACTCTTGGTTATGTACTCTCTCTGGTTATGTACTCTTGGTTATGTACTCTTGATAATGGTGATTACATGAGGCTATGAGGTAACACCAGATTAAAATATGTTGATACTGATAGTTCAAGAGTTGATCGCTAAGGGGAATTTTGAACCTTTACTTAGAGACCGCCGCTCAGGTCAGATTTTTTTGTGAGGGCCAGGGCACACGTACATGTACCTGAAGACCAACCTTCAACTAACGTTACTTCATAGCAACAGTTGGCACATTATGGTCCCAGAAAGTAGAGAAAAATCGAGAATTTACAAGCATGTAACTTTTATTATTGTTACATAACTGCAGATGACCTCCTACTCAGTACTTGAGCCTGGCTTGTGTAGCCCATTAGCGGCTAGTAGGCGCCACCGCCCTCTGTTTTGGGCCTCGTGGCAGATACACTGGCACAGAGCGCACGTGGGAGGTCGACCACTGCACTAGAGTCTAGAGCATTGAGACTGAAGGATAGTACAAATAATTTTGTGGTGTATGTCTGCAGAACTAATAATTACTTGTCTTGAAGCTGGGACTCGTGGGTTATCACGACTCCCACTGTCACAGGCAAGTAGTGTTTAGTGGAAGTGTAGATCACCACGTAGCAACTCGCCTGGAGAGTGTGGCAGTCTGCTCTGTCCTCGCTAAGTCAAGGGGACTCGCAGCAAATGTAGAGGACACTACTCGCCTGGAAGGCTGGAGACCGTAGACCTATGCGTGGCAGTCAGCCGCCTCCCGTTGCTTGGTCCAGGGGAATCGCAGCACGACGGCGCTGAAATACTACGATCTTGGCTAGCTGCTGCTCTTTCACAGTCCTTTGCTGGGATCGGGAGTATGTGGCGACGTGGCGACGTGACGTAGATCTACTACTAGTACTACTAAGTACTAGTAGTAGTACTAGTACCACTGTACTACGGGCCTTGTAGACTGCGCATGCGGTCTCTGAAGGTACGCACGCACCCGCCACCGCGTTACCGGTTGAAATCGAGGCTAGCGCATAGCGAAATCGTCGCCGTAAATCAATCTAACACGTCGACGCGGAGCTGAATTCATCTATTCGAGCTGATGAGTGTGATCTTGGTGATGCCATCCGTCACTTCACAGCTTTTGCAATAATTGTAGGGTCACGCAGGCGAGCGGCTGCCAGCTAAATCTGTTCTTTCTCCTTGTGCGTGTCCATGGCGAGTTGCGTGAGCTTGTATTTCCTCCGCTAGAGTCGCACGCCATCAGATTTGTTTTGTCTCAGCAATACCTGTTCTCCGCCGTGGGCCTTTTTCTCGAAGTGATTTGACCCGCTTGGATTCCTCTCCGAAGGTTACGGGTATTCCGTGCGCTCCTGCATAACAACTACTTTCTGTGAATTATTTGACTGTGGGCAAGAAGAATTATTTTTTCTTTCAACTGGCAAAGTAAACACGCTTAGCTTTGATCATGGTGCGAGTACTCCGGGTGATATTAGATGCTGCTATCAGTTTTTTCAGCTTCTTCCGAGTTTGTCGACGTCCTCAGCCTGAGCCTGTTGCAGTGGAAGTGAACCAAGAGCAGGACAGGCGACAGCATGAACAGTCACAGGATGACCGATCTGCACATGCAGCAGCGGCAGCGGAAGACAGCGATCCATCGCTCATCCCAGGTAGGAGCGGCGCGCCCTGCGGCCGTGTACAAAAAAATTATGTTCTTGCACCCTTTGTTCTGAGTTTTGTCGTTTGTTAGCTTAGACTTCTCAGCTCGGCTGACAGGACCGGAGAGGGTTGCCGGTTGAAGCAGTTATCATTATTTTCTGTTCAGAGACTGAGCTCATGAGATGTTCGTTGTTGTTCATTAGGTTAGAGACTGAGATGTTCTTTGTTGTTCGTTAGGTTAGGCTTCCCTAGGATCAGTTCGACCGTCCAGTTTCAGCTCCGTGATAAGACCGAAGATAACCGTCGGGAACAGTTAGATGTCATGTTACTATTGTATCAGTGTGCGGAGACTCGCTGGAATGTTCCAGTCAACCTCCGCTCTGCTCATACGGCCGGAGAAGGTGGAAACAGTCATCCATTCGGAGACTGAGATGTTTGGTGTTCTTTGCTGTTCGCTATGCCGGGTTCCCACTTGGCCCATTTTTCGGCCGACATCATGGTATCGTACGAGAATCGTCAAGATCGGCGCATAAACTGCCGGGTGCGAGCGGAGTTGTCGTACAAGGTTCCGGCAAATCTTCAGCGATTTTCTTGTATTTGGCCGAAAAGTCTGCCGATTTTTGGTACGGAGGATTACCAAGACGAAATTCGCGTTCGTGTACGCACTCCAAGGAACGTCGAACTCAGTGACGGAATTCGCGTTATGAGAAGGATTAGCAACCAGAAATAGCACATGCATGACGTTCACACGTCGTACATTGTGCACAGACTGTACAGCGTAGTAAATGTATGACTGTCCTGACACGAATCCGCGATTTGCGTTTCGACTACTTTTCCGGACGAAAAATGCGAAAGTTCGCAATCCAGTTCGCGAACCGAAAAATGTTCGCGAACGCGAATTTCGTCTTGCTACTTCTCCGTAATGATGATGGCTTTTCACCATGACAGCAAAGAGCGTCGGTGCAGATCGTGAACTCGCTGTAAGTGGTTCGCTACTACACAGGCGATAGTGCCTTCAGGCTTTTGGCCCTGAAGCTCATGTAAAAAGATCTCATTTCCTGGGGGCATCAGAAGGTATTTTAGTGTGGTGTGGTCAGCCATCTGAAGTATAATTTACTCTTTGGGGGGGGGGGGGAGGGGCAGGGTTGCTGAGGCGAAAACTTTGGAAATGTAGAGCCAAGATCAGTGTATTTTTAATGAGTCATGGGTGCCTGAGACAATAAGACTTAGTGGTACGGTCAATACCGCAGTGACCGCACCGTGTCCGACGGCCCTATTTCCGATCTTGTGTCTACCACCATCTAGCATGGCTTAGTACCATGTGTGCGTGCGTGTGTGTGCATGTGTGTGTGTGTGAGCTACGTCATGGGCACAGCCCGGGCGTGGCGCAGCTCCCTGATTGCAAGACCGCTGGCTGGTAGCGGAGAAAAGAGCTTCCAGTTAAATGCCACGCTCGGCCGTAGGGACCCTTTGCGGCTGAGCCTCGGAGAACAATATCAACTGGCGTGCTCGTTCAGAAGCAGGCGAAAATGACGATGACTCGTTACTGAAAAGCTTGGAAAGTTCGTCCTTTGTCAGCAACGTCAAGTTGACAAAAATGTCTTTCAATGGGATTTTGACATCGCTTGCAATATAAATTTAAATTTCACGGTTCGCGTGAGACTCGGCTTCCAGCCGAGTTTTCCGCATCCGCCGTGGGAACGCCACCACCCTCAAAGATCAAGGTGCAGATGCAGCGCCTAAACGGTGGGAGGTGAGTAGATCAGACCCACCACAAAGTGGTCAAAGACCGAAATCCCATTACCTGCATCCATGTTACCCTCGTGCCAGGCCACGAGTTCCCAATTAACTGTGTATCGCTTGCAAGTCCACCGCTAATCTGAATACCAGCCTTCTCAACTGCCTTAGCCAGCAAATCACGGGCAGTTCGGACCAAAGCTGGCAACTTCTGCTCGTCGGACGCCATGGGTCACCGGCAGGTTTGCGTCCAAGTTGCGAGGAGCACCAGGCAACAACGTCGTGCAAGAAGACCCTACAATCATTTTACTTTGCCTGCATGACACATGATTGTACGAATCCGGGGTGGTCGGTGTGCGAGGAAGTGACGGTGTTTCCAACTGGAAGCTGTTGTGTTAATACGTTACCATAAAAACCACATGTACAAGACCTGGATTTTCTACTTCAGCAAGTAACAGTTCTTCTCCGAGAAGGACCCAGTGGTCACGAAGACGTGTGGACGGGCATGAAGGCGGTGACGAACGCCAAACACTTTGCCACCGTGTTCTGCCTGACGGAGGACGAGTCGGAGATCGTGCCGGAAACCAGCGTTGAATGGGGAGAGCAAAACGCTGGTGGTGGACTCTGGGAAAAGCCGCTGGCTCACTTTGATGGACTGGATCAGGACATCCGCTGGGCTATCATCAACCTACCGTACACGACAACTAGCGGCGGAAAGCGCAACAGGGACATCTTTGCAACGTGGGTTCTGGACACTCTGACGCGTAGGACCATGCGCGAGTCCGTACGCGTCAAGTTCAAGGGAGTGCAGCTAGCAGGGGGCATGCGTAGGCAGGCGTCCATTGACGGAGGGTCCGTGTATCAAGCTAGCGATTTGGATGACCTGGCCCTGACTGAGGTTGTTGGCCAAGATGTTGCGCTTTGAGCGAGACAGCAGTGATATGGAGAGCTTGGCGATGCTGCACTGAAAATGCGCTGGTCTTAGATGTGTACGCGGCTGACAGGATCGTGTGTGTGCGTGTGTATGTGTGTGTTCTCTGCTCTGGTGGAGGACAGTTGTATTTTTTGGGCTCTTGTTTCTGCCCTCCGTCTGTGCTTGGTCTCGCCGTTGTGGACGGCCTGGGGTGTCTCCAGCCATCCAGGACAACAGTGCCTGAGGTGGGGTCTTCATCGACAGGAGAATTGGTCGGATAGTTACGATGCCAACACTCTCTTCGTCGCCCCCACCTCGGAGTCCTTCGCGAGGCCTTGCAAGCCCGGAAGTGGAGCTAACTACCGCAAGAAGACGACGACTTGGAACGACTCTGAGCATTGGCTCATGGAATGTTCGCTCTGTTATGGAGAGCGATGGACCAGTTCAAGCGGCAGCCAGGAGAGGAATCGTTTCCGATAAGCCAGATCCATAGCTGCCGGAGATGGCTTTCTCGAACATGGTTCCTGAGTCCCTGACCTCTCTCTCAGTGGACTGCCGTCGCTCGTCGTTCCATGTTGTCGGCCCTGCAAGGGGACACGTGACCGTAATGGCAGTGTTTACCAGGACCAGATGTGCATAGACAGTTGTGCCTACAAGCCAAATCCTTTGTTGGTGGGTGGGTACAGGTGGTCCGTCTAGTCCCACACAGTCCCATCTACTGCATTTCGGAGTCGGTGACGACGGAGCATAGGCCAAAAATCAGCCTAGTGGGAACAGGGTTTGAGTTTAGGCTCCATTAGGATCGGTTCAGCCAGTCACTCTCAGCTCCGCTGATAAGATCGGAGAAGATCAAAAAATCTCTTTGTCCGGAGTCAGAGATGTTCTACGGACGGGATTAGAATTTGCGATTAGAATTTTCTCACGCTCCGTATCGCACAGCAGAACATGCGAGGCAATCGAGCATTTTTTTGTCATTGCTTGGAGTAACACTGGATGATAACAGAGGGCTGTTTGCAGGAGAGAAATTCAAATACGCCCGAGCCTACAGTCAACTTCGCTAATAACGACTGCGGATATAACGATAATTCGCAAATAACGACAGAATTTCCCTGCCCAGAGCAAAGTCCAATCCAACTGTAATGCATATAATGAGGCTTCGGAAATAAGGACACTTCGCGAATAAGGACACTTTTTTGATGCCCCGCCGAGTGTCGTTATACGCAAAGTTGACTGTATACAACTCTAGGCTTACGATAAGCCCCTCGCCCCCCCCCCCCCCCCACACACACACACCCTGGATCTGTCACCCAGTCATTTTAGAGAGTGTGTTTACATTGCGTGGCAGGCTTGTCCAGCTCCCCCCCCCCCCCTCCCCCGAGCTGAACTAGCCCTACCCCTGCCTTCCTAGGGTTTTTTTACTACAGTTCTACGTTTGCGCTGAATTACTTTTGCGATTTCCACCCATATTGAAAATCGACGTTTTGGGGTTGCAATGGTCGCCGATTCTCAGTGAATAGACATTTCCTTTTTTTTACTATTGAACACTCACTGCATGATGAACTAAAATGAGGAGGAGAACTCGACACAATGGTACATATCCAGCAGGACGGAGTGGGTGGGACCTGCGAAGCTCAGCCGACCAAGGGTCTCGGCATCACAGCTGCACATGTGCACCGGAGGAAACAAAATGGGGAGTGGAAGAACAGGGAGCAGGAGAGCAAGAACTCTAAGATGGTTAGCATTTTACCGTTCACGCTATTTTCGACGGTCGGCCTGGACCATATTTTTTGTGTGTGTGTGTGTGTGTGTGTGTGTGTGTGTGTGTGTGTGTGTGTAGACATGGTTAGCATTTTACAGTTTGCGCTAAATCCCATGGTACTCGTACCCAACAACCAAAATACCGTCGGTTTGGTACCGTTTCGACGATAGAAAGCTCTGTTTAGCGGGGAGAACGAAACGGTAAGATTCCAACTAGGGTTAAGTCACAAGTCGATCGTTGTGTCAGACACCGAATGCTAACCTCTGTCTTGGAAACACACACAAAACGGTAAAGGCGGACGTACGGTCGAAGTTAGCTTGAACGGTAAAATGCTAACCTTGTTTAATGGTGCAGCTTTCCGAATGTGTGTGTGTGTGTGTGTGTGTGTGTGCGTGCGTGCATCTGTAGCTGATGTGTGTGTGTGTGTGTGTGTGTGTGTGTGTGTGTGTGTGTGCGCGCGCATGCATGTATATGTCTCTGTGTGTGCGCGCTTGTGTCATCGTGCGTGCATTGCCCCCACCCCCTGCACAGTAGCCACCACCAGCAGCCCCTGGCAGCACGAGGACTTCTTGCGCGATCCCTACCTGCCATGGCTGCACACTCTACCGGACGAGGAGCTGATCAAGGCCACGTACAACAAGGGCCTCATCCACGGCGTCGACGTCAAGCGGCTGAGAGAGCTGAGAGGCTCCACGTCGTGCACCCATGATCTGCTGGAGCTGCTGATGACGTCGCCGGAAGACACATTCACACCGTTTTTGGACGTCGTCGAGGAGCTGGGCGGACGCGCCAAGCGGGAGCAGTTCCGCTTGCTGATGCCGTCGTCTCCAGTTCAGCAAGGCGAACAAGGTGAGACGTTGTGAATGCTGAACCAGGCGGAGCCCGCATGGGGCACGTGCCCCCCGCCTCCCCGCCCCCTAAAAATTTCGACCTACATGATTGTTCAGCATGCACATATTGACCATAAATTACATGCGCCTGCCATCCTACACATATGCGGCCGTGCACTCCCCCCCCCCCCCCCCCCCTCTTAAAAGTGGGGACCAGCTATGCTCCTGAGAACAATCTTGCTCCGTCGGCTGCAGCGATATATAGTGGGTTCGCGTCCTATCACGGGACCATACGGGACAGCCATGTTGGTTCCAAGTCCACTCAGCCCGTGCATCTATGGGTCACGTGATGTCGGCCATGTTGGTTCCGCTGTCCACGTGCCATGATCACTTTTGTACACGAAGTTAGTCACATGACCAAGATGTGCAACCACTCCATTCTCATACTTGCCAAACCCAGCCAAAGCAAATCCCTTAGTCACACACCCAGTTTCCCTTAATTTTCTCTCATTTCCCTTATTTTGTTAGTTTTCGCCAATTTCGGCAATTTTCTCTTTTTTTGGGAAATATTTGAATATTTTTGCTTATTCTTTGCACAATTAATTTCATGATGAAGAAAGGAAAAGGACACAATGTTACGAGTTATGTCAAACTGTCCACCAACGTAACCAGATCTTATACAGTCAGCGAGTGCGACAAAATGGCACACAACTGACAAGGAGTACTGAGACATTCGGCGACCTGATACCTAGCTCCAACACTTCTCCAAGGCGCAAACCAACAACCTTCCAACTTGGAAGTTCGTAACATTGTGTCCATTTCCTTTCTTCATCATAACTATATTGGCTCACCATCCGAGTTCAATTAATTTCTTTCTTTTTATTCATTTCTAACCCATTGCTCATTGGGGGACCAAAACCTGAGTTTCTTCATTATCAGATCGCCCCTGCATGCGTGATTCTGGGAAATGCAGGGCCGCATGTGCCATTGTCACACCGCAGAACAACCTTTTTTTTAACACACGTGGTTCAGTGCCAATTCCGGTAGTTTTTCGATCAAAGTCAAAAATCCCCGGTTTGCCGGTAGTTGCCCTAGTGTTCCGGTCGTATACCGGGAAAACCGGTATGATTGGCAAATATGCAGTCCGCCACTGTGTATGGTATGTGTTCTCCAAGTCAGTACTGCTCCAAGTGCCATGATCACTTTCTACACAAATTTAGTCACATGACATGATCACTTTCTACACAAAATTGATCACATGAGAAAGAGGCAAAATCGATAATTTTCACAGAGCAAAAAAAGGTTACGTTATGACCCGGCCCCAAAGACAGGATTGAGGTTCATGTGCTCGAGTCAACTGCTGCACACAGCTGCCAAACATTTCAAAAGCAATAATCGTTTTTCAATTCGAAACTCTCCTCGACTCACCCACATTTTCGTCTCGTGTGAATGATCGATAATCATTATGGGTGGCATCTATAGAAGAGGAGCACATGTATAAAACCTACGCAAGAGGTATCTAGCGTACTACGCTCAGCCCATTATGAGCATTTGAACGCTATTGCAGGTTGCGGCGCAGTGCCTCTGTGTAACATAACGTCTTTGCTGGTGATTTCCTTTTTTGCCTTGTAGCAGCGCCCGCTTGCCCGTGGCAGAACCCGCGGTTCGTCACGGACACGTACAAGCACTGGATTTTGAACATGGACCCAATCAAGCTGCGCGAGATGGCCATACGACAGGACATGATCACCACGGCGCAGATCTTCGAGCTGCAGCGGCTGGTCGCCTGCGAGTGTCATCCGGAGTTAACCGACTTTCCCATGTACCTGGAGGAGCCGATGACGGGACCGGAGCACCGCACCCACAACCGGCGGCTCCTCCAGATGATGGCCGACGGTGGACTGGTGTCATTCTGGAAGTTCATGAACGGACTGTCCTCCATCACCTGCTTCTACGGCATCAGGCACTCATTTAGTCGACTTCTGCCGCCCGGAGTGGCCTGCCCTCTGCCGTCCGGCGCTGAGCTGGCCGCCGAGCCACGTTGTGGTGAGTACGAAGTACACACACATGCACACATATACACACATACATACATACATACATACATACATACATACATACATACATACATACATACATACATACATACTTCCTCCGCGTCATTAAAATTGTCGCTTCCCAGAGCGATTTTTCGAATTTATATTGTCCACTCGAAGGGCAAAGAAATCAGCTAGAAATTGAGGTAGAGCATTGTCGACGGACCAAGCTTTAGTTTGTGGCCTCCCGCTTCGCTGCACTTGCAGCTAAGGTCGACGTCTTCATCAGAGTTTGAGGCAGACTCTTCAGCACTCAACAATACGCTGAAGAAGACGCGCGTTCAAAATAAACAGTTCCGCACCTTCTTTTCTTGGCAAGCGCTTCGCTGATTTTGTCGGTGTTTTCAGACCTGCTACAGTCCATTTCAAAACTATAGACGCGTACCTAGGCAAAAACCGTTATGCCAGCATCTATACCACATACAATCTGTGATCACTTTGTGCATAAATTTTTCCAAATTGGGCGTCTGTTATCCAATCCTTTAGAAGCTATATGAGAGTAATTGTGGAGCGATCCTGAGCAATATTCCGAAAACTATTCTCAAAAAGTTCCAGGCAAATTTGAAATATTTCAAAAACCCTACGCGTCTATAGTTTTGAAATGCACTGTACCTTCGCAGCAACATGCGCCACAAGTAGCGCATTTTTGGAATTTGAGACCACTTTGTTCTTGTCAGTCATCGTCAACTTCAGCATTTCGTATTCAGGAGACATACCAGGATTCTTATACCCGAGCTTGCCGTCTTGATAAATGCCCACTCGAACGATGTGGGATGGCACGAACTCCAGAAAACGAAATGCGCTCTGGGGCGGAATAGTGCGAAGCGCGATGAATTTGCTTGGTGCGGGAGAGAGCTCCGACAAAGTCCGAGACCACCACGGCTTCAGTAACAAGTAGACATTGCGCAGGAAGGGTCGCACCAGTGTTCGAACACAGAAAACAGCGATTCCGACAGTCTGACCAAGACAAGGCAAGTCACAAATATTGCAATGTGCGAAGGGACAATTTTAATGACGCGGAGGAAGTACATACATACATACATACATACTCAAATCTGTGGACAGCAACTGTTTCACTCTGTTAGAGCTCCTCAGCACAGCTCAGAGGGCCGAAGCGCAGCTCTTCGCAATGAAATACGTTTCCGTGAAGCAAAGCATTTTTATAAAGAGCTGCAAACCCCGCCAAGAGTGCTCGAAATGCTCCAAGAGCAGTGAGCTGACTTGAGATAAAAAAAAAAAATTTTGCAATTGACGGGCGAGCAATTCCACAGCTGAGTGAATTTGAGTAAAAAAATGGTTTTTTTCAATTGATGAGTGAACAATTCCACAGTTGAGTGACTTGAGTTTTAAAAAGTGTTCTTTTTCAATTGACGGATTAGCAGCTCCACCGTACAGCTGAGTGACTTGAGCTAAACTGAAAAACTGTTCTTCAAGTTTCAATTGACGAGTGAGCTTGAATTCTACAGCTGAGTGACTTGAGTTTAAAAAAAGTATTTACATGACTGTAGACCATGGTACACAGCTACTACAGGGATGTGTACCATGGTGTAATCCGCGCACCCCTACTCGCAGTAGGCTAAAAACAGTTTAAAAAAGGGGGTCCAAAACAGACAAAAATGCAGGTATAAGCCGTAATGTCAGGAACAAAACCTCGCCAAACCAAGCTACTTCCTCCGTTAAGCAAAACTTCGTTGCGTTTTTACAGTTCAGTCCAAATCATTCTATGGCTACGAACACGCTTTGCAAAGTGGAAAACAAGGCACCATATGAAAGATATTTATTTACAGATGTCACACAGCTCGTTTCAAAGCAGTCCAGCTTCACTCTTCGTCTGAATCTGATGACGACTCACTCCCTGATGACATCGAGTCTGCATCCTCGCTGCCTATCGCCGCCAGCGCCTCCAGCTTTTGTTCCGCAGCCTTTATAAGTTTCCAAGACATGATTATTTTGATCGTGGAGATCGCCCAGTTCTTCGCTCGAACTGTGAGCTTGACGACCTTCACGGTGGCGCTGGTAGTTGTGGCCACTCTCCGGAACGCCATGGAAGGAGCCATACACACCCAAACAAACGCATCTTCGCAGCGGTGTAGTCGTGCCAGCACGTTTCCACACCCTGCAGAAGCTCCTTTCTGCCATTCTGGTTTCCTTCGCCCCGAGTGACACGCCTGTCTACAGGCTGTGGAAGCATGCCAAGTCGTCGACGTTGAGATCAGGATTTTGCGCCGACTGAACGACAATCTGAATGTCGAACGCTTTTGATTACCCCTGCGCTGCAAACACAAGTGCATTGATTTTGGTTGTGTGCGGATGCGCACCATCGACTCATGCTAGTACGGCAGTGCCTGAGTGCTGGCCGGCTCCTGGAACGGACACTTCTTCGAGCCACGCGGCCTTTCAAACTGTTTCTCATTTTCGCACTTTGGTGTCATGCGCGCGCGCCTCGGGTTGTGTTCTGGTGACATCCTGTCGAGAAACAGTTCTGCTTCGCCGATTTTTTCAAAGGACTCGACGCTTTTCGGAGGTTCAAAAGCCTGTCAGAACAATGGACGACAACTCAGCTACCCTGTGTAGGGGATAGATCACTGCCATGTATGTCTAATGCCGACAGAAATATCATGACAAGAACACTAAAAACGCAACGAAGTTTTGCTTAGCGGAGGAAGTAAAATCCACCAGCCTCATATGTGACACCTTCCTGCTCTGTTCTTTGCTCTTCCCAGCCCTTTTTCTTTCTTCTCCTCTTCTTTCTTGTGCTTTTTTGCAATGCTGAACTGGCCACTTCGGCATGTGCAATGCGGTCAGTATCCTCCTTCTTCAGTGCCTTGATGGTGTTATGGCCAACAGAACACGACATTTCTTCAAGAACTTGACAAACGCTCATGGCACCATCATTGAAAGTGCATGTAGCAAGATTCGCAGCGAGCTCCACCACACCGCGACCTGCATTGACTTCCTTCGGGCACATGCGCCACACGACACCATTGAATGCCTCATTGGCATTTTGCGTGGCATCAAGCAAGCACCGTTTCAGAAGTGCCTGGTCTGCCAGTCTTCGGTAAACAGGCACCAGCAACTTGTAGATGGCCTCTGGCAGAATGTTGTGGTGGATGTAGGTCGGTTGTGCCCCTGCCTGCACGCGTTTGAATCCACACCAAGAGTCAGCACCATCGGGGCATAGGAAATGCTGAGGTTTGTCATCTGTGGAGTAGCGGTGGAATAGCCCAGCCCACATTGCCTGTACCATCTTCACCGCATCATCAGTGTTAGCTCGAACAGCAAGTCCAAACTATGTTTGGAGGGGGTCTATCACCTTATCAGTAAGACGACCTGCTCCACCGATGGTGAGTCCGTCTGACAGCTTCTGGCCCTTCATCCACTTCTTCAGGTCTCGGAGGGCTTTTCCGAGCCTCTTCTGAACATGGCCGACACACTCCTCTTTAGATACTGCTACATCACCATAATTATGGCCTCGCCTCACACACCTCCTTGTGCCCCTTGCAGTCTCCATCCCCAACATAAGTGGTATACATGAGGCCTCTTTTCTCCACAGATCTAAAAAAGAGTAACCGCTCGCGTTCGTCGATCAAATTCATCTGATCATCTCGCTTTCCCATGCCAGGAGAGGATCGTCTCGTGTTGGCAGTGCATGAGTCTGCATGTTTCACCTGCCACTCCTGCAGGGTAGAAATTGTTCCACTCTCTTCCTTGGCAGTCCACACAGAGCACTGATGGCAATACTTGGCGCTCGTATGGATGTCCACAAACTTTCCTGATGACCAGGAGATTGCCGTGAACACACCATTCAGAGAGGAATACCCTCTGCGGTGCCATGTGCCGTCAAAGGTTACTGCAATTTGACCTTCGGGATTTTCTGCTAACAGCTGCTGGGCAGCGTAGTTGCGGCTTTTCTCACCAACCGTGTGTGCAGCCTCGATTGCAGCTTGTTGGTGTTTCTGGAAGTTCGTCTTGTTGACAGGCTTGGGGAGGTCCATAATGGCACAGAATTTCTGGAGACCAGACTGTCCTCGGCCAATGCGCCTGGCAGCTAAAACGGAGCGTCGGTTGACGTCAAATAATCTTGTTTTATGGACGATGAAAACTTGACATTAGCACCAGGGCATGATTCTGATGAACAGGATATGACCATGTGTGATCCTAAACCGTGCTGTCTCTCCTCTGCCGAAATGATACCGCCAACTTTACAAACTCCACACACAGCACATTTCAGCAGAATCTCCTGCAGCTGCTCCAAGTCGAAAATACGGTTTCCTGCACCAGTATGGGGCTCATCAGCCTCGAAACAATCACTGGCATCACTGCTGTCACTCGTGTCTGGGTTCGAGGTCAGTGAGGTATCAGACTCCGTTCCAACCTCGCCATTGCTGTCTGATGTCTCCTGCTCCCACCAGGGTTTGCAGCCGACGAGCTTTGCAAATGAGGAGCTACGTCCAATATCTTCTGGCTCCGCTTCCACAGGAACAGGGTTAGGATCGGGAACTGTTTCAGGCTTCTCTCCATAATATTTCTTCTTTTTTGGCAACGTAGTTTCCCATCTTCAAGCTCAGCGCAGCGAGTTCCGAATAGTTGCTGTTTGTGATGCAGAAAGCTCAAGGGAACCCAGTTTTTACGCTGGGTCGCCATTTTGTGCAGTCATGGTAACGAGTATTTGAATATTTGCCACGTGGCATGAGTACTCACTTTCGCTCTTCGTCAAATAATCTTGTTTTTATGGACGATGAAAACTTGTCATTAGCACCAGGGCATGATTCTGATGAACAGGATATGACCATGTGTGATCCTAAACCGTGCTGTCTCTCCTCTTCCGAAATGATACCGCCAACTTTACAAACTCCACACAGAGCACATTTCAGCAGAATCTCCTGCAGCTGCTCCAAGTCGAAAATACGGTTTCCTGCACCAGTATGGGGCTCATCAGCCTCGAAACAATCACTGGCATCACTGCTGTCACTCGTGTCTGGGTTCGAGGTCAGTGAGGTATCAGACTCCGTTCCAACCTCGCCATTGCTGTCTGATGTCTCCTGCTCCCACCAGGGTTTGCAGCCGACGAGCTTTGCAAATGAGGAGCTACGTCCAATATCTTCTGGCTCCGCTTCCACAGGAACAGGGTTAGGATCGGGAACTGTTTTAGGCTTCTCTCCATAATATTTCTTCTTTTTTGGCAACGTAGTTTCCCATCTTCAAGCTCAGCGCAGCGAGTTCCGAATAGTTGCTGTTTGTGATGCAGAAAGCTCAAGGGAACCCAGTTTTTACGCTGGGTCGCCATTTTGTGCAGTCATGGTAACGAGTATTTGAATATTTGCCACGTGGCATGAGTACTCACTTTCGCTCTTCTGATTTGTTTTTTCAATTGACTCATGAGCAATTACACGGCTGAGTAAATTGAGTTATAAAAATGTGTTTTTTTTTCAATTGCCGATTGAGCAATTCCACAGCTGAGTGAATTGAGTTAAAAAGTGTTGTTTTGTCAATTTTTTCAATTGACGGATGAGCAGTTCCACAGCTGAGTGAATTGAGTTTTTAAAAAGTGTTTGTTTTTTCAATAGGCGGATGAGCAATTCCACAGCTGAGTGAATTGAGCTAAAAAAAGTGTTGTGTTTTCAATTGTTTTTCAATTGACGGATGAGCAGTTCCACAGCTGAGTGAATTGAGTTAAAAAAAGTGCTCTTTTCAATTGACGGATTAGCAGTTCAACAGCTGAGTGACTTGAGTTTTTAGAAAAGTTCTTTTTTCAATTGCCGAGCAAGCAATTCCACAGCTGAGTAACTTTGAGTTTAAAAAAGTGATTTTTCTTCTTTTCAATTGGCGGATGAGCAGTTGCACAGCTGAGTGAGTTACCCTGATCGGACAAGAGTGCCAACGTGTCTATATGTATACTGCGTGTTGCTGCATTCACTGCACAGAGAACCCGTGGACGAGCCTGAACATCCGAGCCAAGCCGTTCCGCGGCTACTTTCTGGAGAGCGTCAACCGCGGCCGGCTTCGCAGGAAGGCGCTGCAGATGAACCTGATCGACGAACGCGAGGAGAAGGTGCTGGCCGAGTGTCAGGGCCGCATTGCGCAGAACGCAGTACTGCTGGACATGATACGGCATCGCGGCATCGAGTCCTACGTCTGCTTCATGAACGTCATTGCCGAGCTGGACAGGCAGCGGCTGTGGTTCCTGCTCGCCTCGCTGCTGCCCAGCGGGTTTGATTTGTCGCGCTGCGTTCCGGTCTACCTGGCCGACGCCTACACGTCCGAGCCGATCGCGCCAGGAATGTACAAGCCTAAGTGTAAGTGGGTGATTACAATAATTATTATCAAGAGTACATTTAAGCCAGAGTGTGTGTGTGCAGCTTCTGACCTTTTCTGTATGGGTGTCTGTCACAGGTCAGCGGACTTACAGGTCTAGTCCATTTCAAAAATATAAACGCATGGTATTTTTGAAATACTTGGTCCGCCCAGTTAAAATTGGTGCTTATCTTCACACTTGTCTCAGGAAAGAAATACGAATATTTGAAGCAAGCCACGATCACAAAGCACTATATACATGATTATTTACATGTCAGTAAGCAACTCAGTCGAAAATTCAAGCAAGTTACACATCCTCCGCGCCACTATCGTCGCTGGAGGAAGAGCTCAAAACGTACGATCCGGACAGTTGCTGCACGGGTCGTTCCACTTCTCCTCGTCTCGAATCACGCTCAAAGGCAGTGCGTGCCTGTCACCTTCCCATCAGAAGCTGAGTGAGACTGCCCGCATGTTGACTGTAAGTGTTATCCCCGTTCGTCGCAACAATGCGTCTTTGTTTGAGACAAAAAAGGCAACACCATATCAGTGTCCTTTTTTCAAATCGCCTCTTGCGCTTGTCGTACTTGCTGATCAGCACCCGTACCCACGCGAGCCGCTGGTGCTTGAAGATCTCCATGCAGCGCAAGCTTCCGCTTGATGTAGCACCTCAGTGACCTGTGCGTACTGCACCTACAATGCCGTGCACCAGGCTTTTCGGCTAGTTTCCTGAAAGTCCTTTGCACGAGTGTTTCTCTCAGGACTTGACGTTTTCTTTGATTAGCTCCTTTGCCCTGTCCTCTGTGAGCTTCAAAGTGTGTCCGCCGGATTGGTCTCACTTACTGGAGATATCGACATGAGCTGCAGTTTCTTCGTCAGCGATTTGCTGGTGATAGCCCTTCACTAGGCGCTGTACTGTGCAAGCACTGAAAATCAAGCTCGCGAAGCGCTTTTTCAGCTTTTCTATACCTCCCCGGGGTAAACAATCCTTGCCATCAGACAGCTGGAAGTAGACAGAAACTGTATTCTCCTTCGCTCTTAAATGCGAACATCCTGACCTATTTTACGGACTCGAGCGGAGGTTGCAGTGTTTTCTTGCGCTGACGGAAGTGTTCGTCGGCGGCAGCTCCGTCAAAAAGACTCAAACGAACCGATCGCAACTTCTGTGATGGTTTGTGCTGCCATGTCGTCGGATGCAATGGTCAAGGGTTATGTTCGGATGGTGAATCGGTGGTTCCATGCCGTGTGGCACAGGCAGAACACCAAAAAACCAAGTGAGAAGATAAGCGCCAATTTTCACTTGGCGGACCAGGTAATATTATTTCAAATTTGGCCGGAGCTTTTTCGAGATTTTTTCCCGGAATATTGCTCAAGTCCTTCCCGCAATTGTTCTTTAAAAGCGATCAGATTGCAAACGCCCAATTTCGAAATTTTTATGCACAAAGTGATCACAGATGTTATGACTGTGGTATAGATGCTGGCCTAACCGTTTTTTGAAATCACGCGTCTATTATAATATTTTTGAAACGCACTGTACATCATTATTTGGTACAGATCTGCGGCGGAAGTGGCGTAGTGCGTACAACTGAGCTGCAGTTGTGCAGAAAGAGACCTGCTTGAATCCTGCTCGCGCGCATTACATCACTAAAATGATGTGTTCACTGTGCACAGTCGCCGTGACAGCAACCCATCAGAGCTGCACACTCTGGGGTTCATGTACTCTTGCAATTATGTCTGTACGGTATTATCTTATACCGAGGGTTTGGCACTCCAGAGACATGGGCCAGGGGTCGTTATAACGCATTTTTTGTGTACTGGTGAATTATGTTGTAACCGGACCTGTAAACAGTTGTGTGTACCGAGGGGATTTCAGATTTCTATTTTCTAACGGGTTTTATGCACTAAACGGACTCATGTTAGCGAAGGAGGACAAGTAAAAGGCGAAGAACCAACATGTTACGAATTAGAACAAACAGTCCACCGCAGTAACGGCTGAGTATACAGACAGATAGTATAACCTTCTGCATGATTTTAATCATTTTATACATACATTTTCATTCACTCTTCATCATTTTGTCGGAACTAAGTCTCCGGACCTGATGAGAAGGCAGAAAAATAAAATAAACAAGTATACAGACAGATAGTGTATCAGCATTTTTTGGTCCGTCGTCCTATACATGTATACTTGTTGGCTCAGCATCCGAGTTAGAATCACGGATATGCTGTGCTTTTTGATGCTGCAGTGCTTTGTGCTGTGGAGGTTCAACTCCTGGGCACGAGCTCTAATTGCATTGCTGCGCAGGTGCTATGCGTATGTACACGTTGTCACAGTCCAGCGCCTGTCACAGTGTGGGCCGTTAATTAAGAGGGGCTGTAGATGGGAGCGAACTTTGATGGACCTCTCATCCGTAGCTTGTACCGACCTCTGCACTACCGTAAGGGTCCGGAGGTTGTGAGCATTCGTGGAAAGCCTCGCACCTCATGACCTGGAGCGAACGTTTTATGCGTTTTTTTTTCCGTTTCGCAGAGCCTCCACCGTACCGACTTGGTCAGAACAATATAGGACGTCATGCTGGTCAATTTGGCATACATACCGTACTCGCGCGATTAGTGCCCCAGGGGCTCCAGGTTTTCAACATCTATCACAGATGGGGCACTATTCAAGAGAGGGCACTATTTTGTTCAATACTAGTACGCTTACGCCATCCAACATAAAAACGAAGAAGGCGAAGTAAAGCAGAACCTATAGTTAGTTTACCATAAACTCTCACAACCCAACAGAAACGGCAATACTATCTGAGATGCTGATCTTGAAACCACTAGTGCAATAGTGTGGACAAGACTGAAACTACAAGCCAAACAACACATGCGCTTGATTACAACAAGCCCAGGGGGTGGAGCACTATTCAAGAGAGGGCTTTAGTTTTTTTCACTGGCTCTAGCCCCCCCCCCCCCCCCCGGCACTGTTCGAGATAGGGCACTGCTCAAGCCCATACACAAGCAATAATCCCGCTCTCAAGTCTACACACAGACATGCACGTAGTACCACACAAATGCGAAAGCACTACCACGTATGTACACACACACACACACACACACACACACACACACACACACACACACACACACACACACACACGCACGCACGCATACACACACATATATACACACACACACATATACACACACACCACACACACACACACACACACACACACACACAAACACACACACACACACACACACACAAACACACACACACACACACACACACACACACACATATGCACACACACACACACACACACACACACACACACACACACACACACACACACACACACCTGCACTCCAAAGAACGCAAGTGCTATCCAAAGACCAGGTACAGACGGACTGTAGGCCAGGAGGGGGCGTTAGACCAACACGAAGCTTTCTTTATCAGGACACAAAACCTGCCTTTGTAAGTTCTCTCACCTCCTCCTTCCTCACTCTCACTATCTCCTTCAGGGTCGTGCTCGTCTTCTTCTTCGTCATTCTCTACCTCGTCGTACCAGGGAAACTGCTCATACTCCACATTCAGATCATCTCTGGCCATAGCACTTAGAGCCTTACGCAGCCGTGGAGACAATAGAGCCTGTTCAGGCACCACCTGCTCCTTCAGAGACGAGCAACTCTCAGTAGCGACGGCGAACAGCTTTACTTCGTCGTCAACTTTTCGGAAATCATTCCGCGCCATGTGGAGCTCCGAGAGCTTTGGGAGACTGGGCAGTAGGGACCCAATCACTGGCAGAGCTCTCAACAAGAGGCAGCCGTCGTCCAGGTACAGCTCCTCCAGTCGTCGGCATTGACTTAGCACACCACGAACGGCCTCCGGAAAATCTGCAGTTAGCTCATTGCGCTGGAGCGAGAGGAACTTCAAACTCTCGTGCTGCTGTTGAGTGATTCGACCCACGATCAAGACGGCTCTAATCGTACGAGTACGGCACATCCATTGCGGGTCGCGAATGCCCCCCTCTATCGAGAGGACTCCTGTCGTATCTGGTTTTATTCCGCTGCACCAGGAGCGTCCGGTGGAGACAGGCTCACTGCGCTTTCAACCTCATAGTGTTGTAATAGCTGATTGGTGAACAAGTTCGATATTGTTGCAGAATGAACGGAAAAAAGAGTGAGTCGGCTCTAGAAAACCTCTTCCTTCCAGCCTCACGCTGCAATAACTGATTGATATACGAGTTCGACATTGCTGCAGAGTAGACGGAAAAGAGCGGTTCGCCTCTAGAAAACCTCTTCCTTGCCTCATCAATATGAGTAAGATGATGCCAGCTTCTCAAATTTGGACATGTTTTCCCCGTGCACGGTTGATAGCCATGATTCGCAGGGTTCCCTGTAACAAGGCCATGCCTGTTGGGACTCCCCTAGTCAAATAATTTTAAAAAACCACCACGACTACCACTATTTGCTAAGTTGACTGTATTTTTTTCGTGTACTGTACAGATGAGGACTGTCCTAGAGTTACGAATCCTATCGAGGTTGCTGCTGATGGTGAGGCCTTACAGTTGCTGGAGCCTAGTTAAGATGCACGGTATTTCTGACGGGACGCGAAAGCTCAGCTGGCGCTATTTGGCTGGCGCGTCGAAAGACAACGCGAGTGACCTGCAGCTCACGTCGAAATGTGGAGTTCTTCGCCAAATTTGACGTCACGTCGGAAATAACGTGCATCTTAAACCTCTCTACTATTGGCTGCAATTCTTCATCTTTTATTGGGAGCTAGCCGTATGGTTGGACAAGAAGGCAGAGATACCTGCGTACCTGGTGAAGTAAAATAGAAACAAACAAACAATTGACTCGGATGGAGAGCCGAGGCTTAATTTATACAAAAGAGAAAGCTCCAAGTAACTACAAGTTCCTTGTTTGATTGTTGGTAACTGGTGGTGTTAGTGGACAGTATAGCGTAACTTGTAGTTCCTTGGTCCTTTTTCTTTTATATAAACAAACAATTGCACGTTATCTCCGCAAACATTAAATTTTTTGAAAATGTTAGAAATCTTTCAGCAGCATTCTTCTCCGGCTAGACAATGGCAGTGTCTTGATTTTTATGGAGGGGAGTTGGGGGGGGGGGGGGGGCTGCTGAGTATCCATGTTTGGTGTGTTTTCAATTCTATGGCATGATGACCGCACCATCAGCACTACAGCATCGCCGACCATGAGCGAGGATCCCTGGTTCGAGTCGTGGTGGCGACGACATGGCAGTTCTTTTCTTCAGACGCTGCCCTTCCTCAAACTTACACATATTCCCAACTGTTGTGAATTGATCCCAAACTCAGAGAATAGAAACCTTGGAGACTGTGTACATTTGATGGACAGTGCTAACCATACTCAATGTATATGATTTACAAGAGATGATGGGTTATTGTAACTGGCATGTGCACCCGTATCTTCTTATCCACAGCATTGAAACCTGACGACGAAACTCGCCGACTAACATCCACGATCACACCGCCTGGATATGGTATGTCAATCTAGAATGCTATTGCTAGTGCGGCTAGTGTTGGTGGTGGTGGTGCTGCTGCTGCTGCTGCTGCTGCTGGTGATACTGGTGGTGGTGGTGGTGGTGGTGGTGGTGCTGCTGCTGCTGCTGCTGCTGCTGCTGGTTGTGTTGGTGGTGGTGGTGGTGGTGGTGGTGGTGGTGGTGGTGGTGGCGCTGCTACTGCTGCTGGTTGTGGTGGTGGTGGTGGTGGTGGTGGTGGTGGTGGTGGTGGTGGTGGTGGTGGTGGTGGTGGTGGTGGTGGTGGTGGTGGTGGTGGTGGTGGTGGTGGTGGTGGTGGTGGTGGTGGTGGTGGTGGTGGCGCTGCTGCTGCTGGTGTGATGGTGCTGGTGCTGCTGCTTCTGGTGCGGCCGCTGCTGCTACATCTTCTATTGCTAGTTTGGCTGTTACTGCCCCTGTCACTACCTACTGTGCTTGATAGTGCTGGTCTTGGGGCTCCGTATGCTGATGACCCTCGTAACAAAGCCTTCCATTGCTCTTGTAGTTATACAGTCGGACCTCGCTTATCCGGTCTTCTTCTATCCGGATCCCTCGCCAACCGGAAGAAAATCGTTGGTTACCGATTTTGCAGCAGATGCCATGCATACATACAATATGTTCGATTATCCGGCTCCCCCGCCTATCCGGATATTTTTGTGGAAAACGGATGTGTGCGGTTAAGCGAGGTCTGGCTGTACTTTGTCCCATGCACTTCAGCACTGCTTCAGTGACTTTCAGTGCGTACATGCCACGGAGGCCATCCATGCGGCACTAGTACAAGTACATTCAATTCGATAGACCCTGCGCTAGTGAGCAAATTGCGAGAGTACTAAGCTGCGGCCACAGTGTGTGGATCCATAACAAAACTGGATCCAAGTGGATCCAAAAGTCAGCGCTGCTTTGGCTGTGACTTAGCACTTTCAAGCACTATTTGGAGAATAGCAGCTGTTAAAAAAACCTGTGTGTTATCTGTGTCACCCATTTTCATGTTCTGCAGGAACCATGCGTAAAAACTGATCTTTCCCAATGCATTCCGTGACCGAACCCGCTGTCCAACTTGGAGCACATCGCCCCCAACTCACCAGATTCGACAACAGGAATGATTAAAAGCTAACTAACTGTGGATATGAACCAAACCTGTACTGCAATGGAATGGGATATTGAATATGAACCAGCGGAGACCTGCACTGCAATGGAAAAGGGGTATGGACTCCAACGACTGAACACGCCAACGATACATACATGTACTATAATTGTCGAGATAGACCATGCACTGCCTTCAGCTCTGCAGACGTAATGTAGTCGAACCGACTTTGCATTGTAACATAATTGTTGTGCCCGCATTGAAATGTAGTAGTTGTGCCCCCCGGCTGCCTCTGGATCCCATGGATCTTAGATTGTGCAGCTGTGCTGCGTCGTAAAACCGGTTGTGTACAACTTCACGTACATGTGGTGCTGTAGAAAAGCTGGCCCGAGGCGCAGACACACCGCGGCGCATCCGAGCGTAGCGTCCAGGCTTTCCGAACCAGTTTCCGAGTCAAGGTCAACTGCGCCCAATTCAGCATCTCATCACGCTGTCAGTTACTGGAAACTGATACGCGTAGCTGCGTGTGGTGCCCGAGTGGATCCACAGCCGCCCAACACAAACCTACCCTGGAGAATTGTAATGTTACTTTCTGTGCCCGTGTCCCTGTAACGTGATAGCAAGAGGAGCTTGTTCTCAAGTAGCGCTAAGACATCGTGTGTGTGTGTGTGTGCTGCTCCAAACAACACGGAGCATAAATGAGTTCGTCACCATGGTAATGTGTTCATCATCACGGTAAAGTGTTCATCATCACGGTGAAGTGTTCATCGTCACGGTAACTTGCACGCTAGTGCAATCGTCGCGCCGTGTTCTTGCATGTGTTTGTACCCACTTTACATGTTTGTTTGTGGGCCATATATTATATAAAACTAATCGAGGACTCCTAAGACGTTGTGCATATCTCATCGCTAGTGCTGGCTACACCTGCGACGCAATATAAGTAGGCGCTATGCAGGTAACATCCAATGCAGCGTAACTGATTACATAATGTAACCTCATGGCGTGCAGCCGGGGCTGAGCAACACCTCCAACCCGGACGTACGCAGTTGTCATAGCTACACAGCGTCAGGGTGCTATGCGTGCGTGTGCGAAGGCGAACAGCAGCAACGCCAATGCCTGAATCGGGGCGTCGGGTGTCTCTCACGGCAACACGCTCCACCCAGCATTTCTCAAGCGCTAAAGCTATTATCGGTGTGGCAGTGACCTACTTTCGTTGTATTTCTATTATTATCTTTTCATGCTGTTGCATTCTGGCATTATCCAATGTTGTGGGTAATGAACTCAGACCTCGTGCGCGCGTGCGTGCGCTCGCACACACACACACACACCACACACACAGAAACCAACGCTATCTTTCACGCTGTTCGCATCTCGACTTCTGCTAGTTTTTGTACTTTCCCCTGGCTATCTGTCGTTCTCTGCTTCTACACCACACACTTGGTCATATAGGTATATCTCTAGCCTGATGTCATTGCTGGCTGCCTGTCATTCCGCGAATCCGTGCTTCTACACTGCTGCTCAATGAAATCCAGTCGCGTCACTCAAGTTTGCGCCTTGCATCACTCCGTAGCTCGGTGTTCGCAGGTCCATGGCCGCACAACGCCCGGCGCGTACTTGAGTGATGCGACAGGATTTGCGTGAGCAGCACTGCACATCACCCCCTTAGTCATAGAGCTGCTGCACGAGTCCAATATGATTGCAGGGTACGTGCCCTGCATCATCATCATCATTCAGTCTGGATTTTATGTTGGACGAGTACCTACCTGTGCTTATCGATCCAGATGAGTAGGCTTTGTGCGTGTGCATGTGTGTGTGTGTATGTGTGGGACGGCGTGTGCATATGTGTGTGACGGCGTGTGTGTGTGTGTGTGTGTGTGTGTGTGTGTGTGTGCATGCGCGTGTATGTGTGTGTGTGTGTGTCGGAAGGCTACCTTCTTGCCAAAGCATTTGGAAGTTGGACTAGTTCCGGCTCCACAATCCAGTGTGTCGTTACTATAGCTTTCATGGCTGAGGTTGTTAGCTCTGGGTCTGTTGGCTCTGGGTTCCCAGTGCTCTCTAGCCAAGGCTGGTTGGTGAATAACTCCAATTTCACTTCAAGGTACCAGTGCATCTAGTGCCTGCTCCTATCAAAGCAGCGTGCTGTCAATACTGGTCACCCCAGCAAGTGTAGGGTGTGCATCGGTCTTGGCCGCTTTATGCCGATGTACTCCGTGTGGTGTAGACCAGGTGTTCATTGCATGGGGGTCGATTGACATGGCTTCGCCAGTTGTGTTGATTAGACAGTTATCTGGCGCTTGTCTTCATCTATTTCAATCAGAATCAGATCCGCTATCGTTGCTATAAAGAGAAAATCTGTGGGTGCACATTCAGTGCATTTGCAGATTTGCGTGCTTCTCTTGCGACGGGCGTATACACGGTACATGGTGTGTGTGTGTGTGTATGTGTGCGGTGTGTGGGGGGGGGGGGGGGGAGAGTCATTGTGAGAACACATACCATCACACACCTCAGACATGCCCATCGCGGAAGCGATGATAGCGAACAGCTATGTTAGACATAGCAACTTGTGCTGGGATTGCACCATTCAACAGCACACACACACACACACCACGTACCATGTACCCCCCCCCCCCCCCATACACACACATTCAGTCCGACATGGCTGCACAGAAAACGTTCTCCAGAAAGATAGCTAACTATCAATACTGCCATCTTCACATCTTGTAGGTTGGATAAGGGAGTAGTACAATACCGGTATATTACTACTCCCTGGTGTGGACAGTAATGGTAAAATCTGCATAGTTACAGTTGCCGTCGATAATTATTATGATCTTTGAGAAAGTATAAAAACTCGGGCTATAGAATTTGAGCACCTACAAATAGAACAGTACTGATAGCGAAGGGCATGACATGATAGTGTAGTATGCAATGCTCAGCATACAGTTATAATCGACTCTATTGCCGTGTATCGCATGCGCAGTGCACGTAGATTCTCCTGTTGAAAAATTGTTGGCGGTCTCTCAATGCTATGCGATGTACCCCTATTCATATAGCAGAGTGGTGTGTTGTGAGGGCTGGTGCACGATAGACTACGCATACACAGGTTTCACAATGGTACAGCGGCCCTTTCAAATAAAACATGGTACATGTATGGTACACTGTATGGGGTTTCGGAAATCAGCTGTCGGAGGCAGAAAGCATTTTTTTCATTGTCCGTCGACTCCAATGCAGCCACACACACACACACACACACACACACACACACACACATGCACACACACACACACACACACACACACACACACACACACACACACACACACACACACACACACATGTATTATCCGGAGTATAAGCCACACTTGAAACACAAGTAATCCACTCCCCCAAAAAGTCGGTCAGCGGCGGCCTATACTACAATGGTCAAATTAATGGTGATAAAATAGGATAGACATATGTGTTTCGGGACCAATATCTGGGTGTGGCTTCTACTCCGAAAGTACGCTAACTCTTCACTTCAGTCAGTAAGCCAGAAGAGAAACAACCCACACTAGAACCAGTGGCGTTACAGGGAAGTGGGCAGTGGTGCGATGGGCGGGGAGTAAAGGGTATCCCCTGGGAGAAAACCCGGATTTTTCGGCCAAACAGGGTACATTTTAGCACTCTACAGGCGCTCTGGGCGGACCATCCTGGACGAAATGTGGTCCAATCATGGACATTCTGGTACTACCATGTGTTACGCCTCTGGCAGCTGGTAATGTCACGGCCGTCTCAGGGTGGTTGCTGCGGTGTGCTGTACGCTATTGGCATGGGTGACGTGAACGCCGCGGGCACAGTCTGTCTCGACGCCGCTGCTGCGCCGTTTGTCGGAGTGCTGGCTTGCTGCGCCGTGATCGGGGACAGCGTCTGCATCGTGTCCAGGTTCTGATCAGTTGCCATGCCGATCTTTCTTTGCCGGCCCTTTTTGTTGCCGCGCTGCCTGCGGTGCTGATCTTGCGGTGTCAGTGGTTGTAGCTTTGCTGGGTGACTGGGTCCAGTTCTTTCTAAGGAGGATGGGGTCATGTGATTTGCGAAATCGTCCTTCGCCGTTCCTATCGGATCTGGGGACTGCTTTCTTGTCCGGCCGATGGCAGAGCGCGTTGATGCTGCTGCTGCTGCTGCTGATGATGATGATGATGGTAGTGATATTGCCGCTGTGGCCGGTGATGTCATCGGTGCTGGGGATGATGTCACCACATCTGACGACCCTGGGTCAGGGCGGCGCGAGAGATGGCTGTGCTGGTCCAGTGACATGCCACGCCTTGTTTTACCCGGCAATGTTGGTCTTTCCCCCGCGGTTGGGGAATTCCCTACAGCAGGCTGATGCATTTCTCCGCTTTCTGCTTCTTGATGTGACTGGCATTCGGTCGACAGCTCCCGAAGCGCCGGTAGGAAATTCCCCGCATGCTTCAGCTTCTTGTCATTGTGACGAGCCTGGGGTGGACTTGAGGAGGCGGGTGCAGCGACACGGGCTGTTGGTGGGGAGGGCTGGGAATTACCCATTCCAACGGGCGGTGCACTCTCCTGTTCAAGCATTGCCCGGCGGACGCCGGGTGTCGGCGTGGAGCGTCGAGATGTGTCGGCGGAGGCATTGTCGGATTGAAGAGCAGGCACGGTGATGACTCGTTGAGGTGATGGCTGCGGAGAGGCGTCGCTGCGCCCGGAGCTGTCACCATCATCAGGAAATGATCGGAGGGCGCTGCTCGCCATCAGCGGCGATTGGCGAGTAGCGGTGCTTCGGCTCCGCTGGCCAGCCCACGCATGCACTCTGGTTTCGGACTGCGGCGGAATGTGACCTTCCATACTGGCTGCACGGCTCGACGGTCGTCTGACCGTGCGCCGTGGCAGCTTCCTCGTACCGCTGGCGACCGATGACTTGCGATGGGGTGGCGTCGGAGATGGCTGTAGCTCACCTTGAAGTGCGCTGCGGTCTAGATTTGACGCAGAGTCCGCGTTGTCCGAGCCGTGCATCGGCTTTGGCAGGGATCGCTGCGTTGAGACAAGGGATGACGATAGACTCCCTACGGTGCTGGACGGGTATGCTGTCATCTCGGAGCTGTATGACACCGGCGACATATTCTGACCGAGTAACACGGAGTCATTCGCCGTCTCGTTGCCGCCGCTGCTGTTGTTCAGCAAATGGCCGACGTGGAGCGTATTGCTGGCATCCTGGACAATGGATGAGCGCATCAGAGAGCCTCGCGTCGTCATGAACTCGCTGTTCTGGTCGGTCGCCTCGGAGATGAGAACGGCCACGACGGAGTTGGGTAAGGTGATCTGCAGCTGCCGCGCCGTCACCACGTCGGGCAGCTGCTGTAGGTCCTTCAGTGCCATCTGTCGGACCACGACGGGCGTTTCAACTGTGCAAACACAAACACCCCCCCCCCCACACACACACACACACACACACACACACACACACATGCACACACACACACACGCATAGACACGCATGTACACATACACCAACACACGTACGCAGGCGCACGCACACACACACACACACACACACACACACACACACACAACATGATGACATGATTTTAGAGGCTTTGTTCAGAGTGGCCAACCGGTGTGCAAGTACAGACACGCTACACTATAGACTAGTGGAGACGAGCTACTGCTGAGTAGTCATAAGAACTTACACTCTAACGTTATACTTAACGCTCATAAGCGGCTGTGCTGACTCACCACCATATCATTCGATTTTTGGATCTGGTCCCCCCCCCAAAAAAGCTCTACAGGATACAATGGAGTGCCAGCTGGAGAACAAACATCCTGGAATGCTTAATGTAAGACAGGCTGAGCATTTTAGACATTAATTTTACTCGTTGCCTCATCCTGGATAGACTATTGCCGCTTGTAGTTAGTCATTTTGCATTGGTTTTTTCTTACCTACTGCCATGGCTGGCTATTGCTCTTCCCTCTATACTGGCCCTCTATTCCCTGGCCACGGGAAGGTGAAATAAATAAATAAATACAAAATAGATAAAATAAATACAAATACAATGACGGTGACGCGTGACTCGGATGAAGAGCCAAGGATAAATGTATACCAAAAAGTAAAAGAAGAGGTTGGTGCGGCTTCGGCGATAGTAGGGCAAGAGTGTGTTGCTCCCTACATGGGAGCTTGCGGTTTTCCTGCCGACTTGAATTCTCACTTGACTGACTCACGACTGCCATCCAGAGCACACGAGAAGTCCATCGAACCGTAAAAAGACCAGGGAACTAGTACCTGAGAGCCGGATGGCAGTCGTGAGTCAGTCAAGTGTCAAGTTCGGCAAGAAGCGTGTGTTCCTAGTTGGAACAATCACGAGAGTACAATCATGAGAGCTGATTGTTTAGAAACTGGTGGTGTTTGTGGACAGTAGGGAGGTTTAGTTCCCACGTAGCGGAAACGCGTACGTGGGTGATCCACGTAAAGTGGATGAAGGGCATCCACGTTGCAATGTTGTGTTTAGTCACACGGAACAAACAAAAGCATGAAGCGAAAGGCCCAAACCTGGTCAAAGACGAAGCTACCCAGGCCTAAGAAGCTCATCGAATATTTTGATTTTGTGCTTCGGAAACTTCTTCGGCTGAGCACCCTCACAGCTCGCAAAAAGGGCTCCATTCTGATTTTCACCCACGTTCTGGCGGAACGTGGGTGAGCCTCCATACACGGTATGTCGTGAATAAGAAAACGTCTGTACGTGGGTCACTGAGTATCACGTGGTACACACACGTAAAGTACCCACGGATTACGAGGGACTAAACCTCCCTACTATGTCTATAGCGCAACTTGTACAGTAAAACCTGTAACTAAAGACCACCGTGACTAGCGACCAGCCTGGTACTACAGTAAAACCTGTAACTAAAGACCACAGTGACTAGCGACCAGCCTGGTACTACAGTAAAACCTGTAACTAAAGACCACCGTGACTAGCGACCAGCCTGGTACTACAGTAAAACCTGTAACTAAAGACCACCGTGACTAGCGACCAGCCTGGTACTACAGACCACCGTGACTAGCGACCAGCCTGGTACTACAGACCACTTCGCCAGGCACGGCCGGTCTCACATTCATAATTATTATGGTTGTGCGGTGCTAACCTCTAACTAAGGACCACCTGCCACTAAAGACCACTTTCTCTGGCCCCAAGGGGTGGTCTTTAGTCACAGGTTTTACTGTGGTTTCTTGGTCCTTTTTCATTTCAATAAATGCACACACACAATGACGTACATGGTGATACTGCCTGTGTGCTAAACGCCGTCCCACGCATACTGTCCATGCCCGCTCTCAGACACACCATGCAGCAGCTGTTGTACAGGTCTGTGTTGCTGGGCATCCTGGGCCGCCGGGGAAGACTGATGTGCTTCGGGAGCCTGATTGGTGGCCTGCACGTCGGTGGGTTGGTTGGTCAGACAGTTCAGCACACGAGCGCGTGCACACGCGGAGGCACAGACAGACAGACAGACAGACACACACACACACACACACACACACACACATATGCACACAAATGTGTGGACACACACACATGCGTACCAACACACAGTTTAATGTTATACATTGAAAATCAACGCACATTTTTTCATAGCCACCACCTGTTTCCCTTGAATGTAACGGGAAGTGCTCACCTCGCACAGTCACACACTCACAGATATACATGCAATGTAAAACCGGGAAATTTCGGCGTTGTAATATTTTCGGTATTTCCCAAAATCAGCGGTTTGGATGGCGCAAACATTTCGGTAACCCAGTTTTCCAGATCCAAGAAATGAAATTTGCACGCTGTGTGGCATGGAATTTTAGGTCGAGTCTCACTTTAGGTAAAAATGACCTGTACATGGAGTTACCGAAAACGAATCTCCACCGAAATTTTCCGGTTTTACAGCAATGTACGGGCAGACACATACACAGACAGACACACACACACACACACACACACCATACCATGTACCACTTTAATGTGCACGTCGAACGCCGACACGCAAATCTGCAAATGCACTGGACGTGCACCCACAGGTTTTCTCTGGTAGCAACGATAACGACAGCGGACAGAATCTGAATGAAACAGATCAAGACTAGCGCCAGATAACCGCCTAATCCACGCACACACACACACACACACACACACACACACACACCTCAGACCCGCCCATCGCAGAAGCAATGATAGCGAACAGCTATGTTAGACATAGCAACTAGTGCTGGGATTACACCATTCAACAGCTTGCAAGGCTGATACACACACACACACACACACACACACACACACACACACACACACACACACACGCGCGCGCACACCCCCCCCCCCCCACACACACACACCGTGAGCATTTATGCATGCATGACTCACAGCAAAAGCCTTCCATACTCGCCCTGAGGATCGAGTGCTCGCTCACCTTCCAAAGCGTTTCTTCTCCCCTTTCCACCAAGCCACGATAATGCATGTCACCACCAGCAGCACTAGCAAACCCATGAAACCACCGACAGACGCACCAACGATCACAGCTATGCTGATCGAAGACGTGTCTTGTTCCGCGAGTGTTGCACTGTATGCCAGCGAATCTAGCACAGACGTCGATGCCATCACATACGCCCAACATGCACAGCACAATCTAGCCAGCCAAGTACGTCCAGGAAGGTCTTCAGTCTCTCCACATTTGTATTGTTTATTTACGGACTCTGCACTGCAGAGGTAAATCTGAGATAACTGTGTACTGATTCCTCGCCGGAGAGGACGAAGGATATGCAGCGACGGCTGATTGCGGCCGAGCGCCGCTTTTTAGCGCTGCGACGATTCGACATCAGCTAGCCGCGCCATTACGGCATTATGGCCACGACCAACCAACTGCTGGGGGCATTTGAATGGCGGTGGGATGCACGGGCTGCTCGGGGTAGACCTCGACAAACAACGATAGATAGATGCAGCGCTGAAGACGAACAAACCACGTAATGTTCATAGACAGCCAGCGCTGTAGGATTTACTCATGAAATCTGTGGATCAGCTTGGCGGAGCAGAAGCAAGAGCACATACATCGTAGTAAACTACAAAACACTTTGCGCACTTTACTTCAACTAAACCAAAGACTAGTAACAGCTGAAACCATGAAACTGTGAAAGAAGAGTAGCTGCTGCTAGCATCAAAATACACAGGTAGAGACAAGTATACAACTACAGCTTGTAGTAAAAATTAAAGGGGAAGTATACCCTAAAATCAAATTTTCACCAGTTGTAGTCTTCTGGGTGCTGAGTCGAATGGTCTTGGTCCGAGGAAGCTGCGACGCTCCCTTCCTACTTGAATCCCAATCGAACTCGCGCACTTCCACCAAAACTGGGTGACTGCGCCCTACTAGATGGGGATTTGTATGCAAAATGTCACTAAAAGCGCCATTTCGTTCTTATAAAAGCACGGATCACCGCGATTGGCCCATATGTTGTAGTCTTTTGGACGCTGAGTCGACTGGTTTTGGTCCGAAAAGGCTGCGATGCAGCGTTCCTCCTTTATTCCCAATCGAACATGGTTGAACAAGCGGTCACGTGCTCCTGCGTACACCAGTCAGCTGGTCACCGTGCCTGCAGGGTACAACCAAGAGTACATAACCTCATTCATACTCTTGGTACAACTTACTAGCCTGTTTGACCTTTTTTGGGTACAGTCCTGTCACTCGAGTTGAACCCGAGTTGAACCTTGGTGTGAAAGTAACAGTTGTCGCCTGCTGGCGCGGTGACCAGGTGATTTGGGCACCCAGGAGCACGTGACCGCTTGTTCAACCATGTTCGATTGGGAATAAAGGAGGAACGCTGCATCGCAGCCTTTTCGGACCAAAACCAGTCGACTCAGCGTCCAAAAGACTACAACATATGGGCCAATCGCGGTGATCCGTGCTTTTATAAGAACGAAATGGCGCTTTTAGTGACATTTTGCATACAAATCCCCATCTCGTAGGGCGCAGTCACCCAGTTTCGGTTGAAGTGCGCGAGTTCGATTGGGATTCAAGTAGGAAGGGAGCGTCGCAGCTTCCTCGGACCAAGACCATTCGACTCAGCACCCAGAAGACTACAACTGGTGAAAATTTGATTTTAGGGTATACTTCCCCTTTAATTATTTCTACACCACTAGTACTAGTACTACTAGTACTAGTAGATGTTCACGAGATCTCGACTCCGACTCGAGACTTAGTCGAGACAGCCTGAGTAACTGACTGTCCTGACTTGACAGTACTTCGACACGCAAAACTGTCCAGACGGACGAGAAGTGGAGTTTGAATGTGCAAACGTGTTGCCATGGCCGCTGCGATATCGGTAGCCATGGAGATGGCGTAGCCTCCCCCCCCCCCTCCCCGGCCTTGTTGCCTTCTGCAATCTGTATGCCTGGCAGTTTAGGCTGGCACTGCCGTACTTCTTTGATTGTACCAAGAGTCCGGAGTACATAACCAGTATGTATGGTAATAGTCCAGTCTTGATTATACTGATCATCAGGGAGTGATGCTTTCTTGCAGGTTTGCTGAGTGGAAGGTAAGGTTGGATGAGACTTCTCGTGTTCACTGGATGGCAGCCGTGAGTCAGTCGAGTGAGAATTCAAGTTGGCAGGAAAAGCACGAGCTCCAGTCTAGGGCTGACCCGAATTTGCCAGCTGAATCTCGATATTTTGCGGCATAATTTTGCTCGTGCATCGTCGAAATTTTGCTTTCATTTTGCTAGGCCACTCGATATTTTGCTCCCTTTTTGCTCCAAAATTTGTGTCACGTGTGAGAAAACTGACCGAAAGTGGGTTACGTGTTGGCAAAAATGAGAAAAAGTGAGTCACGTGTTGGTAAAACTGTGCCGAAATGAGTCATGTGCACCGTATATGTGTAAAATCTCCCAATTCCCAGCCAACACACCGATATTTTGCTCCATTTTGCCAGCAAATTCCCTTTCAAAATTCTTCGATATTTTGCTAGAAGAATTGCTAGCAAATTCGGGTCTGCCCTAGCGAGCTCCCACGTACCACGTGACGTTGGGAGCAACACAAAATCCCCGAAGTATTGCTGAAGGCGAAGCCGCTATAAGTTATAATTCTTCACAATCCGATCTTGACGCTACTGATATTCACTGATACTGTGGATTTATACAGTAAAACCTGGTGTAAGCGACCGCCTGCTCGACCGTTTTTCCATGCACGGACAGCTCTACACAGACACTGTGGGACCTGGTTTTAAAGACCACCTGGCTTTAGCGACCGATTTTGCTTGCACCGTGGGGTGGTCGCCAGGTTTTACTGTAATAAATTGTCTTTGACCACTTGCTGGTGAGCTGATCTACTCACCTCCCACCGCTTTAGGAGCTGCATCTGCGCCTTGATCCTTGAAGGGTGGTGGCATTCCTACGGATGCGGAAAGCCCGGCTTCCAGCCGAGTCTCACGCGAACCGTGAAATTATTAATTAATGCCACTCGGATAGTAAAAAAACAATGCTTTCCTATCCAGTTCACTATAATCATCAGCCTAGCTGCCACACGAGCTCCACTGATGAGACCCGGGGGGGTACAACTACATATGTAGATACTCCGGCCAGATTAGCTAGTTTGAAGGGTCCTGCGCACTGCCTGCGTGGGGTTGTGATCTTGTGCACTTTGGCAAACATACTCAGATTGACAAATTCAATAATAGTACATTGACATCAACACACAAACCCACATCTACATCCACGCCTGTGGGCCAACAGACATCACATACACACACACACACCACAACTGCTGCACATGCGGTGCACGCACACAGGCACACACAAACACACCACACACATCACTACCACCACCCGCAGCCCCCCCCCCCGCACACACACACACACACACACACACACACACACACACACACACACACACACACACACACACTTCCAGCATTGCAGTCAAGGGAGAATTCAACAGAGCACAGACTCATTCACACTTCCCTATAATTATTGTATTTTGAAGTAGTGCCTACTCTCATGCATACACACATGTAGAATGAGGACATTAAAGGCCGAGAGAATAGAGTTGCCAGCAACTCATAGACAATTGACCCAGTACAGTACTGTTTTACCAGCTTAGAAGTCAAATGTTCACTAATATGATGTGCTTTGACTTGCGGGGTCTTGGGGTGAATAATAAAATCTCATAATAAAGGATATAAAAAATCTGTATGGCGAAGATATAATATTATTATCCTGCTTGGATGGGTGATGCGCTAAAACCAGGTGGAACTTTTACCTATGGCAGGGCAGTGGGCCTGAGAAGTAAGACCGTGTGTGCGTGCGTGCGTGTGAGGGAGAGATAGAGAAAGAAAGAGAGAGAGAGAGAGAGAGAGAGAGAGAGAGAGAGAGCAAATGAGTGAGAGATGCAGCTTCATCTCGTCAATACCTTAGAGTCTTAGATAGAAGGGAGTGTGGTCGCTGCCGCAGGCGACCGGTATAGGGTAGAGAGCTGTTAGAATGCGCTGCCAGGACTTGGTACCTTACCTCTACACGTCACAGTTGTGAGAGCACGTGTGACAAACATATGCGAAGCACGGAGCTATATAAGCATCCACACCGACGACATACGGCCGGACGCGTGCACTCATATTCTGGTTGGATTTCTCGTCTGCTGCTCGACTCGACGTCACCTTTCAGATGATGCCAGTGACATTGCAAGCCAGAGGCCTGTTCCGATCGATCGTAAGATATGAAAGCCGACCGGGAGCACAGTTGAAGTGGAAACGTTGGCGAATGGTCTCACCGGTCTACTGCTTGTGATCCTCCTTCCGCACACACACACACTGGTGGCCACTTTCAGGGACGTGCTCTTCGGAGCCGTACTGGTTCTGTTGGAACCCGGCTCCTGATTATAATAGGAGTAGTACTGGAAGCCAGTGGGCAGGTCAGCTGACGAACCAGAGTCGCCTGGCGTACGTAGCTAGACTGTAGAGTCTGTGTACGGATGCTCCATTAGGAGGGCTGGTTCACACAAACTGGATTATAACCGGGTGCGACCATGAGCGACTGTGGCGAGAGGAGCGCACCTGCAGACGAACAAGAATATCAAAGAAACACCGGTCGCAAATACATGTATGAGAGTTATGGTCAACGCGTGAGTGTGTGCGGAGGGGGATCAGACAGGCATGAGAGAGAGAGAGAGAGAGAGAGAGAGAGAGAGAGAGAGAGAGAGAGAGAGAGAGAGAGAGAGAGCGTGTGTGCATGCGTGTGCATGTGTTATTGGAAGGGAGAGAGGTAAAGAGAGAGAGAGAGAGAGAGAGAGAGAGAGAGAGAGAGGGAGAGAGAGAGAGAGAGAGCCTCGCACACACACACACACCACTATGCCGATACACATGTTCACACATAAACACATCCGCACACCGACACACATTCATACACATACGTGTTTGGACAGACACTCGCACATGCATACGCATGCACAATACACTCGAACCTCCACATGCACACCCACATACACACACATGCACACACACACTCACGTACATACACATGCACACACAAACAGACACACACACGCATAAAGAAGAAGATCGCGCACTCACCGCAGCTGGAAACTCGGCTTTACTGGACGAGTCCGGGCTGTCAGTCGAACTCTTCTTCGCCTCCGTTGCCTTTCCAGTTGACCTCGAGTGAGTGGGCAGATTGTATTCGGCGGCCTTGAGCTCCAACCTAGCGAGGTGAAGGACGTAAGCCAGCATAGTGCACAGGCCCAGGAACTGGAAGACGACGAGCAGGTAGGAGTCCCACTGGCGCGTGTACAGCTCCTCCATGTTGCGCACCGTCGAGCCCAGGTAGGCGTTGAACGACTGCGCCGGCAGCAGACCTATGATGCTGGCAAGGCAGCAGCGCCACACTGGCTGGTCGGTCACCTACGCGCCGGCAAAGAACACAGACATGGGAAAGCACGGCAGAGAGCGGAGTGCACGCACACACACACACACACACACAAACACACAGGAACAAAGCCATCAGACCTTGGGTTTCTTCTCCAGGTTTACTCGGTTCCCCATACCAGCTCGTCGGTAAGATTCACACACACACAGTCACACACACACACACACACACACAAACACACGCACCATGTAACATGCGCCCGTCGCAAGAGAAGCACGCAAATCTGCAAATGCACTGGGTGTGCACCCACAGATTTTCTCTTATAGTAACACACACACACACACGCATACACACACACACACGAACATGCGCAAGCACATGCTCGCACCATCACGCATACACTCACACGCATACAAATACCGTAAAGTACCGTTGATTCGCCCCCCCCCCCCCCCCCCGTCGCATTTCTGCCTGTGAAGCAACCTCGGCGTATACAACGAAATACAATGCTGAACCGACGCATGTACTGCTGTACACACTACAGTATGTGCGAGTGCAGGATGAAAATGTGCGCAATCCAGCATGCCAGGTCTGATCTTTTGCTTTGTTGTACATCGTACTGCACTTGAGCGACTTGATCTAATTCCTGCCCGCCCCCCCCCCCCCTGCCGAAAAACCGGCTGGGAAGCGACACGGCCTAGGGGGCGGATCAACGGTACTGTACGGTACCGTAGGCAGACAATGGGGTCATGATCGTCAAGGCCAAGGCATGAGCTAATGAAAGGGGCAGCAGGCTTGTACACTTCTAACAGCTCACTTACAGCAAAGCATGCGTTCTGCAGTCCAAATGGGATGGGGGTCAGGCGCGTGAGCATAACCACGCGGAATCCATACGAGCCGTCCATAACACGAATCAGTGCTTTCAGATGGGACTGCTCCAGCGACTCATGGACAGTATCACGGAACCATCTCCGACACGCGGACAGAGACACCAGCACACCTACGCCGGCACACGTCGACGCTGCCAGGACGCCGCCGACGAACCCGTACAAATAGCCGGAGGCAATGTTGAGCAGCAGATAACCAAACGTGAAGGGAAAAGAGACTAGAATGAACAACACTTGTAGTAGGGCGCTGCTTTGCCACCACGGCAACGCTGAGAGGAAAGCCAGAATCCCGTGCAAGTACTGTCGTCCTGAGAGCAGCAAGCCCACCATGAGCAGGCTGAGGGCAACTGTCGAGCCATAGGGTCGGGACAAGCTCCATTTCTTGCCACGACTGCGCCACGTTGTTTGTACGTCGGATGGCACGACCGGCGGCAAGGATGAGCTGGATTTCGCCACTGGGTTTGCAGTCTGCTCTGTGCAGGACATCTTGGTCACTGCCACAGCCACCATATCAGCAAAGCGCAGCAGCCGAGAAAGAAGGGGTCCAGTTTGATCGACACAAGGATTGAAATTTCTCTTGTGGACTCACAACGTAGTACAGCCCAGACTGAAAAATTTTCCGTACAAGGTTCAGCAAAATGCAAGCTCACTGCATGACTCTACGACTACGGTCTACCTCTACCACACAGCACATGCGGAGTATGGCGGAGTCTTCGCTGCTTGCAAGCGATCTCACTACACACTCTGCTGCGCAGCCTAGCCAGCAGTACACCACAGATGGCGGAAGGAAACCACGGAAAAGCGCAGTCTAGTCAGGACTTTCTTCATACACTGATCATGCTGATGCGAGTGAGGGGGTCCAAAAAAGGAGCAAAATAAGCAAGACTGCACTGATTCATGCCAAGGCCAAAAAAAAAAGTTCTCCATCCACGCACGTGTCTACGCGCGCTGTCGAGTGCGTGTCGTGTCGAGCTCGAGCTGACTGCATGCTGCACTGACGTCGTGACATGACATGATCGATGATGACGTTGCCGCAAAACTTTTGACAGCCACCATGTACCAAGCGCAGCGCGAGCGGCGCGAATTTTCGAAAATTCATTTTGAACTAAAACTTGCAGTTTGCTTCACCCTTTGTTTTGTTCGTTCGAGTAACAGTTCCTCACGTGAAGAGTTCGTCCTGGTTTGCACTCCAATGTCGTTTGTGTAACGACTCTCTTGGCAGGCTAAATCAAACACAACGGAGATCTACTAGTATCAGAAAGTTCCGCGATTTCAGGGAATCCTGGCTGCTCGCAGCAGAAGTTGTAGCTCCTGGATTGCTAGTACCAGAGAAGAGGCAACATGCCTCGCGCAAAATCTCTCTCGCGCCCCTCCATCTCCGACAAGGCCACGGCCGCCAGCGCAGCCGTAATGGAGCGAGGCAAGGACGTTCTTGTCGATGCAGTGCTGGCACTGTACGACGAATGCTCCAAGGAGGCGGAAAGAGACAGGAATGCTTCACGCTTCGTTGAACAGAGTAAGACAAAGTACACGCTGGTTTGAAACCACCTGGCTACTTGCATTTTTGTTGGCCAGATAACACGTATCCAGCGTACCCGGCTTGGGTAGCTTGGAAAGTGAATCACCGGCCTGAGGTGCGTTTACCGCCGTAGTAGCTAGAGCGCCAGCAGTAGATTAATACGGATCTTATCCGTGGACAATTTATACACACCTCCCTTGGAATCAAACAAATTTCAATGCTTCTGGGGTTGGAGTTGAGAAGCACTTTTCCTGGCACATCTTGGAGCATCAAAGTAAAGCACACAATTTAATTTAAAATTCACCAAAATGCCCGCATCAGGTACAGAATAGTTTTTCCCCCTTCGCCCACCCCAGTTTTCAGTTCTTACTTACTTGAAACTGTCGCACTTCTATCTTCATTGTACACGTGTCACCTCTAGCTCTACGTACTCGCTCGATTAGAAGGCGGGGGCGGGGGCTTTTATTTTTTCAATGCCAATTTTGAGGAGGCTTTTATTCAAGTGGACCTTTATTATTTCATTCCATGCCAGTATTCCGATTGAAGTTGTATTTTTTCAAACGGTCGCTATATGGGGGGGGGGGGGGGGGGGGGGCTTTTATTTGAGAGGGGCTTCTAATCGAGTGAGTACGGTGTATTCCCAATGCCTCTACCAGTATACGGGCAGTAATAGTATAGTACATGCACCCCCCCTCCCCCTCCCCTGTGTTAGAAAGACCCTAGGGCCTGGGCCTGGCGTTCAAATTTGTCATGGTTGAGCCTGTTAGAGGAACTCCCTTCGAAAGGGAAATGTATTGGTAGCGCCAGTTCCTGTAGCTGGTGGCTATCCATGCGTCCATGTGTGCGGACCTACAGTCCATTCGGAAAAAGATGGACTTCTAGCTTTTGGCCATAAATGGGTCAACCTTTGAGTTTTTTTAGAATTTTTTTCTGCAATCCCCTATGGAATCCTCTTCCAATTATGTTTCTGAACTTTTTTTGTCCAAAAAGCAAGCCATAACAAGAATAGGATTTCGGCCAGGTTTTGCCCCAAAAGCACTAAAAAAACCATAAACATCCAGGTCGTTTGACCCCGCCTGCAACAGTGCATTGTGCGGTTCGAACTTCGAACTCCAGTTCAGGTACCCTTTTTGGACCCTTTTCAAATTTAAAATTTCGCAGCGCTGCACTGTGTACGATCAAATTACGAAAAATCGCCGAATACGGGAGCTCGCCAGGGGCCAGGGCCCATCTCTTTTATGAATGGACTGTATACCTCATCTGTCTGAGTCGTCTGAGTCGCCCGGCATGTGCACTGCGCGCACGTGTGTGTGTGCACGTGTGTGTGTGTGTGCAAATCCGTGGGTGCACATCCGGTGCATTTTCAGATTTGCGTGCTTCTCTTGCGACGGGCGTACACATGGTACATGGTGTGTGTGGGTGTGTGTGGGTGTGTGTGTGTGTGTATGGGATATATGGTGTGTCGGAGAGAGAGAGAGAGAGAGAGAGAGAGAGAGAGAGAGAGAGAGAGAGAGAGAGAGAGAGAGAGAGAGAGAGAGAGAGAGAGAGAGAGAGGGAGGGAGGGAGCATGTTAATGTGTGTATCTGTTTGTTTGTGTTACACTACGTTAAATCTTTGACCTTGCCCTTACTTTGATCTGCTGCAGACAATGAACTTGTCAGTGAGCTGCGCTGCTTGCAGACCCGGCTGAGCGACTTCAAGGGTTGCGGTATGATCGGCCGCGGCTGTTTCGGCGAGGTGAGTGACATGCCTTACACACTGCATCGTTCTCAGTTTGGGACATTTGATCACAATGGGAGCTATGGTTAATCTTCCCGCCGGTTTGGTTTTAGTTTTGCGGGGCAAGTCCACTTCAGCCGTACACTCCGTGATACCAGTTATTAAAAAAGTCATGAACTGTGTACGATTATACTCACACATGTACAGTACTAGAGCTGGGTGTACGTGCCAAATATGGGACAAGTTTGGCAATGCTCAATGGAGTACTTGTATTGGCAGCAACTGTTGTGTTATGTGGAATGTAAGTTTGAAAGTCTTTTTTGCCTGTACTCGTCAAGTATTGAGATTGTTTGTCTGTGTGCTTTGTTTGTTTCCCGTGACAGGTGCGTGTTGTAAAGGAAGTGCGTACCGGCGGCGTGTATGCGCTGAAGTCCACGAGCAAGCAGGACGCTCTTCAGCAGAGCCAGGTAAACAAAATGAGGGCCTTGGTTCAGGCTGGGTGTGAATGAAAACCGGGCACGGCGCACACATGCTCGCACATGCACGAACACATGCTCGCATATGCGCGCGCGCACACACACACACACACACACACACACAGACGTACACATTTGCACACATGCACACCGTTAGGCGCTGCATCTGCCGCTAGGGTTTTCCGGGTGTTAGCGGCCGCCGTGAGTTCCCTTCGGGAACGGACACGATAGTTGACTTTTTACTTCACACCCTTCTTAGTCGTATTGGTCAATCTGTCGGCAGTCTTGTTTCATTTTCTTGTTTCATTGGCTTGTTTCATTGTCATTCCATAGCATCTCATGAATCCAGGTGATAAAACTCAGCAGATTTTGTACCGTCGGTCAGCGTCATGCAATGTTATCGCATGAGCTGATTGTTTAGTAACTGGTGGTGTTAGTGGACATTATAGTGTAACTTGTAGTTGTCCTTTTTTTTAAAGATTTTTTTATTCTTTACCAATTCTGAGGGACACCTCTTTGCGGCTGAATCATTAACAATGACTTGGTGTGGCCAAACAGCATTGTACTGGTGACTTTTGCCGATAGGAGAACAAGAAGCCTGCTTGCCAAGCTGTTGTCTGTTGACATGATACGGTGGACAACAACTGAATTCTTCCAGTCAGTATGCACCTACTGTAGCGGACATTGAAATCCGTTGAGAAGTCAAGCGGCCACGGGGCGCTGGCCTTGCAGCCGGGAGCACTGCTGGTCCATTTTTTTACAGTGTGGACGTGAACAACAGTGCATGTACGCCCTAAAAGGAGTGAGGGCGCCGGCCCCAGTCATCCCATCGGATTTCAATGTCCACGGCAGTACAATGCTTTTTGGCCACGCCATGCCATTGTTCTTGTCACTTCTCACTCTGGATCTGTGCAATGCTCGGCCTTTTCGACTACGCCACGTCATTGTTAAGGATTCAGCTACGGGAGGCATCCCTCAGAATTTTGAAACATGTCATTGTTATTCTTGATTCTCACTGTGGGTGATCTGTGCAGTGCTTGGCCTTACAGCACGAGAAAGAGATACTGGAGCGCAACAAGTCTCCATTCCTCGTTCAGCTACGCTGTTCCTTCCAGGACACTGGCTACTTGCATTTCGTCATGGACTACGCGCCTGGCGGTGACCTCATAGCACACTTACGGAGACAAGAGTCCGGTTGTCTGCCCGAACATCATGTCAGGTAAGTCGCTGCTGGCGCTGTTGCTGGTTGTTGTGGCTATGTTGTTTGCTGCAATGTGTACTGATGGTGCTGCTGCTGTTGTGTGTACTGGTGGTGGTGGTGGTGATGCTGCTATTGTGTGTACTGGTGGTGATGGTGGTGGTGGTGATGATGCTATTGTGTGTACTGGTGGTGGTGGTGGCGGTGGTGGTGGTGGTGGTGGTGTACTGACGTTTTTTGGTGGTTATGTTGATGCGATTGTGTGTACCGAATGTGTTTGCTGTGGTTATGTGGTTATGTTGTGCAGAGTGATGGCTGTGTTGGCACTGTTCTTGCCAGTGATGCGTCATCATAATTATGGTGGTCTTGTGCCTGTGGCGAGTGTTAGCGTAACACGTTATCATCCTCAGTGCCTCCTCTCTCAGCCATGCTGATCGCTTGCTCATGTATATGCCCTGGCCTGGCTTTTCATGTCTTTTTTTTTTCTTTTTTTTTGTGTGCAGATTTTACTTATCCGAAGTAGTAGCTGCACTAGATGCTGTGCATCAGCTGGGCTTTGTGCATCGAGATGTCAAACCGGAAAATATGCTTGTTGCCACGACTGGTCACCTCAAGTTGGCTGATTTTGGCTGCGCTGCCAGGCTGGACCCGAATGGAATGGTATGATTCATGATGACCTACATTTCGTGCCCAGAAATGATCTTGTGGCGGGAAAATAATTCTTTGTTGCCACGGCATCATTAATTTATCTTTGTGCATCTGTGTATGTAAGTTTGGTGGTGGGTCTGGTCTGCTCACCTCCCACCGATTTAGGAGCTGCGCCTGCGCCTTTGAAACCTTGAAGGCGATGGCGTTCCTACGGATGTGGAAAACTCGGTCTGACAATGTTTCTAGGCGAACCATGAAATTCGTGTGTATATATGTGTGTTCGTGGTGGTCAATTCATCAGCCTTGCAAGCTGTTGAATGGTGTAATCCCAGCACAAGGTGATAATATGTCTAACGTAGCTGTTCGCTATCATCGCTTCCGCGATGGACAGGTCCGAGTCTGGGATCTGAGTGTGTATGTTCGTCCAACAGTGCACCTTTCTGTCGTCGTAGACACGGCATGCATATCCTCGTCGGGGAAAGGACAAACTCACTTGTTCGTGCACAGTGCAAACAATAGCCTTAGGGCCGATTCCCACTACGGTACCGTGAGTGCCGTGCCGACGATTTGGGTAGGTCACGTGTACCCCACGGTACGAGCTTGAAGCTGAGAGTGATTTACACCTGCGCACAGTCATTCCGTGCATTCCGTCGGCAGGCCGGATCACCATTTTTATCAATTTCTGACTTTGGTCCTGAGGGAAAATAGCGGGGGAGATGACTGCTGGAGAAAGCTCAAGAATCAACCAATCGAAAAGCCAAAAGCCAAGAAAAAACTTCGTACCACAAATACAAAAGCCAAGAAAAAACTTCCTTTCAGGGAGTAGCAAAATACCTACTACTCACTGCATTCGACCTCACGGAATACCACGGCATGCCATTTCCACCCCCCCCCCCCCCCCCCCCCCCCCCCAGAGACCCTCGGCACCGGAATGTCCACGGCGCGGTACGGCAGGAGCCACGGAATGAACTCGCGCCAAAACTGCCCCTCACGTGAGCAAATCACCATGGGTACTCACGGCACGGCACTTACGGTACCGTAGTGGGAATCGGCCCTTATAGGGGATTCACACGACGGGCAAACTCACGTGTGTGGTACTCTTTTTACTCGTGTGACCCTAGCGCGTGCAAAATCTTGATAAACTTGATCGAGGGTCCTAGGCCCACGTTTGTGCTTTGCGCGCGTGTAAAAACAGCGAGAGTACATGAGTACACAGGCGGATGCGAGATTTGCACGGGTCTGTTGTCCGTGTGAATCCGATGGGCAGCTTGTCCACTTTTATACAAACGTGTTTTCGTTCATTTTCACGTCGTGTGAATACCCTATTACACAAGATACTACAGTGATGCAGGTCTTGTGTCCACGGTGTTACCTACCGTAAAGTCTTGTATAAAAGCCGCGGATTCTATGACTTTCTTGGTGAAATTTTGCAGGCTTCTATGCAAGACAGGTATTTCTATGTATGTCGACACTAAAACCAGGCTTATGTGTGATTTGATGGGCCCAAAATTGCGGCTTCTATTCAAGTGCGGCTTTTATACAAGACTTAACGGTATGCTCAACACGAGTACAGTCAAGTGCGGATATACCGACAATTCGCGAATAGCGACAGAATTCCCATGCCCAGAGCAAAGTCCATTCTACCTGAATACATGTACATATAATGAGACTTCGGGTATACGGACACTTCGCGAATATCCCGCCAAGTGTCGTTATACTCAAAGTTGACAGCACTACTAAACTCGTCCTGTGTTCTATTCCCTTTCTGCAGGTAACCGGCATAATGTCAACAGGAACACCAGATTACATGGCTCCTGAAGTGCTTGCTTGTATGGAGCTGCCCTCGAACCCAGATGGTATGTTTCGTATCTCAATTCATTTGCTGCAAGTGCTGTACGATTTCTACGCACGTAGAGCTGTATGTTGTGCTCTTTCTTCCTCTCCCGGTCTCCTCAAGAGAGATGTTTCTTTTGGCGGGCTGTTTGTTTTTGAATGTACTAGCAGTCTGCTTTTGTGTGTGTGTGTGTGTGTGTGTGTGTGTTTGGCTTTGTGTGTGTGTGTGTGTGTGTGTGTGTGTGTGTGTATGTATGTATGTGTGGGTGTGTATTTGTACACTGGCAGCACATAAGCCTGGTTTTAGTGTTGACACACATAGAAATACCCAGTTTAAATAGAAGCCTGATGTGAATATATGCCTAGCCCTAACATCGGCTTCTACAGGAATAAGCCAGGCTTTAATACGCGACATTACGGTATATGTTGTGTTGTACCCCTGCTCAGCCTCAATGTGCGCCAAGCCTTATGGTGTGAAGTGTGACTGGTGGTCGATGGGTATATCCATGTTTGAACTGCTGGTTGGTCAGCCACCACGCTGTGATCGCGAGGAGAGTACCAACAACCTAGGACAGGTGATTTCCAACACAAACAAGCTGGATGTAAGTACTGTACTCTGTGTGTCTGTGCGTGCGTGTGTGTGTGTGTGCGTGTGTCTGTGTGTGTGTGTGTGTGTGTGTGTGTGTGTGTGTGTGTCTGTTCGTGTGTCTGTGCGTGTGTTTGTGCGTGCGTGTGTGTTTGTGCTTGTTCTTATTGAACTCCTTGTATTGCAATGGCTGCTGGTTGGCCAGTTTTCAGTTCCATCACAGATTTTAATTTCTGATATCCGAATCCATTGTGACAAGTTCAGACGAATGTCTTGTAATAAGAGTGTTTTGGAGAGGGATGGATCATGATGGACAAAAACGGGCCTTGAACGGGCTTTCAGAACTATCTCTGTGTTTTTGAACAAACCCTGGTGTGTTTGTATGTCTGCGTATGCTTACTCAGCTACAGAATCTGTTTGATGGCGCCGACATCCAGGTGTCCGACGCAGCCAAGAGTTTCCTGTGTCAGCTGGTGTGCCCCAGCGAGGAACGCCTGGATTTGACTGCCATCCGGGCCCATGAGTTCTTCTGCGGTGTGGACTGGAACAACCTTGAAGCAGGTATGATGATGGGCTTATGCCCTGGTTCAGTGTCGGCCCTGTATTGGTTGGGTCCAGTTTGTTGCTTAGATGCAGCTAAAGAGGTTCGCCCTCTTGCCGGGCTTTGGTTATGAGACTTGTCACCTCACCGGATTTCCACTGCATCTGCCACCCTGGTATAATCAGGTGTGCAATGTTCTTCTCTGCTCTTTACAGCCACCCCGCCATTTGTTCCTAGTCTGTCCTCACCCACGGATACATCATACTTTGATCAGATCGACGATCTGGCCCAGGCGTCCCTTCCACCGCCCACGCCGCCTCCACCGCACCGCAACGGCATTCGTACGGACGACCTGCCCTTCGTCGGCTTCACGTGCTTTCCACACGCACCGTCGAGCAAGCTGTCACCGATGGCTGCTCCTCCGCTGACCTCGCTCACTCCGGTTTCGTCGGCCAATTCTGGACGACGGTCACCAAGGTGAGACACATACAGTACAGTACTTCAGGTCGAAGAACTGAGGGGGTCAGCCGCCTAGCCTAGACCGTTTTTATTTTCATGTACACGGTGACTCAACTGTGACTCAACTGCGCATAGACTGTAGTAGACTGTAGTCTATGCGCAGTTGAGTCACCGTGTACGCATTGGTACGCTATGATTGGTGAAATTCTAGGCTAGTCGTTCTTCGGCGCTCTGTTCTTTGGCGCCCGGCCGTACTGTAAGGGGCCATTCGGCATTTTCATGGAACGGAAAAAAAAGTTTAGTTATGACCCTCCCCCAACCACCCTGTAACGAGAATATTTTTTGCTTGACATCTTGAATGGATTGATGTTTCATCTAACAATCAATATTTTCAAAATGAAACTCTACTTGACCCACCCGCCCATAAAAAAAGTTGGATAATTATGAACGGCCCCTAAACATGCGGTATGTTTAAATAAATTATCAGGCATTGCTGTGCGGGAATCTTGTCGCATGAAACCTGCCCCGGAAGAAATCTCTTTTCAAACAATGTTCAAATTTGTCAGGATTCAGCCTGTATAATTCATTAATTTAGTATTATTGTATGATGTCGGAACTAAGATGAGAAATCTCGTTCAACCTCCCCATCCTTTCCAAAGCGAGTTGCGTTCATGTAGGTTGTTTTCTTTCACTGTGATCCCCTTCCACAAACTCCAACGCAGCCACTTGCACATTTAGGAAACTGCACTCAACTCCAAACTCCAAAAACGGTCTCTTCACTGTGATTTCAAATTAAAATTTACATTACACCAAATTTTCAGGCTTGGCCCATCATGAGGGTTATGAAATTGTCGAGTGAAGTTTCCTGAATGATCGCTTTCATTAGTTCAGGCCTTCGGGACATGGAAAAAGGGAAAAAAGTCTGAAGAAAAAATTGACTGTCGCCACCGCTACTCGAACCAGGGACCTTCGCTTGAGGCCAGCGATGCTCTAAATGCTGATCCCTTTCCGTGATCTGTTTTTTGCCGTTTTCTGGGTGTGTGTGTGTGTGTGTGTTTCTGTGCGCTGTTGTCGTTGGCGTACGTGCTGCGCGTTGTCCAGGAGTGTACGTCGCACGTCCACGCCCACCACCGTGCCGGGCATCAGCCCGATCTGCAAGCCAACACCCGGCCCGCGCAAGCGTGCGCACTCAGACGGCAACGACGACAACAGCAGCGGCACCACCACCGCCACTGAGGAGCGTCGCCATGACAGCAGCAGAGTCCCGCTGGTGGCGGTCGACGGGGAGTTTCTGACGCTGCCCACCAAGCAGCAGCAGCAGCAAGCTAGCCCGTGCCCCACGATGTCCGTCAGCTGCGTGTCCGACTCGTCCGTGATGCAGACGCGCCTCATCGACCTGCAGTCGGACGTGGCCAGTCGCGACAACGTCATCGCGTCACTGGAGCGCCAGCTGGGCGACTGTAGACACTCGCTGCAGGAGGCCACGTCACGACGCAAGGACGCCGAGCGCAGCAGCGAGGAAAACCGGGTCGCGCGGGAGCTGGCCGTGGCTAAACTAGACGTGAGTGATGATGGATAGTGCTGCCCGACACAGTACGTCCCCTTCTATGATGCCATGCGGGAATTCGCGTTGGCGGCGCTCAATTCAAACTGCACATTCTGGCTTTGCCTTTTTTGGGGATTGAGTCAAATAATTTGTCATTTCGTATGCTTGAATCCTAGGGTTGTTACATGGTAAAGATGCGGGCTCACCATCTGAATTCTGACTCCCAGAGTAGTAATAATCGTACTCACAATCATTCTCATGCTTCATTGAATTTTGCTGTGTTTGAGTAGGGTTCCAATGTTCTTACTGTACAAGCAGAAATATTTGTTTGGAATTTAATTTCGTCTTTTTCGTCCAAGGAGCTTTCGGACTAAATTAAATGCCGGACGAATGTCGATTTGTCCAGCGTTTCAATACACTGTTATAGTCCATGGGCTAAATTTTCAACCGGACGAAATCCCTTTCTTTGGAGTTGGACGAAATGTTCTGCCTGTGCAGTATCTCATTCTTCCTTTCATGGAATTGTTTTCAGTTCTTGAATTGTGTTCTACCCAACGTCAGATCATTCTCATGCTCATATTAATCGCAAGTTGTTATTGCTGCTGCTGCTGCTGCTGCTGCTGCTGCTGCTGGTGTTGAACAGGATGTTACTGAGCAGCTTGACATGGTGACGGCCGAAAACCGCGGCCTCTCCAATGAGATCAAGCTCTTCCTGGACAGCAAGAAGGAGTGGGACAAGGAAAAACAGTGAGTATAGTCAGCATCACTCATAACAAACTCGCTTATGTAGCGAATTTCGTGATGCAGGTCTACCCTCGTGAGTACGGCATCGACATCGGTTACAAAACAACCTTCTTTAGTTATATCAAGAGTACAGCTGCCAGGATGGATTCGCTTGGTCCTGATCTTTGCAACGAGCCCAGGATGATGAAAATCCATCAAGGTGGAGTGAAATGAGAATAAATTCCGCTCGGAGCTGTGAGTGCATACTCCACCAAGAGAGTCAGTGCGCATATTTGGTGCAGATCTGAGGCGGGAAGTGGCGTAGTGCGTACAACTGAGCTGCAGTTGTGCGGAAAGAGACCTGCTTGAATCCTGCTTGTACGCACCACATCACTGAAATGATGTAATCACGAACTTCCGCCGTGACAGCAACCCATCCGAGCTGCACCCTCTGGTTTTCATGTACTCTGAGATACATGCATAGCTCATTAGTTATAGTGAAGTTGAAGACACCAACAAGACAACGTTTTTGAAACCCCAGGGATTGTCTACTAGCGAGGGTAGACCTGTATGGCGAGCCATTGTTCGTGTCCGTGTTTGAACCTGTGTGTAAAAATTAAAAATGGACGCCAACCGGTTCATGGTGTGTTTCTTGTTCTGCTTTCTATTCTGGTTTCGCTGCTGCTCTGTCCTGTGCTGTAGACAGGGTTCGCACAGGTTATGGAAGGCCTGGAAAATGTATGATATTGTGAAACGAGGTTTAAAAGACCTGGACAACTATGATATTTTGAGTGTGAGTTTTGGGAAGTTTTGTAAAAGTTATTAAATTTGGTGGTGATTGTCACTTCTGCTCTGTGCTGTGCCGTAGATCTGTCAGTGAGCAAGCCACCATGGAGCTCTCCGTGGTGCACCACATGGCCGAGCGAGAACGCCTCAACTCTCAGAAACGCCTGGCGTTCAAGGACAGCGAGATCAAGGAGCTGAAGACGGCGAACGGCGACCTGCGCTGTCGTGTTGCCTCGCTGGAGAAACGACTTCAGGTTGTTATGTTATGTCATGGTGTCATGTTTTGGTCACGTATACTCCCATATCGTACATATTGGTCTCAGTTCTCTTTCTCTTGACCATGCCGTGTTTCCTGGTCCGTTGAACTTTCCTTTTCCATCTCTGAAAGTATAATGTAATAATTATAATATTGCTCTCCTGCTCGACTTGTCTTTGGGTGGCTGTGAACGTAACGCAGGTGAAGTCCACCGACGCGCTCACCGGTCTCGATGAGGTCAAGAAGCGTCTCGCCGAGGTGTCGTCCTCGTCCAAGGAGCGCATCGCCGCGCTGCAGAGCGACCTGAAGACGGCGCTGGAGGTGCGAGCCACGCTGCACGAGGACATTGCACGACTGCAGGACACGCGCCAGGCGCTGGAGGACGAGAAACGCGGGATCACGGTACGTTTACCGCTCGTTGATGTGTTGTTTGTTCTACTGGTTGCTGCTATTTGCGTTACTATCGGGCTTGAAAGTGCTACGTCACAGCATAGCAACAATTTCAAAAATTCAAAAAACTGGATTCCCATGGATCCAGTTTTTGAATGGATCCAAGCACATTTCAAGCGGTCTTACTCGCAGCAAGGTGATATAGCCGGTGAAATTGACTGGGTTGGCTAATGGGGGGGGGGGGGGGGGGTGACAACTGGTGGCGAAGAAAAAGTCACACCTGCATACGACATGAGTGGGTTGCTATGCACCCACACACTAAAGCGGGATTCACAGAAGCTTTTTTGCGATGCGACACGCGATGCGACACGATCTGCGAAGGACGCGTGCGATGCGAACTCGCGAAATACCATTCACAGAAGAAGTCAGTGATGCGACAACATCTTGCTGATTTGGCTACGTCACCATGATATTCGCACGGTTTGTTACGTGTACAAATTTATAGGCAACTCTTGAACCTTTGTACAACTTTGCTGTAGAAAAGGTCAAAATCGTACGCCAAATCGCTTGTCGCATCGCATCGCAAAAGTTGAGCCAAGCTCAACTTCTGCGATGGCCTGCGGTGGCCCAGTTGCGGCAGTTGCGTGGGGTGCGACATGGCTGCGATTTGGGGTTTTCCCTGTTTCGCGCCTGTCGCATCGCAAAAAAGCTTCTGTGAATCCCGCTTAAGGCAATAGCAAAGTCACACCTTGGTGGATCCAAAAGTAGAAATCTGACGTGAACTTACTACACTCCCTGGCCGTTTTGACGTTATCACTTTCAAGCCCTATTTATTACCTGCATGTTACCGTGGTGTGTCTTACTGCAAATATTTGCTTGTACAGTCAGACCTCGCTTATCCGGATCCCTCGCCATCCGAAAGAAAATAGCTGGTTACAGATTTACAGCATACGTGTTGCATCCAACATAACCGGTGTTCGATTATCCGGTTCCCTCGCCTATCCCGATGTTTTTGTGGAAAACGGATGTGTGGTTAATGCTTTGTTGCTTCTCTGTCCTTTTATACTTGTTATCAAATCAGTCTGTTGTTGTCTTTTCTAAACTGGATTTCTCCTTTGTTCTGCTCACTGTCGTACTCGTGTGCTGCTGCAGGAGAAATTCACCAAGGAGCGCGAACAGTTCACTACAAACTCCTCGGCTACGCAGGTAACTTTCTTTTTACCGTCTAGTCCTCTGCTATTGTTGCCTAGTTTCCAGTTGTTCGTATACTAGTAGGCCAGATGTATCACTACCATAGAGAATGGCTTCGGCCTCTGGTGGGCGGGTCTGATCTCTCCTCCCCAGCCGTTTACAGTACCTCAGCTATATACTGATGATGTTAACTTTACGGCCCTTGGAGGCATTTTATCGGAAGCTTCACTTTCCTTTTTCCTTTTGGAGTCCTATTTCTCTCATGGGAATGCTCTCATCGCTGCTTTCATGCCCGTTGCTTAATTTATACTGTCGACGCAGAAAGAATGTGAGAAGCTGACGCAGCAGGTGGCAGAACTAACCAAGCTCGCATCCGTAAGTCTCGACTTGCCTCTGCTTGGCCCCGGGCAGGCCAGGGCTGTATTTCATGAACAGGCGGTGTGCAAATGGTGTGCAAACTGGTACCGCTGTATAAGCAAAAACTATTCGTCAGGAGTTTAATTTCGTCTTTTCGTCCGAGGAGCTCGTAAACTGAATAAAGTGCCTGACTTACGTTGAGTTGTCTAGCTTTTCAATATGTGTTATAGTCTATGGGCAAAATTCTTGACGTTTCGAGTCATTTGGAGTTGGGCGATCTTATAGTAACACCTGTCTGAGGCGACCAGTCAAGGGACCTTGCAAATGTGGTCGCCGTGGCCACTCAAGGGACCTTGCAAATGCGGTCGCCGTGGCCACTCAAGGGACCTTGCAAATGCGGTCGCCGTGTTCACATGATCTCCTTATTCAGTGTCTGACGACAAGTCATTTCATGCCGGGCGGTTGTGTTAGGCCCTCTTCAGACTAGGTACAAACCAGCCTATAAGTCACATTTACATAGAAGTTTCCAGGACAACAACAAGAATCTGGCGGGAAACCTAAAAAGCTGCCCAATCCTTTCAGGCAGGGGGCCAACCCTTGTACAAGGCAACTTTCCTGCATTTATCGTACTTTCACCAGGCAGTTGTACGAACTTTGTACCCGGGTACGACTGTCCGCTGCTTTCACACATCCCAGGCCGCTTGCGCAATTTCGTAGGGTCAAAGGTTGCCTGTATATTGCATGTAAAATGTGTAGTCTGAATGCAGGCATGGAAAAATGTTGCCTTTTAGGTTTTATGTGATTTTGTACTGGATTTTCTATGTACGTAGTCTGATGAGGGCCTAAACACTATCGCTTTCCCCATAGTACGTCTCTTTTGCTACTGTTGTCCTGTTTGCAATGTAGGCATCTGAAGATCATAATCGTCAGTTAGCCAAGCTGGAAGAGCTCCTTCTTGGCAAGGCCCAGTGCTGTGCTGACCTGATGACTCGTGTTTCTGTAAGTCCGGCTGTTTGCACTGTTTTCTACGTTTGAGTGTACGGTTGTGATGTGCGTGTACGTGCGTGTGTGTGTGCGTGTACGTGCGTGTACGTGCGTGTCTGCCCGTGTGTGAGGGGTGGAGGGAGTGAGTGCATGCTTTGTCAATCCGTCTCACTGCGCAACAGCTTTCATTTTTGTTTTCACTTGCTTTACCTCCAGGCATACGAACTTGTGGTGTTTAGTCCTGGACTGGGAGATATTTCTGAATGATCTCCTCCTGGTAGTGTTAGATTTGGTTTCTTATATACAGTATAACGCATCGGTGTGGTGTTGTCGTTGCTGCTGGTACTCTCGCCATTTCTGTTTGGTTTGTCTTCTAGACTCTTGAAGACGAGCTGGAGAAGATCCAGTCCGACAAGCAGGCCGTGGAGTCGGCCGAGTGGGCCCTGGCCGAAGAGAACAAGAAGCTGGAGCAGAAACTGGCCGAGTACCGCTCCATCATCGCCTCCTCTCCTGCGCTGCCTGCAGTATCCGTCACTGTCACCGCTGACAGCTCCACATCACCGTTGGCAACGGCTCCGGCGCAGACCACTACCATGGAAACGCAAACGGCAATGAGCGGCGGCGCTGACGCCCTCACCCCCGAGGAAATTGAGCTGCGGCCCGTCATTCTCAGGACCACATCGTCGTCGTCGCAAACCACTTACGCCGCCGCTCTGCTTGAAGACGAGGAGCACAAACTTGCCACGTCCATCGCTAGTGAGGTGTCTGAGAAGCAGAAAGAACTCTTTGATCAGCAAGAACAGGTACTTACATGTGGCTGAGCCGTGTTGTCTCGTTCAGAGAAACCCGTGTTTTAGCAGCCCCGTTTTGGGGCTTATGAGAATGCTTTCAATTGACAGATTGCCTTTCCGTGCAGATATAGTTGTATACCATGCTATGGCTGAGTGTTCATGACATGTCTCAACGGCTTTGGCCTTCGCATTGCATGCCTCCTTGTGGTGGTAGAGCCGCCTGCTCAGTGCCAATGCCAAGTGCTCTCTCTATCTATCTATCTATCGCTCTCTCTCTCCTCTCTCTCTCTCTCTCTCTCTCTCTCTCTCTCTCTCTCTCTCTCTCTCTCTCTCTCTCTCTCTCTCTCTCTCTCTCTCTCTCTCTCTCTTGCTCTGTCTCTCTTGCTCTGTCTCTCTCTCTCTCTTGCTCTCTCTCTCTCTTCACACACACACACACACACACACACACACACACACACACACACACACACACACACACACACACACACACACACACACACACACACACACACACACACACACACACACACACACACACACACACACACACACACACACACACACACACACACACACACACACACACACACACACACAAGTGCACACACACACACACGCTAACTCCCTTTCTCTCTCTCCTTTCCTTTATCTCTTCTCAGAGTATCTCGTCTCTCAAGCAAATGTATCAGCAACTAGTGAATCGTCTTGATGAGCACAGTAATAAATCTGTGTCCCAACAAGAAGCAACCAAGATGAGGTAGGTAACGTATTGTATTGTTCTTGACTCAGACTGCTACATCTATTGCTCTGCTCTGAGAAGGCAGAATTACCTGTGCTCTGAACGAATTCTAACTTAATAAGAGAATTCTAACCCTAACCTTAACCGCACACATCCGTTTTCCATAAAAAAAATATCCGGATAGGCGAGGGAACCAGATAATCGAGCACAATTACTGTATGCATGCATGACCCATGCTGTAAATCGGTATCCAGCGTTTTTCTTCCGGACGGCGAGGGGTCCGGATAAAGGAGGACCGGATAAGCGAGGTCTCTGACTGTAATGGAGATTCTTTTCGTCATGTTTCCTCTCTGTGTCTTGTTGTGCAGCTTCCATTTGGAGCTCAGACAACAGCTGGCAGAGGCACAGCAGAAGCTGGGTGCATCCGAGGAGCAGCGCCGCAGTCTTGAAGAAGAGATGGAGAAGATGGCTAGAGTACGTTTGCGGATTTGGTTGATAGGGGCGTGTGTACGTGTGTGGGTGCGTGTATGCATGTGTGTGATTTGGCTGATAGGAGTGTGTGTCTGTGTGGGTGGGTGTCCTCCCCTTCTTATCTAGGTAGAGTTATCGCCACTGTTCCCTGCATCAGCCAGAGCGGTAGTTTAGGGACATCACTGGCTGTGTGCATGCTTACCGTATATTCTCTATTATAAGCACAGGTCTCCATTACTAGCACAGTCTCTAATACTAGCACACTGTGAGCACCTTTCGAAACATTATAAGCACAGTCTCTATTATTAGCACGGTCTTGGTGGAAATCAATGCTGCATGCATGATATCTAGCATGTATTTCTTCTTGCTCTGTATGGATGAATTGGTTGAAAAAATAAAAGCACGGTCTCCAATATAAGCGCGGTCTCCAATATAAGCACAGGGTAGAGGGGTGTTGAAAATATATAAGCACGGCGCTTGTAATAGAGAATATACGGGTATGAGTATGTGTGTGCGTGTGTGTGTGTGTGTGTGACTGTGACTGTGACTGTCTGTGTCGCATGTGTGTTTGGAGGGATGGCCGGGGGGGGGGGGGGGGGGGGCAGGAGCATGTGTCGTTCGCATCTTGTCTTCAGGTGAAGCCCGTGTAACGTCAGTCTGCCAGCTACTGTTTGCAGTGACTGATTGCGTGCATTACCGTACTCTCATCCAGCTTTCACTGCCTCCCCTTCCCCCAACTTCACCCACCCGTTTCAAGCGGTTAGTTTCCTTGTGTGTGTGAACAATTACATAAGTTATTTACTGGTTTGAGGGGAAGACACAAATGGGAAAAAGTCTGAAGAAAAATATTGACTGTCACCACCAGGACTCGAACCAGGGATCCTCGCTTGTAACCAGCGATGTTCTAACCACGGAGCTATGGTCTAGTCGTCGTCATAAGTGCCTGTGTTTGTGCGTCTTGTTTGCAGGAGATCCGAGTATCACAGCGTCAGAACAAGACGGAGAAGGCAGACTGGACGGCCGTAAGTTCACGGGTGTGGCAGTGCAGTGCGGAGTGGTACACACGGGGGGAAAAAATCGGGTTTTCCCCCTACCGGGCACGTTTTAGCGCTCTTTTATTCCTGTTTTGGATGAATTTTGGATGAATTTCCCGGACCTTCTTGGACGAAAATTGGTTTTACAATGGTCATACTGATTGTACGTGTGTGACACCCCTGAAGTTCAATAAGAAAGCCATCGTTTGTATTACCTATTTGATTCATTTCTTCCTCGGTGTGGTCGCTTTCCTTTTCGGGCCTGCGGATGTGATGTGAAAAACGAAGCTGATTCGTCGTACTCAGCTTCTTGTGTGCGCATGTGCGTGTGTGTGTGCATGTGTGTGTGTCTGTCTGTCTGTCTGTCTGAGTAGGCTCAAGACAAGCTGAACTTGCGCCTTGACTACCTGAGGTCGGAGCTGCGCAGCACCAGAGAGTCATCTCGCGCATCCAGAAGAGAACTCAATGAAGCAGTCGCTAAGCAACAGGCAGCGACCAATCAGCTGGATGAGTTGAAGGTGGGTGGACATTCGGGTTACAATTCTCAGTTTGCGATGATGATTTGTTTTCCATGCAAACACACACACACACACACACACACACACACACACACACACACACACACACACACACTAAGGCTGTGTTTACATGAGAGTCTTCAACCCGGGTCGAGTTCAGCCCGGGTTGAAAGTCTGTACGATAGACAAAATAGGTGAGCGTTTACATGAAGACAGTTGACCCGGGTCAAATACTGATATGCCGCCAAAAGTCCACTTCTAGAGTCCTGTATGGTCACGTGAATGCTTTCGCGCGAAATTTGCATGTGCAGTGCTATTCAAACCTGGCACGAGATACGCACAGAAGTGCGTTAGTACGATTTTCTCGCCCCGGGTTGATTTCAACCGGGTCGAACTCAACCCGGGTTGAAAACTCTCATGTAAACACAGCCTGATTTATTCAACTCGGGTCGTTGAATATCCCAGTAACCTGTCGGTGGTGTGCCCAGTTATCACACTTTCTGACTGCTTATTATTGTGTAATACAGTCGTGGATAGTTGCTGCATAACTCGTCCCCATGTGTTTTTGTCTATGTTACAGTAAATTATTCCCTGCTTATGCTTGTGTGTTGTTTTCCTCTCAGATGGAAAGCTCGGGAACCATTGGTGACTTACGTCGCAGTCTTGCTGAGTCTGAGGTGAGTACGCTCAGCTCAGCCTGTTTAGCGTCACAGTTTAACCCTTTGGAGTCCATGGTTCGATTTCGAACCATGGGCATTTTGTATGCATGTGGGCGCAGTCAAACTTTCGGTTCTCGCCCAAATCGTGACCAAACTCAACAATCGAAGGGTCTAGATGGTAGAGAAAACTCTCAGCTTTCGCATCGAACAGGTCCGAAGTCTCTCCGATGAAGGTTGAGTGAGCGGCGAGCGATCAAACATTCGAATTTTCTGCGCTGCGTGCTGCGAGTCAGCAGTGCATGAAAAAAAGGGATTTTCGCAGCTTCATGACAGGCGACACGTGCCAGGACCGGCGCGGCGCGAAGTCACGGCAAGGTAAACTTCTACTCGAAAAAAATTGAACAGTTCCGAGCTAGATTCAGTGAAATGGCTACAGGAGACCGATTTCGTCTCAGATCTGGAGCTGGACTCGCGTTTGGGGCGCGTTGTGGCGGACAATGAATAGTGCTCTTGGCGAGTTTGGGCTCATTGTATTTCTCTCATCAAGAGCTTTCCAACGAGCCCAAGATAATCAAAATCGGTTAAGTAGAACCAAAGTTATGTTGGAAATGGAGTGCGCATTTTCGTGACTGCCACAAATTCTGCGGAAGTAAAAAAGTTACGGACTCCAAAGGGTTAAATTGTTTGTCTGGTCGCCCGGTGTCCCCTTTGCGTGTTTATGTGTGTGCATGGGTGCCTCGGGTTTTTGTTCGTAAGGCCACCTACTTATGAATGTTCAGACGCACGGCGGACGGTGTCTATTCACAAAGCAAGGGAACAAGAGAATGAAATAATAACTTGGTGCGAAAATAAGATGATAACGCCCGAAAACGCTAAAATTTAATATTAAGAAACATCCCTCCAGGGACCAGGTTTTCCTGTACAAGACCGTTGTTCACCATGGAGTGACCCAAGAGTAAGGAGCTCAGTGCTGGATGCATTGCCCAATGCAACTATCTCCTTCCCCATCCATGCCGAGGTGTTTTCTGCATTGTTTGCTCGTACTATGAATGTGACTGGCCGCGTGGCCCAACGGATAAGGCGCCTGACTACGAATCAGGAGATTCCAGGTTCGAATCCTGGCGTGGTCGCATCTTTTTTTTCTTTTCTCTGACAGGGAAATGTATACCAACACCTGCCGACCCTGTCAGACTCCCCTTTCCCAGTCTATGTGTGATCCAGCCTGCCTACAAGAGTACATAACCAAAAGTGTGCAACTCCACGATCCCTCAGCTAACTGCGGAGTTTTTTTTGTGACATCAGTCTTTTGCGTGCGTTTGACTCGCTGATGCCATCATGAGTACTAGTAGCCAGAAGTCAAAGTACAAAGAACCGTGTCTGCAATAACAAGCACGGGGAAGGACTCCACACTTGATCATACCAAGAGTACATAACCCCCCCCCCAGAGTGTGCAATGCCTGATCCAGCTCTGCATAGGCTCTTGGTCGAGCGTAGTCGGCTCTTCTGATGTCATGTGTGCGCTCCACACCAGCGCAAGGCCTGTCTCGAGGCAGGGCAGCGTTGTTTTTGATCCGAGAGTCCCCGCGACTCCCCGGATCCCCTCAGATCTGTACAGCATTATGACGCAAAGATCCGATTACGCTCGGCCAAGAGTCCAAGACACTATGCAGAACCGGATCAGGCGCTGCACACTCTGGGGGTTATGTACTCTTGCTCATACTTCTGCCAAAGAATAGTGTGTCCCCTTCCCCATGTTGTGGTGTTTTCTGCACTGTGTGCCCGGATTATGAATGTGACTGGCCGCGTGGCCCAACGGATAAGGCGCCTGACTACGAATCAGGAGATTCCAGGTTCGAATCCTGGCGTGGTCGCATTTTTTTTCTTCTTTTTTTGTCTGACAGGGACATATAATACCGACCCTGTCAGACTTCTTCGTTTGACTCTGGCCCGGGTGAAGCATAACATGCCTGCACTTGAACTCCCCTTTCCCGGTCCATGTGAAATCCTACTGCAAGAGTACACAACCAAGAGTGTGGAACTCCACAAAACCCCAGCCCATGGCGGAATTGTTTATGACATCAGTCTTTCACGGCTGTTTGACTCGCCATCAATCATGCTTAGCCAGAAATCAAAGTTCAGTACAGTTCGACAAAATTAATTTGTACGTCCCAGCTACGCTAGTCAGAGGAGAACAATGGATGGTAGATCCATGTGTCCTGAACCTGGTGAACTCACAACGTATCTTCAAAACAAGCATGGGAAAGCACGCACACTTGACAATACTCCTGCCAAAGAATGGTGCAATAAAAAAATTCCGCCGTGGGTGAACCCATCGCAGCTCGATAGTTGTGAACGGGTATTTCCCCAATGTAACTCCCCCTCCTCCCCCCCCCCCCCCTCCTTCCCCGTGTTGAGGTGTTTTCTGCACTGTATGCTCGGACCATGAATGTGACTGGCCGCGTGGCCCAACGGACAAGGCGCCTGACTACGAATCAGGAGATTCCAGGTTCGAATCCTGGCGTGGTCGCATCTTTTTCTTCTTTTTTGTCAGACCCACTGACCCCTGTCAAATTTCTTTGTTTGACTCTTTTTGTAGGCGAAACCAAGAGTAGATAAACAAGAGTGTGCAACTCCAGCTATGGGGTCTGCGACGGCAGAACTTCACATCACGTGATGAACCCGTGCACTCTAGTGCATGATAGATACTGGGTTGTACGCAGCCCAGCTTTGGGTACAACTCTCTTGTGGTCACTTTGCACTGTTTGCCAGCATAACCTTTTGAACCATGTCACGTGATGTGAAGTTCTGCCGTCGCAGCACAGCATAGAGGTTGTGCAGGCAGTTGCACACTCTTGTTTATCTACTCTTGGCGAAACCAAGAGTATATTCTCTATTATAAGCGCCGTGCTTATATTTTTTCAACACCCCTCTACCCCGTGCTTATATTGGAGACCGCGCCATACAGAGCAAGAAGAAATACATGCTAGATATCATGCATGCAGCATTGATTTCCACCAAGAGCGTGCTAATAATAGAGACTGTGCTTATAATGTTTCGAAAGGTGCACACAGTGTGCTAGTATTAGAGACCGTGCTAGTAATGGAGACCTGTGCTTATAATAGAGAATATACGGTATGTAACCCCACAAGATTGTGCAATTCCCACATACCCTGCTGTCCCGACAGAATTTCAAGTTGACGTCATAATTTATGATGCAATGCTCCTTGCACCAGTGATTTACAACATGCGTACGGGTGTCAACGCATCACACGTTTTTCTTTGCAATATTTTGTACATGATCAGACGGGCTTTGGTCCACCACAGGTTCCGGATTCGTCTGATAATCCGTGCACAGTGCGAATTGCATCATAAAAAAATGACGTCAACTTGAAATTCTGTCAGGACAGCACCCATAGTCGAGTTGCACACTCTTGGGGGGTTATGAACTCTTGGCGAAACGCAAATGCATTTGAACTCCCCTTTCGCCTGTAGCTGGGTGTTGTTTGCAACGTGAAGCTTTGATCCCAAAAAGAGGCTGGTTTTCTCTATGTTACAGATGTGCTTTGTCATTCCTTCATCACACGCCCGGATACTTTCAATCAACTATTCTTCCGTGTGTTTGTCTGGCTGCGTTTGTGTGCGTGTACGTGTGTGTGTGCGCGCGTGTGTGTGTGTGTGTGTGCACGTGTGTGTTCATCTCACAGGCCAAGTGTACACAGCTTACTGACGGCTTGGGTGCCGCTAAGATACGCATTTCGGTACGCTTGCATTCAGCTGTCCTTGGAACATTCAGTCCATTTCTTGTATCTCTTACTTGTTGTGCACGGGGACATGATCCGGAAACACAATGTTTGCTGTCTTTAACTATCACCGTCTCTCTCTGTCTCTCTCTCTCTCTCTCTATCTCTATCTCTCTCTCTCTCTCTCTCTCTCTCTCTCTCTCTCTCTCTCTCTCTCTCTCTCTCTCTCTCTCTCTCTCTCTCTCTCTCTCTCTCTCTCTCTCTCTCTCTCTCTCTCTGTCTCTGTCTCTGTCTCTGTGTGTGTGTGTGTCTCTCTCTCTCTCTCTCTCTCTCTCTCTCTCTCTCTCTCTCTCTCTCTCTCTCTCTCTCTCTCTCTCTCTCTCTCTCTCTCTCTCTCTCTCTCTCTCTCTCTCTCTCTCAATCTCTGTCTGTGTGTGTGTGTGTGTGCGTCTCTCTCTCTCTCTCTCTCTCTCTCTCTCTCTCTCTCTCTCTCTCTCTCTCTCTCTCTCTCTCACGCACTCGCACACACACACACACACATCGCACTTTATAACTGAGGAAAACTATATTCAAAGGTACGCTATATCCAAATGTTCACTGTATCCAAAAGTACGCTATATCCAAAGTAACATGACAGGGCAGCAATGGTCACAATCCTTAAAAAACAATACTCGGTCCTGTATCCACCGTCTGTGACGAGGAAAGTATATTCTACCCATGTCCCTGTGTACTGAACTGTGTCAATGTGTATGTCATTCTATTCCTGTACAGTCCTTGGAGCAGGGAGAATCCAGAGCTGACTGTCTGGCGGTTGAGCTGAGGGTTCTGCAGTCCGGCAAGCAGGTAGGCTGTTGGATGTGTACTAGTAGCAACAGCAGCAGCAGCAGCAGCAGCTGATACGTGTTGCTTCAAGGCTATTTTTCTTGCATGCTACCGGTGATTTTGATGTGGATGCTTCTGTACCTTGATCTCTGCGCGGATCACCTGTATTCTGTATGATCAAGAGTACATAAACCAGAGTGTGCAACTCGGGATGGTTCCTGTGGGAGCGTAATTCGTGCACTACGTCATTTCTGACAGCATGGTAAGCCACAGGTACGGTGAAAAGTTGCGTAACCAGTCGCGGTGGTGCAGGTCACTGAGTTTGTCCTGATTTCGGTTTTTTGATACGGATAGCCTGGTGACTTTACTTGTCGGTGGATGTACGCAGCGTACACAGTCACACAAAACACCGAAATACTGAAGCTGGACGTCTAAAATCAAGCAAACTTGGCTGATTTCCGGGCTATGAAACATGAAAATATGAGCTGTACGCCAGTCGCGGCTTGGCTGACCTCATCAGGGTGACGTAGTGCACGAACTGCGCTGTTTCAGATCTGATATGCAGAGTTGCACACTCTGGTTTATGTACTCTTGGTATGATGCATGGAGTACAGAACAGACAACTGAAATGCTTTGTGTGTGTGTGTGTGTGTTTGTTTGTGTGTGTGTGTGTATGTTTTTTTTGTTTTTTTTGGTGTGTATGTGTGTTTGTGTGTGTATGTGTGTGTGTGTGTGTGTGTTTGTTTTGGTGTGTGTATCTGTGTGTGTGTGTCTGTGTGTGCATATGTGCGCGTGTGTGTCTCAACTACAGGCATTGATGGAGCAGATCAACAAGCTGGAAGCAGCACGCAACGACCTTGTAGGCTGGAAGGCCAAGGCCGAGGAGCAGCTGGCGGAGAAACAACAAAGATTGGAGTCGGCTGACCTGGTATGCTTTGAAAGCGGCTTTCTTTGTTGCATCCTTGTATTGACTCGTGTGGCACTGTGGCAGCTCTCTGGCGACCGCTGGGACGGTTTGTTATGCACTTGCATTTCCTAGTGTCGATTGAGATAGTGGTTTTGTCTCAAGAGAAGCCACGTGTGTGCTTGGTTTACGGTGTCAGGTTAGTGCAGAGTGGGTGAGCTGCTGGTGCTGCCCGAAAGCTGTAGTGGCAGAGACAGTTACCAGTTAGCTACGTGTGTGGCCGGTGTATGCAGGCAGTGGCTCTGGTCACAAATGTAACGCGTAGCTTGCTCTGGTCAAGACTTCAGTCATTTGATCATCGTACTATCCGACTATAGAGCTTTTTCAAGGACGCCGTTCCCGCCACCGCCCCGGCGATCATCCCGAGATTGTGGTGAACAGGTTGCATGTCAAAATGCATTGAAAAGTATACAAAAGGTGACAGGTTCGTCTCCACCAGCGCTTGGAGTTATTCTGAAGCTTGTTCTTTTTCGCCCAAGCCATGGAAGGTCTTCCTGGCAACTGCTCTGACTCAACACGAGCGTCGGACATCAAGTGGAGCGCCATTCTACTGCTTCTTGCACCTCCACGCATCCACTCCCATACAAAGTGAACGTGAACTGGGCTTCGCCTGTTCACCAGCGATTCAAAAATTTCTCGCACGTGACCCCAAAAAGTGTGGTGCAACCTCGAAAAAGCTCTATATGCCACCCTGGAGTATACCACACCCAGTTTTTTGTTGTCACGATATGCAGACATCTACACTGTTTATCACTATCACTGTTCGTTTGATCATCGTAGTACAAGCGGCACTGACTTTTCGGGTGAATTACTGGTGCTAAAAGTGCTGCTTGTACTCCGGAAAATGTGGTACAGTCAACTTCGCTAACGGCTGCAGATACAACGACAATTAGCGAATAACGACAGAATTTCCATGCCCAGAGCAAAGTCCATTCTAACTGCAATGCATAATGAATTAATAATGAAGACTTCGGGTATAAGGACACTTCGCGAATAACGACACTTTTCTGATGCCCCATCGGGTGTCGTTATACGCAAAGTTGACTGTATGCACATGAAATGCTGAGTTCGGCAGTACGAGGACTCGTCGAGGAGTAACTTCTTTTGTTGTCTGGTTGTGCCATGTTCTTGCAGACAATACAACTGTTGAAGAAGACTACGTCCACGCTTGAAACACAGACGGAGGACTGGGAGATTCTGCACGACGAGGTCGCCGAGAGGGAGAAGAAGTCACTCAAACAGCTGTATGTACATTTGACGGTGTGTGTGTGGGGGGGGGGGGTGTTGTGTGGGTGTGTTACACATCTGATCCCCGCATCCAGGTGGTGTACTTTGATATCCAGGGTCACTTGACTGGAAATAAGATCCCTTGCTTCTAGATCCAGTGGTTCTCAGGGACAAGTGATCGCTTTATCAGTGTGGTTGTCTTGGCAAGTTTTTCTGTATTCACAGGGTTGTGGTCAAAGCGACGATTACCGTGGTGCTGCCCCCCCCCCCCCCCCCCAGGCCTATCTTCAAGTTAACATTTCAAAATCTGTCTCTCTCTCTCTCTCTCTCTCTCTCAGTGAATCAGTCCGTCAGGAGCTACACAGTACAGAGGAGACCCTTGCGGAGGTGCAATCACTACTGGAGACGGAGCGTGACACACACGCACGTGCTCGCAGTGACCTCACCACCGCCTCCCAGGCCATCAAGTCCGGTCTGGAAGAGCGACAGCGACTACAGGCAGAGCTCACTGCTATTCTAGATCAGGTACGGGTGTGTGTGTGTGTGTGTGTGTGTGTGTGTGTGTGTGTACGTGTACATGTACATGTACACGTACACGTGTGGTTGTGTGTATCTAGTGGTGTTCTTAGTGAGTGTTTTTGTTTGTGTGGGTTGGGGTGGGGTGGGGTGGGGGGGGGGGGGGGGCACTGCCTAGCACAGGAGATGTATGATGTGGAAGGGTGCATACCGGTATGACTGTATGTTTGTTTGGTGGGGGGCATTTGTATTTAGTTTGTATATGGGGTTGTGGAGGGATGCACTGACCAGCAAAGGATAAGTGGTGTTGTTGGTGGGATGCTTATGTATATGGTTGATGTGGTGGTTGGTGTGGTGGTTGGTGTGGTGGTTGGGATGCTGACGGTTGAATATGTGAGTAGGGCTAGGCTTTTAGGCCAAGTTGAGTGGCTAGTGAGTACTGGTATTTACCCTATTTTGGATATTGTGCCAGCGGTGGGATGCGTGTAGAGATAGGGAGAGAGAGAGAGAGAGAGAGAGAGAGAGAGAGAGAGAGAGAGACTCTTCATCACCGCTGCAATAGGACCGCAAGTGAGCCCAACTTGCCAGGCGGTAATGGCATCAGTCAGAAATACTAGTACAGTCAGACCTCGCTTAACCGCACACGTCCGTTTTCCACAGAAATATCCGGATAGGCGAGGCAGCGGGATAATCAAACACACATACTGTATGTATGCATGACGTGTGCTGTAAATCGGTAACCAACGATTTTCTTCCGGATGGCGAGGGATCCGGATAAAAGAGGTCCGGATAAGCGAGGTCTGACTCTATAGTGAATCATAACTTCCTGTTTGGAGTTGCTCTGTAAGGGGCCGTCCGTAATTATCGAACTTTTTTCACCAAACGAATTATTTTAGTTTAGACCCAACCCCTCCCTCCCTCCCCCTCAGAACGTAAAAAAAGTTTGACATATGCATGCATAATACAACAAAAGTTGCAAGCCAGTGTGTAACTGCTAGTATGGGCATTCACATGACTGTATCAATATTTTCTGAAACGAAATTGGTCAACCCCCTCCCAGCCCATAACGAAATTATTTCGTTTTGTGGAAAAAGTTCGATAATTATGGACGACCCCTAAGTACTCTAATTTCAGAAATTTTAGGTGCTCAAAATTTTAGGTATGAAAGCAAAAGGCCAGGTTCGGTGAACAGAAAATTTAAGTACAGAGAAGCAGTTCCCTATTGGATTATGTGTGTGAGTGTTTGTTCGGTGTATTGAAATTTTAGGTATGACACAGATGCACCGAAAGTACCGAAAATAAAAGTACACCGAAAATTTGTGAAACTCCAGTATTCTACTTCAAGTATCTGCTGTGTGGTAAATCTTTTCACCTGGGATCCCCGGCCAGTGGCCACAAGTCCCTACACACCCACCACACCGGCCGCAGCAAACAGCCTGGTGTCGGTTTGCCGTCTGAAACCACGCCCTGCGCTCATTCTTGTATCTCATGTAATTGTGTTCGTGTTGCCACAGCTTAAGAACAGCCAGCGTGCGTGCGCCGTTCTCATCTCTGAGAAGAAGGTACTGGAGCAGAGTCTTGAAGGAGAGCTGGAGCGTAACAAGAAGTCCGAGGATGAGGTGAGTGTTCCATGCTGACCTTGAGCTACCGTGTGTGTGCTTGGGTGGTGTGTGTGTGCATAGAGAGGGTCTTGTGTTTGTTTGGTTGTGAGGTTGTTGTTGCGTGATAATTGTCCTTGCGTACCAGTTGGTGTTGGGCCAAGCTTCTCTCTCCTTGCATGGTTGTGAGATTTGCAGGTGGGGGTGTTCATTCAGTTATAGGGCTGTGGCGTGGTCATCGTCCATGCATAGCTGATTACCAGTCGGTATCGGAGCAAGCTTCTCTCTGAGTCTCCTTACATTCTGGTGAAACATGCTCTGCTGTCTGGTCACCTGGGGGTGGGGAGTCTTGTATTTGTTTAATTGTAATGTTGTTGCGTGATAATCGTCCATGTGTACCAGTCGGTGTCGGACCAAGCTTCTCACTCCTGGCTTGCTGGTTGACGAGCTCTGCTCTGTGGCTACCTTCCCCGGCCGGACACTGTGTTTCCTCGGGAATGAAGGATGTCACCAACACGCTGTATTGTAATCTATGTGACTGGCCGCGTGGCCCAACGGATAAGGCGCCTGACTACGAATCAGGAGATTCCAGGTTCGAATCCTGGCGTGGTCGCTTTTTTTTATAAACTTTTTTCATATGTCAATTAGCTAATTTTCAAGTAACTCATCTCAGTAAGTAGCAGCTAAATATAGTTGTCGTCCGTTGATAACCCCCCTTTTTTCTTTTGACTTTTTAAATGCTGCCTTCGTCTGTTCCTCGCATGCAGAATTTCAAGATGCAGAGAATGCTGTCCATCGAGCAAGCCTCTGTTACCAGGCAGCAGGGCGAGGTAAGTGTCTGCCACCTTGGAATGCATCGGTTTTCTTGCCATCAGCTGGATAACCGCACTGTGATGTGTTATGCAGTTCTGCCGCAAAAGAAGTTTTTTTTGTGTGCACGCATTCGTGACCTTTCCCCGCGTAGCGTAACGCACTCCTGTCGGCATTCCAGCTACAGTGTACTGTATTTCATGTGATTTAGGTGTATTAGAAATTTAGAATCTCGTGTCAGGGACCCGGCGGGTTTCAATTGTTTTTAGAATTAGGGGCCATCCGGCAATATCGATAATTTTCACGGAACCAGAAAGTTTAGTTATGACCCTCCTCCCCCACCCTCTTGGAACGAAAAATATATTGACTTGACAGCTAGAATAGATTGATGTTTCAGCAATCGATCTTTTTCAAAACGAAACTCTCCTCAACCCACCCATCCATACACGAAACTTTTTCTCTTCGTGAAGATCGATAATTACGGACAGCCCCTTAGTGACAAACATTCCCTTCACGCACAGTGCTGCATACTATAGTGCCTTAGAGTTGTAGTCTAATTTTAAGTGTTTGGTGTCCGCTCTCCCGAAACTACCGAGAATCAGGTTACACCGACCAACACGCGTTGTACATTACTCGGTCCTCCTCTTGCTCATGATTTCAGATTGCCAAATTTCAATGTAAACGCTATACAGTAGCCGTCGTGTTGCTTGTGATTTCAGATCGCCAAGCTTCAGTCCGAAGTGGCCCAGCTAGCCGAGGCGCGGGGCAAGTTGACCGAAGACCTGGACACCCGCGTCACCGAGGAGATCCGACTGCGCGAGATGTCACAGCAGCAGCTCAAGCTCATCAACTTCCTCCAGGATCAGAACGACGCTGCTGGTACCGGCAAGGTAAGCACCTGCAATCCGCCTGGGTGGCATTCAGTACATTGTACTGTTGGGTGGCGAAGAGCGGGGGGGGGGGGGGGGGGGGGGCAGCCTCTTAGTCTAGGTCGTTCTTATTTCATGTACTGTCTTAAACTGGAGCACGTGTTTGTGTTTGCTCTCACCTGTTGATGTGTTTGTGCATGCTCAGTCTCTGCACAAGACACCGAGCAGGTGTTTCCGCGGAGAGACGGGCATTCCCCTGTTCACTATTTCTCATTTCTAGTTTTTCTGTCTTAATGGTTCACATTTTTGCTCTCATGCATCGATGTGTTTTGTGCATGCTCAGCCTCTACACAAGACACCGAGCAGGCGTTTCCGCGGAGAAACGGGAATTCCCCTGTTCTCCTCGCACAGCAGCTTCCGCAAGAACGACGTGACCACCACCGCTGGAGCACCGGCAACGCGCTCTGCCGCGTCAACCCCCGCTGCTACAGCTGGCGGCGAGACCAACACCGCCGCCGCAGCCCCGTCGTCAATGGACAGTACTGTCACCACCGGCAACACAGCATCTAGCACGGCCGCGACATTGCCTCTCGTCGCCGAGAAGACAGCAGCCGGCAAGAGATCCGCCGCCGTCGCCGCCGCCAATGAGGATGACTCCGCCGCTACCGCTGCTACTGCACCGGCTGCCAAGCGAAAGAAACACGGCGTTCCGAAAATCCTAGGTCAGTTTAAGCCGCACTGGAGTATAAGCCGCACCCAGATCTTTTGTCACAAAATACAGACATCTACTCCATTTACCACCGTTAAAATTACTAGTGTTTAAAGGTGCTGCTTATAGTCCGGAAAGTACAGTATATTGTGGATTTGGAACTGGTTTACACAATCTGGGATGACCGTATCCTGGTACTACACCGACCTGTAAGTTTGCTTAGTGCACGGGTAGCGCGTGTAAAGCGCGTGACAACGGTCGCGGGATTAGGCCGAATGAGTTGAGCCCAAGTCAATCTCTCTCTCTCTCTCTCTCTCTCTCTCTCTCTCTCTCTCTTTCTCTCTCTCTCACTCTCTCACTCTCTCTCTCTCTCTCTCTCTCTCTCTCTCTCTCTCTCTCTCTCGCTCTCGCTCTCGCTCTCTCTCGCTCTCTCTCATTCTTTCTCTTTCTCAACCTTCCCGTTCCAATCTCTGATTACTCTTGCTTGTCTCAGAATCTATTCGTCTACGCAAGGACAAGGATGCACGTGCCATTCCGGTCGTTGTCCGCCGCTCCTCTCCCACATGTCGTGGTAGCACCAGCAACTACACCTTCCATGACAGGTCAGTATTACTGCTCCCTTGTTGCATTGTGTTTGCTTGTGGAGATGGTACTGTGTTGGATGAAGTTCTGTCGCATCGGTTACTGTAAAACCGGAAAGTTTAACGACCAATAAGGGTTTTTGTCATTTTGGCATGATAACGTGCAGACAGTTTAACAATGTTTGTTCAACGGAAAGAACATGCATCGATGTATACGCATCTTTACACAGACATCTCAAACCGGGTTCACAATAGCGTTTCTTTAAATAACGAAACAAAATTGGTCGTTAAAACGTTAGACTTTGTGACTCGTTAGACTTTCCGGTTGTACAGTAGATGGTTGTGTGTCCTACGAGATTCCGCCATAGCGATGTAGCATTGGATGGTGTATTGGAATAAGGGACAGACTTGTTCTGGACTCCGGACATCTTAGTCACATCTCTATCGTTCTGTGTACAAATGGCTTGTGTGGTGATACCAATTGTGCCAAATTGCACTCAACCGTGCCTTGTGTTTGTGTTTGTGTGTGTGTGCGTGTGTGTGTGTGTGTGTGTGCACGTGTGTGTGTGCATGCGTGTGTGCATGCGTGTGTGCGTGTATGTCTGTGTGCACGTGTGTGTGTCCTGGTTCTGTGTGTCCTGACTTGCTTCTCCAGCCCTAGCGGCTCTCAGGCAGCCTTCCCCGAAGGCCTTGCCAGCACGCCCAAGGCATCACCGGAAATGGACGGATTCCTGGAGATAGCCAAGTGAGTTGATTTTTCCGTTGTTGAACCCTAGAATAGGGTTGTGCTGTAGTGGACGGTATCACGAATGCATGTTGAGGCCGGTACTGTGAGTGAACAATTATTCGGCGCATATTTGTTAATATTTATTTACCAGTTAATAGGGACGTTTAGCAATGCGAAAATTCGAACTTTTGGTGGTGGCGATATTTCGCGAAAATCTATTTCGAAAAAGAAAACTTGTGAGGTTTAGCAATGCGAAATGACTTTTTCTCGAAGCTATTTGAATCTTATAGTACCGTACCGTATATGCAGGTCAGTCTCAAGCAGGGGGCTGTAAATTTACTACTCCCTGTAGTCAAATGCGTACCGAGAAAAGAGAAAGTTACTTTCGCAAATCACTGCAACTTCGCGTCCAAGTTTTCGAAGTTTCGACCTTTGTTTCTGTACTCATTCCCAGACTCGAATTTTCTTTCGAACTTTCGCTTTGCTAAACGTCCTTAATATTTATTTATTTTCGGCTTTATTCGGCCTGGTCCTATTTGGCCGAAATGTTTGCTTTGCAAGGTGCAGTGCAGTCGGCAGCAGTACAGGCCGAAAATTTAATGCGGCCGAAATTTGTTTTAGCTCTGGGGGCCGAAAATTGGTAGACTTCTTAAAATACAGTATAGGGCAAAGCTTATTACCCTGTGCTGTCTTGTAGCCTATCTCGAATAGAGGCCTGTTCTGAAGACGTGTAAAAGCCTGATTTCCAGCATGAAACGTCGGCACACGAGCCTGGTATTAATGTCGACATACATAGAAATACCTGGTTTGAATACAAGTCCGCTTTGAATAGAAGCCTAGCCCCTGACATCGGCTTCTACAGAAATATGCCCAGCTTTTATGCGTGGCATGATTACAGTATTCGTACTGCTGCATCCTGGTAGTGTGCTTGTACGTTGGCAATGGCTGACTCACAGCTGGAATGGATTGGTGTGTGGTCTGTGCGTGCTGTGTGTGTGTGTGTGTGTGTTCCGTGTGTTCCATGTGCGCTCTGTGTGTGTGTGTGTGTGTGTGTGTGTTCGTGTGTATGCGTGTGCGTGTGTGTGTTCGGTGTGTTCCATCCGGCAGTGACCCTAAGGGTGAGAAATGGACCAGTCGCTATGTGGTGCTGACTCCCACCCAGCTGCGTTGCTTCCACACGCAGATTGACAGCGCAACAGGTAAGCACCGTCACTGTCGTCTCCGATCTAGCAGAGTGTTATGCGCTTGTGTGTGTGTGTGTGTGTGTGTGTGTGTGTGTGTGTGTGTGTGTGTGTGTGTGTGTGTACTTGCCTGTTTGCTTGCGTGTTGTGGAGCCCGTTTTAAGTTTTAATGATTTAATACTTGCCTCTTGTTTTTCTACATGTATGTGTGTTACGAGTTCGCTGCTTGTCTCTCATAGGCCACAAGTAATCCCTGCTGCCTCCAATATAGCTGAGTTATGTGCTCGCTGTGTGTGTGTTTGTGTGTGTTTGCCAGTTGCTTTGAGGCCGTTTACCTTCCATTTTGTTCTCTAGAAGCCTCATTTTTGCCTTTTGCGTGTAGCGTCTATCTTGTGTTTCAACGTGTGTCGCTGCTTGTCTCTCTCTCTCTCTAGGTCTGCCTTGCGACACATTCCCGCTGTACGTCAAGCAGGACTCGCTCGTCGCTGCCGTGCTCAAGCGTAACATCTTCTCGCCGGAGCTGCCGTCGGTGACGGTGCAGGAGCGGCAGCTGTGCTTTGCGCTCACGCTGCTGCCCAAGTCGCACGCGTTCAGTGTGGTGTTCCGCTGCCCGGATCGCCGCGCCAAGACGCGCTGGGCCCGCGCGCTGCAGCTGGCGCTCTCCACCACGCCGAGCCGCGAGCAGCTGGCGTTGATCTCTGGCGGCGAGGAGGAGGAGAGTCGCTGTCAGCTGCGAACGCTGCACACCGAGCCACCCGCTGCTGCTCCTGCTGGTCCTCGCCACCAGCACCAGCTGCAGAGAGGGCATTCCTCGGGACAGCTGTCGGGCATCTCATCGGCCATTCACCTCAGCGATGATGTGAGTAGTGGTGTTTGTATATACAGTCAACTTTGCGTATAGCAACACTCGGCGGGACATCAGATAAGTGTCCTTATACCCGATGTCTCATAAGTATTACAGTTAGATGGGACTTTGCTCTGGGCATGGAAATTCTGTCGTTATTCGCGAATTGTTATATCCGCAGTCGTTACTAGCGAAGTTGACTGTACATACTCAGCAGTTTGCCCCTCCTCCCCATCACACACCCTCTCTGGAGGTATCACATGCTTGTCATGTACACTTAAGCCTGTCTAGGCCGACCACTCTCTCTTCTTCGTGGAGTTGATCGTGCAAGTCTTCTGTTTCATCTCTGCTCCTCCAGAACTGGCTGTTGGTGGCGGACGGCAGTCTGGCCGTGTTCACCCCCGTGTCGGGCACGGGAACGGACGCGGCGCGCGGCCAAGTGCTGAAACTGCCCTCGTCTCTCGCGCCCGTGCACCACATCGCGCGCAGCTCCTCCGACGTCATTGTCATTGTCGCGGGTAAGCAAGACGGCGTTAGAAGAGTACTGTGTTAGTATGATTATAACACTTTGATTTCGGTGTACGTGTAATTTTTATTTTGGTTATTTCGGTACACACAAACCTAGCATACAGACACATCTGCAGAGTGCTGTCAGTGTGTGTTATGCCATGCCATGGCTGCAAGACACGTGGGAGTCACATGACTTGATGTTTGGTTTGCTCTAATGTTGCTGGGATGTACTGTTGTATGGTATGGCATGGTGTTATAACTATTCTTTATTTTACTTGATCAAGCGAACAGGCAATGATGCCGTCCCGCCAGCGAACAATACAGAATGATGACTATGTATGCGTGCCTGTCCTCCTCTCATCCGTAAACAATGAGCTCGGCACGGTGTGAGCAGCTCTCGTCTCCTCCCCCTCATCGTCTCGTTGTCTCAGGCATACATATTCCTAGCAATTATATACTGAATAGTGCAATGAATATGACTAAATGCGCACTCATATCACAACCACGGTGACGAATAATGTATTCCGGAACGTTTTCCTGTCACTATTATCAATGGAATTCGTGACTGAAGAGAATGATGAAACTACAATAGGATTTATGCACTTGGAGTAGCTATGTCGTCTCTAATGAATGTTTCTTCGATGGCCAATTATATACTGCACTGCACTTGAGCAGTGCTGTGTTCCTAGAGCGCACCATTGCTGTATGTGCCGTATTTCCCCGAATATAAGTCGCACCTTTTTACACTAAGATTCAGGGTAAAAAAAGGGGTGCGACTTACAATCGAGCATGACTTACTACTGAAGTGAATATATCGAAACAATATTGCTCAAACCTGAAAATGGAGTACGACTCAATATGAAGTGCGACTTATAATCGGGGAAATACGGTATCTGTGAGTGTGTGTGTGTAGGGGGGGGGGGGGGGGGGGGGACACAGGGAGTCAAGTTGACATCTGTATTCCAACATTCTAGAAGAGTTGTAGGTGGACAATCCATCTTTGCCCCATGCTGTAGTGTAGAACGCACGTGTTGAAGCCAGGCTATGAACTTCCTTCCGGCAATGCAAACATCCTTGTTACATCCTTGTTTGAGCAGTCACACGAGCCGTCAACCGTTGATTGTTACCACGTAGTGCCGTGCACATCAAGTCACAAGTGTGACATGCTAAATCTTTTCCCTTGACCGCCTTTCACTTCCCTTTCACCCCAGCCACCCGTCCAGGGAGCTCCCTTGATAAGTATCCGTTTACTTTTGGAGTAATTCCCAAGAGAATGCTTCAAATATAGTCTGAGCGAACATGCATCAAACATTGACGCTTCCCACGTTGTGTCAGGACACACACACACACACACACACACACACACACACACACACACACACACACACACACACACGGCAGTGTATTCTGTTCTCTAAAGCCGTCTCTTGTCTTATCTTGTGCTGCGGCTGCTCCTGCAGGGTCTGAACGACGCCTGCACCTGTGCCACGTCCACCACGTCATGGCGCTGGTGCAGGAGATGGCGTCCAGCAGTGCGGGTCACGACAAGCTGAGTCTCAGCGTGACGTCCAGCCAACTGACACAGTGCATGTGCTTGGCTGTGCAGAAGGTATGCGTTGTTTTTTGTTTTATTTATTTTGTTTTATGAAAGTCCACTTGACTACATAGAATGGAAGACAACAACAACAACAACTGTAACTCTCTTATTGGCCACAGGCCATCGTGAGAATAAAGATTTGAAACTATCTTGTATTGGCGATGGCGCCATCGTGAGAATAAAGAGTTCAACAACAACAACAACAACAACAACAACAACAACAACAACAACAACAACAACAACAACAACAACAGCAGCAACAACAACAACAACAGCAGCAACAACAACACCAACAACAGCAGCAGCAGCAGCAACAACAACAGCATTATAACATAGTGGACTACAAAGGTCGTGTAGGTGCTATACAAGCCGTGCAAAAAAAGTGGTACGAGTCGTACTGGGCGTACCGTGTGTGGCGTCCCTGCATGCGCACTTGATCATACCTCTGCCAAAGAATGAGGCAACTGAAAAAACTCCTGCGGTGAACGCATCGCAGCTCGAGATAGGAGTTGCGCACAGGTGTTTCCCCAATGCAACTCTCTCTCTCTCTCTCTCTCTCTCTCTCTCTCTCTCTCTCTCTCTCTCTCTCTCTCTCTCTCTCTCTCTCTCTCTCTCTCTCTCTCTCTCTCTCTCTCTCTCTCTCTCTCTCTCTCTCTCTCTCTCTCTCTCTCTCTCTCTCTCTCTCTCTCTCTCTCTCTCTCTCTCTCTCTCTCTCTCTCTCTCTCTCTCTCTCTCTCTCTCTCTCTCTCTCTCTCTCTCTCTCTCTCTCTCTCTCTCTCTCTCTCTCTCTCTCTCTCTCTCTATCCCCTCCCTCCCCTCCCTCCCCCATGTTGAGATGTTTTCTGCACTGTATGCTCGGACTATGAATGTGACTGGCCGCGTGGCCCAACGGATAAGGCGCCTGACTACGAATCAGGAGATTCCAGGTTCGAATCCTGGCGTGGTCGCATCTTTTTTTCTTCTGTTTTCTCAGACTGGGAAATACACCGACCCTGTCAAAAATCTTTGTTTGACTCTGGGGGGTAGCACACATGCACTTGAACTCTCGTTTCCCCGGCCCATGCGGGACCTGACCCACTTTTAACCAGGTGCTGCATCCTGCTTTTAAAAAAAAGTTTAATCCAGAGATAGGACTAGTAGCTGAAGAGTACAGTTAGACTTTTTCGAGCTCCGTAGTTTTTCGTGCGATTTATCAGCCCAGCCGGCACCAGGCCGGTCTGGAGGTAGTTACAGGGTAGAAGAGAAGAGTGGTGAGTAGTAGATAGTCTAGGTAGTACTAGTAGGTAGACACAGGTAGCTATGCCGGCCAGAACTGCCACTCGCAGCCTGACGGAATCGGAAATAAAACTTTTGAGCTCCATCCCTGAAATTGAATCGTCCGTCTTTGAAATGGTCAAGACGCTGTCAGCGCTCGTGTCGGAATCTGCAAACCGGGAGGTCCGTCTCAAAAACAGGATTGACGAACTGGTCATGCAGATAACAGGACTGAAAGAGGAGGTTGTCGCCATGAAGGAGTCCGCCATTGCAACGGCAAGTGTTACCTCTCCTCCGGCTGAACAACAGCCCCAGATGCAGAGTACGACGAGGCGGAAGGGATCTCGTAGCCGTACGCGAAGAGACCAGGTCACCAAGTGCACTGGTGCAGCAGCAGGAGAACACCGTAGCGCTTTCAAACGCGTACACGTGGATGACACTGGCAGTGATCGTGAGATCTCGAGCGAGGAAGACGAAAGTTTTCAGACTGTTGGGCGCCCTCCAGTCAAGCCCCAGAAAACATCGTTCGACCCAATCGCTGATGAATCGTGGAAACTAGTATCCAAAGAACCCCACCAAACAAGGAAGGCAGTCGTGTATGTGGGAAATCTGCACGCGGATTGCACAGAGGAACGAGTGACAGAGTTCACTCAGCAGCGATCTGTGGCCGTGGCCAAATCCGTCAAAGTCCATGAGTGCAGCATGCACACCACGGAAGACGGGAAAGTCTCAGCCCGATTGACGCTCGACGCCACTGGATTAGAAACAGTCACTGCTGCGAACTTCTGGCCACGACCGCTTTACGCTCGAGCCTGGCGACACCGCAAACGGCCGCAGGGTGACAGCTCATCTGGTGCAGCTGGCGCCGGCAACGTGGGCAGCAGAGGCGATAGGGACAGTGAGGAAGAGGCTGCCTCAGCTGGAGCGATTCAGTCACACAAACACCAATGAACACCAGCTGCGCAAGGACATACCCAGTAATGAAGTTCCTGCTGACAAATGCTTTTGGGCTGCTGTCAAAGTTTGGAGCCTTCCAGCATGCTGTTGCACGGAGCAGATCTGACATCGCCATCGTAACAGAGACTAAACTCACCCCGGAGAAAGCCTCACTATCTGACTCCTCCATGCCGGGCTTCCACCCACCCCTCCGACTTGACCGATCTGCTCAAGGTGGCGGAGTTGCAGTCTGGGTCAGGGACTCCCTCTCCTTTGACCACCTGAGTGACATCAACTGCCATGGCCATGAGGTCATCTGGCTTCGCCTGCACCTGGACAATGGCCAGAAAGTAGTTGTATGTGCAGTGTACCGACCCGGGTCGTGCCCTGGACAAGATGTCTCTCTGCTTGAGTATCTTGACTCAGTGATGGATCAAGCTCGATCCCTCGGGAACAGCGTCGTGATAGCCGGGGATTTAAATGTTCATAATGAAAGCTGGCTATGCAGCACGAAGACTACACCGGCTGGTGAATACATGGAAGAACTTTCTGCGTTCCACGGGCTCCACCAGCACGTTACGCAACCGACACGTGGTGAGAACACCCTGGACCTCATACTCAGCGACTTCTCGGAGACCTCAGTGGTGGTAAATGTACTGGACCCCATTGGAGCATCAGACCATGCCACCGTTGTGGCCACTTTTGATGCCACCCCACTCCGCGAACCACCGACTAAACGGCGCGTTTGGAGGTATGCTCAGGCAGACTGGGGCCGGCTTCGGCACTTCTACTCAACAGCAAACTGGGATATATCAGAAGACCCCGAGGCGTCGTGCAGATCAGTAACCGCTGTTGTCATGGAAGGCATGAATCGCTTCATTCCACACAAAGAACTTTCGACGAAACCAACAGATCCATCCTGGTGGACGCCGGAATGCTCAGCCGCTACCCAGGCAAAGAAGAATGCATGGAACCGTCTCAGGAGATACCCTACCTGCCACCAGCATCTCATTGACTACAATGCCAAAGTCCGAGCCTCTGCCAATTGCCTTCGTCTCGCAAAGCAGGCAGAATCTGCCCGCATCCGAGATCGGCTCAAACATGGATCACTGCGAAACAAGCAATGGTGGTCACTCCTGAAGCAAGCTGCAGGCTCTGGCCGCAGCTCGTCTATCCCTGTCCTACGCAATGCCCAGGGTAGAGAATATGTCACCAACCAGGAAAAGGCTACTTGCTTTGGAGAATTCTTTGCGAGCAAATGCAGTCTGGGTGATCAAGATCTACAGCACTCCGACCTTCCTGACCTTCCTCCTAGGTGTATTTCTGCCCTGACAACTGTCCGATTTCGGGAAGCGACAGTCCAGCGCCAGCTCCGCCAGCTGGATCCAACCAAGGCTACCGGACCCGATGGCATCCCTGCCAGAGTTCTGAAGCAGTGCTCAAAAGTTTTGGCTGCACCACTTGCCAAGCTGTTCTCACTCTGTTTTCGGTGTCATGTCCAGCCCTCTCTCTCTGGAAAGTAGCCCGTGTGGTCCCGATACACAAGAAGCAATCTCATTCTGCTGTTAAGAACTACCGACCTGTGTCCTTGTTATCTGTTGTCTCCAAAGTCATGGAGAAGATTGTCAACACTGCCATAATCAATCATCTTGAGCATGAAAAGGCTCTGTCCATCCACCAGTACGGATTCCGGCAGGGGCTCAGCACATCTGACCTTCTCACGTCTCTCAACCACTCCTGGGTCTCCGAAGTCAACCGTGGTGGCGCAGTCCGAGTGCTGGCTGTCGACATAGCAGGAGCATTCGACAAAGTTTCACACCGAGGCGTGCTCCACAAGGCTGCGTCATATGGCATCACTGGTCCCCTCCTCAACTGGCTGTCTGACTACCTGTATGACAGGAAGTTGCAGGCAGTAGTCGGCGGAGCATCTTCAGAACCATACAAGATTGATGCTGGGGTCCCACAAGGGAGCATCCTTGGGCCCACACTGTTTTTGCTGTACGTGAATGACGCCTGCGACGTCCTACCGGAAGGGATCACTCCGGCTGTTTACGCAGATGACACCACGCTTTATGCCCACATCCCAACGCCACATGCTGTGACAGAAGTGTGCCGCAACCTCCAAGCTGGTGTGGATGCACTTGCTGAATGGGGTGCTCAGTGGCGCGTCACTTTTGAGCCAACGAAATCACAGGCCATGACTGTGTCCCGCCACCGCAGACCCTGGGAGACACCACCCATCAAGTTCAACGGCACAGTGGTCCCAGAATGCTCGCGGCTGAAGCTCCTTGGAGTGACGTTTGATGCCCATCTAACATACTCGGAGCATCTTCGAGGAACTGCAGTGCGTGCCACACAGCGAATTGGTTTCTTCCGGAAGGCATGCCATGTCCTGGACCCACCGGGCCGGGCCACAGCATACCGGGGGTTCATTCGGCCTCTAATGGAGTACTGTCCACTTGTATGGATGGGAGCTGCGGCTACCCATCTCTCACAGCTGGACCGAGTCCAGCATCGTGCCCTCACCCTGATTGGGACAGGGGCTGCAATGGACACTCTGTCCCTGCGGCGCCGTGTGGCCGGCCTCACAACTCTGTACAAGCTCCATTACATCGCAAGCCCGCCAGCTCTTGCAGCGACACGCCCAGCCAGAGCCATCGCACCCGCCATCGCGCCTGCCACACGTCGCCGCTCGGCAGCCAACCTTGCGCACGAGCTTCAACTCCAGACAGCCCTGCCTGCCAGATCGTGCAATGTTGCGCTGCGCTCTTTCCCGGAGTGCCTCATCGAAGCCTGGAATGAACTGCCAGCCACTCTCCTCCGCGATGCACCGTCTGCCAAAGGGATGCAGCAGTTCAAGGTTCAGACCTACCGCTACCTGAAACGGTCGGGTTGGTCATTGGCCACGGACATCGCCCCCTAGGCTACTGCCAGTACGACCCTGTTCATGTTCTCGGAGCACTCCCTTCTCATCAAACTCCCAATCCATCTGTCTATATCTCTCTCTAACTCTCCTCTTATCTTTCGTCAAATCTGCACGGCAATCAGCCTCTACTTTCGCCTCAGCATCATGATCTTGATACTGCTATATTTGTACTTGTTTGCACTCATATCTTGGAATAACAAGTTTCCTGGTTTCCTACCCCCCCCCCCCTCCTCTCTTTCCTACCCTTAGAGTTCTTCCTCTCCTGCTCCCCTCCCCGCCCTTCCACTCCCCATTTTGTTTCCTTTGGTGCACATGTGCAGCTGTGATGCCGAGACCCTTGGTCGGCTGAGCTTCACAGGTCCCACCCACTCCGTCCTGCTGGATATGTACCATTGTGTCGAGTTCGTCTCCTCATTTTAGTTCATCATGCAGTGAGTGTTCAATAGTAAAAAAAAAAAAAATCCTTGGCTCTCCAACTGAGTCTAGTCTGCTCAGATTTATGTCGGGCTTTGTAGTACTGTCGTGGACATGGAAATCCAGTCGATTGACCGTGGCCGGCGCCCTCAGCGCGTACAGAACGCTGTGTGCAGTGCACACACATGTTGATCCGATGCGACCAGCACGCCGTGGCGAATAAATCCACGTGTGTGCCATGGTGTACCGCTTATCCATGGCTGCACGGCCAGCGCCCTGGGGCCGCTAGACGTGCGACCGGATTTCCATGTCCACGGCAGTATAATATCTAGTATGGAAGGCATTTTCTGATTGTGTGTGGTTGTGTGTGTGTGTTTTGCAGGTGCATTCCAAGACATTGCTGGCGGTGGCAAACACCACAGCTGTGGATATCTACCGGGTGGAACAGTCACTCAGTATTGTTGATGAGGGTGTAAGTGATTGCCTGTGTGTTTGTGTGTGTGTGTGTGGGGGGGGGGGGGGGGGTGTAAGTGTGTGTGTGTGTGTATGTATGTGCGTGTGTGTGTGTGTGTTTGGCCTATGTCTGTGTGTGTGTAAGAAATTTAGTGCGTGTGTATTCGTACTATTTGTGCATTACCTGGTCCTGTCCACCAATCTTACCAGGGTTTCAACTAAAATCCTTCTTTTTCTCCTGTGTGTTATGTGATTGTTTGCAGACAATTGACATTCCCACCCAGCCAACATCCATCACCTCATTTGTATTCACACCTACCACTCTAATCATTGTGGGAGACGATGTCCACTCGGCGCAACTCAGCAACTTTGAGCACATGTGTGAGTTTCTTGGGTCGGTGTGTGTGTGGGGGGGGGGGGGGGGGGGTGTGCACATGTGTGTGTGTGTGTGTGGCTTTGGGGGGGGGGGGGGGGGGGCTGTTCTTTTAGGGATGAGTCTGTTGGCCTGGAGAGGCGGCATTTTTCGGACTTGGATGAATTGTTGAAATGTTCTAAATTTCCCGTTGTTACCACCGAAATGAGATGTTGTCAAAGAGGAAGTTTTAATCCTTCAGAAGTGTGCTGGTCATACATGTGACTTAGTTGATTTGCCAGCTACTCGACGTGTACCCTTACGCCGACAGGTGTGATGTCTGGCTCTCGAGATTGTACTTCTATACGCTGACTGTTATCAGGTGTACACTAGCTTCCGAGTTTTAGTTGGTTTGCAGGACACCGTTAGGAACGGTTTTAAAATAACTGGTGTGCTTGGTTCCTTGAGAGTGTCTTACGGAGCACACACGTATTCTACGAGAAGCACCTGGCATGCGTTCTGGGTTTTGCTGCCCCCTGCTACCTTCAGCTGTGGGAAAGCATGCCGGGGGCGTCACATGACAGTGGGGAGCGGTGCGACCAGGGGGATCTCAGTTGGTGAGTACTTCAGGGGCGTCGCATGACAGTGTGGGGGGGGGGGGGTCACATGACAGTGGGGAGCGTAACCACCGGTGATCAGCGGTGTCCCCGTGGAAAACAAATCGGATTTTCGGCCATCAGGTTTTAGCCCCCGACAGGTACTCTGGGCATCCTGGAGGAAAAGTGGTGCGAGACGTACTGGTCGTACCGTGTGTGACGTCCCTGCATGCACATTTGATCACCTCCCACCCCTCTGCCAAAGAATGACGCAATTTAAAAAAACTTCTCGGGTGAACGCATCGCAGCTCGAGATAAGAGTTGCGCACAGGTGTTTCCCCAATGGAACTCACTCTTATTTGCACTGTATGCTCGGATGATAAATGTGACTGGCCGCGTGGCCCAACGGATAAGGCGCCTGACTACGAATCAGGAGATTCCAGGTTCGAATCCTGGCGTGGTCGCATCTTTTTTCTTCTTTGTATCTTTTTCTCTGACGGGGCACGCAGGCGCTGCTTCCATCTCTTTGTCTTGCCTAGGTTTCATTTCTGAGTCTTCTTGCTGTCATAATACTTGTGTTGTTGCGTTCTAAGTCTGTCTTGTCTTGTCCACTTTCTCTGTTTGTGCATGCTACGGCGGTGGTCTTAGCCTTCATTCGGGACTCCTCGAGGGCACCGAACATGGCGGGAAAGACTCCTCGCTACGTTTTCTGTGTTGCTGCCACCGATGAAGAAGATGAGGATGAGTTCGTTGTCTGCTATGATGGTGAGTCCCTCTTTATTTTACAGAGCATGTGTGTGTGCGGAAAAACGCATCAATTTAGCTATTTGCGATTTCCCTCGTGCTCGGAACTTTCCACCGCCTGTGTCCATAGCGTTCACTTTGTGTATGTGTGGGCACTGGGCGGGCGTGCATGTGGACGTGCGTTGCTGTGTGTGTGTGTGTGTGTGTGTGTGTGTGTGTGTGTGTGTGTGTGTGTGTGTGCTGGCTGTGTTCTGTGCAGAATTTGCCATCTTTCTGAGTGCCAATGGCCACTCGGCGCGAACCATGCGCTTGGAGTGGCCGTCGACTGCGACCAAGTTTGGTAAGTAGCCTCTGTTGATGAGAGTGTTTGGCTACGGAGTTCTGCCATCACTTTTACCAGCGCACATCTCCTTATCCAGCAGACTTTTAGTCACGAATGTGCTGATCGTCTTCACTTCAGCCGGTTTCTATTCTAAACTTTTAAATCTGGGAATGATAGACTGATGATTTTTTTCTTTCTTTCTTTCGTATCTGGCTTGCAAGTGTTGAGTTTCGGAGAGAAAGGAGCAGTACGCGGCGTGTGGCCTCTGGTTTCCTATTGATAGCCAGTCACTAGATTTATGGAGTTATTACTTCAAACACGAAACGAGTTTGCACTTGTTAACACTTCCATTTTCCGTCCCACCGACAGGCCATCAGCTTCACAGAATGAATGACAAAATACAGATTGCCAGTATTTCGCGCATCGGGCATCAGCGGAGGCATTCATGAGGACGGGTTTTCGAACTTGTTTTAACTCGGTTGGGGCACTATTCGTACGGTTGCCGAGATTTCCTGTTGCTTAAACACACATTGGCACTTTATAGTTCACCTCGGTATCTTTAACTTACTGTGCTTGTTTTCTCTGAGTGTGGTACAATGCACACATCTACATGTACTGATTTGACCTGCATATCTGTACGGTGTTTTTCCTTTCTGTGTGTGTCAGGTGTGAGTGGCTCGACGTTGTTTGTTGGTCAGCGCAGCGGTATTCGCTACTTCAACTTGCATTCTGGAAAGAGGTACGTCAGCTCAGCTCAGCTCGGCTCTCTCTCTCTCTCTCTCTCTCTCTCTCTCTCTCCCCTTCTCTCTCCTCCTCTCTCCTTCTCTCTCTGTGTCTCTCCCCCGATATTGGAAACGTAGAATGGTGAGTCGTGTCTAAATGCTTCGACACGTACAATTCACAAACGTCGGCCATTGCAACGGCCTTCACACAGAGACAGTTTGTAGCAAGAGTATAATATCCCCCCAAGAGTGTGCAACTCTGCATATGGGGTCTCCGACAGCGAAAACTCACATTGCGTGTCTCAGATACGTTCGTACTACGTACAAGCGAAGGATAGCGTGCGCGCTATCCGATTATCTGCCATGATCATGCTGGGGATTTGCATACCCGCAGCGAGTTTCTGTCAGAGAGTGCTTTTTTTATTACTCCGCTGCTCGCTAAAAACGGGCTGCAAACGTACAACTGCGACACTGCACCACGTGATGTGAGTTTTCGCCGTCGGCGTACCCCATGGAAAGGGCATCAGGAGTTGCACACTCTTGGGGGGTTATAAACTCTTGTTTGTAGGTGTATGATCATCCATGCATGTGATCATAACACCCACCGCTTCACACGGCTCAGCATTAGCATTTAAAATTTCACGGTTCGCGTGAGACTCGGCTGGAAGCCCAGTTTTCCGCATTCGTCGTGGGAACGCCACCACCCTCTAGGATCAAAGGCGCAGATGCAGCGCCTAAACGGTGGGATTAGCATTTGACCATTCGATATTCTTTTCCCTGCCTGAAAATCATGGTGAAGTGGTTCAGGTATGTATCCTGTGACTGGCCGCGTGGCCCAACGGATAAGGCGCCTGACTACGAATCAGGAGATTCCAGGTTCGAATCCTGGCGTGGTCGCATCTTTTTTTCTTCTTCTCTTTGACATACTGGATTCCGATCAGAATGGGAAAAAAGTACAAATTACCTGCACACATCATCTTCAAGTCAAGTACATGTAGTCTTTTTGCTGCAAATTACTACTAGTATTATCACAGTCAAATTTCGGCCATCATCAGTTTGCCGGGAATTGTTGTTGTTCTTCTCCAGTGGTCTGCTTGATGTCAAGTCTCCCGTTCTCCTGAACACCAGCCAGTGCACGTCCACGCTGCGATCGGACAGCACAACACCGCCATTGCTACTGCTGGAGTCAGCATCGGCCAGCAGCAACACCGGGGACGAGGCGGCTACTCGTCTGGTCTCGCTGACGGACTACAGGGACGACGCCGATAGCATTCTCTCCTCCATCATCTCCGCGTCGCCGGTGATCTCCGGTTTCCGCCGAAACGCCCAGCGTCTCAGCTCCGAGTCCTTCACCACCACCACCACCGCTGCTACCGCTGCTGCTGCCATCGTCCCCGCCGCAAGTACCACCGCCGTTAGTAGCGGCAAGGAGAAGAAGAGCGGGCCAAAGTCGTCCTCGTCGACCACGGCAATCAACACGGTCGACGATCCGCTGTCCACGTCGCGCCCGCGTTCGTCAACTCTGTAAGTAACCGTCGATGTGTGTGCTTGATTTGAGGGAGATTCACCAATGTGTGTGTGGGGGGGGGGGGGGGAGGTTCACCAATGTGTGTATTTGGGGGGGGGGGGGGGAGATTCACCAATGTGTGTGTGGGGGGGGGGGGGGGGGGCGGCGCCACACATACATGCTCTTCACTCCATAGACCTAACAAGGCCAGCTGTGCGGAGATTGCGTGCACTCCACTCCTATCCTATCTGTACCAGTGTACATTCACATTCTGCCTAGATCTACATGTACTCACCGTCATCTGCCTCTCTGCTTACAGGGCGTCTCGTCCGTCAACACGTCTATTCAAGCGCAGCAAGGGGATGGGCCCTTCCACTTCATCCACTTCCTTAGCTGACAAGCTCACCACGAAACTGCGGCGTTGAAGTCACTTGCTTTTTGCAAAGTGCTCCTCAAGTTATGTGGCAGCAGCGCCATGTTCAACCCGTTTGAACTGGGTGAGTTGTTCACAAGAGGAAGGCATGTGCGCGCGCGTGTGTGTGCATGTGTGTGTGCATGTGTGTGTGTGCGTGCTTTCAGTGAACCTCTGGCCGTATTGTGCCCTTCCCCCCCCCCCCCCCCCCCAACATGCACAGTCGTACCCGATGAGTTTTGCTGTGCCTCTACCTGGCGCACAGGATGGTTGTCTCATGGCCTGAGTTATGCCTGTGTTGTTAACAACACGTCTTTGCCGCGCACGATTGCAAAGGGCACAGCCGTCCATACCGTCCCGGCTACTACTGATCAATGATTAATTTAATTAACCGAGTCCCACGCTATACTGGCTTTCTGAGAATGACAATATTGTTGACCAAACCAGATCTCTCTCTCTCTCTCTCTCTCTCTCTCTCTCACGCACACGTACACACACGCACACGTTCCTCCATCATCTTGCTCATGCATCCATTGCACCGTAATCATCATCATCATCATCATCATCTTCACACATCACTATCCCATTGTTTGCCGGATTTCCCTACTGGTCATAGTCCCATCAACTACTTTGATTATAATATATATATACCACTTTAAAAGCTTGTTGTCTATCTTCTCATCGGTAACCGCCAGTAGACACCGTCTTGAAACACTAGTACATTACCGTGTATTCTGAGTCTAATTTTCTTTCTCGTTCATCTCCTACCGTTTCTTCGCAATTCGAAGACCTTCCGCTGCACTTGACTTGGATCCCTTTCTAGAATGTGGGGTTTCGCATTGTTTCCTTCCACTCGAATTTGCCCTTTCAATCTGATTTGTTCTTTTTCCGGTACTTTATTTCCACTACTGATATTTCATGTTAGAACATGCGTGAAAGATTCCGTTTTATGCGTATTTGTAATGCTTTTCCGCTTTGTTTTCCGAACATTGTGAGTTTTATTCTGCCGGAATTACGTGCCCCGAATCCTTTCCGTTTGCTTGTGTCGCACCAATGCTGCGCTGGACACGCACATACAGAGTCTACCCTCGCGTGATTTCCGCGCGACTGCACCGAACGCGTGCGCGCACGCAACTCTCTCAGTGCCGTGGACTAGGGTTCTGTGCCTGACTGTCCGTAGGTGGCACAAGGACCCTTGATCTCGTGTAATCTGCCCATTCGAAAATGCACGTACTGTAAATATACAGAAATTTCGGCCGCTGTTTAATATCGGCTACACACGGAAGGTTGGGTGTGGTCCTCGAAAGAGTGCTCAATGCACCGGGGTGCAGAGTTTCATACAAAAGGAATAGAATACGAAGCTTGTGTTGGCTGTGACTCCGAGTTTCACGCCTATGGCGATCATCAGACAGCAATGATTACAAAAACTCAATGAATGTTCTTGATATAGTGTGGTAAGGTGCCAGTGGAATCAGAGAATTTAAGCGCAAATAAGGTCAAGCGGTGATTCTATGCATGTGCTTGCAAGATTAGCGCCAGACATCAGGTGTAATCCTGGTTTATGTAACTGGAGGTGTGAAGTTAGATAGGTAGAATTTGTTCTCATGTCTGCACTTGGCCACTAGCTCCGATCGCTTGTTGATGTTCACCCTTCTGTCAGCATGCAAGATCTCCAGCTTCTCACGCAGACAGAGAGGGCAGCGCTTGGTGGCATTGGAGTATGCTGGTGTTTGGGCGACAACTGACCAACTGATGCTGTACCCGGCATTCTTGCGCTTCATGTCCCAGATGAGCTTCGACAACTCGGTACTCTTCTCCATTCGCTCATGCCTCATTGACGTCATGTGTCCGTCGTATCGCTTCTTGAACGTCATTTCCGTTAAGCCGAGGTACTCATTTCGTTCGTCTTTTCCGGTTTCTGTCACGCTGGCCTTGTATACGATTGACTGGATCTGGCAGTTTCCATGCATGGGGCAGTTAACTTTATCCCTGCAGTTGCATCTTTTCTCTGTTCTCTGTTGATCATCTTTCTGCTTCTTCCGTAAGACCGAATTGTTGTGCGCCTTTAGTACACCAGACATGTTCTGCATGCAGCTGTAACTTTTACTGTGTTACTGTTGAATATTTTGTTTAGGCGTGAAGGAGGTGGGAAATGCTTCTCGACGAGGTGCAAGAATCTTTGCGCGACATTCGTGGCTACTGTTTTGCTGAACGGAGGATTGTACCAGATGATCTTTCGTCTGCGGTTTTTCTTCTTTTTCTCTTCATCTTTTTCTCTCTCCTCCATGTACACGATCTGCTCGGCGTAACCGCTGGCCTTGAGCGCACTGTTGTACAGAGGTGCCGCCTCCTGGAAGATGTCTCTGTTGGACGAAATATCTGTCAATCGTCTGCTGATAGACTTGGGTATTTGTTGGATGATGGTTGGCGGGTGGTTGGATAGTGTGTGGACGTACATCGGCGTGTCATTTGGTTTTCGGTAGGGGCGGTAGGTCCCGTCGGCTAGATTAAGTGTGACGTCGAGGTAGTTTACGACCTTCATGCCGGCATCGATGGTAATTTTCAGCCCAAGATCTTTAAAGATACGGCATATCTCCTTTCTTGCTCTGTCTGCTGCACTGCCTGTCGCATCTCTCAAGACCGCCAACCCGTCGTCGCGGTAGAGTCCGATGTTATCACTGTCGAACTTATCAGCTAGCTTTGACAGTGCGTAAGTTCCCACTAGCTCGCATGTCTCTGCTCCGTCAAAACAACCCATTGTGACGTCAAATAGGCCTCTTCCGTCCTTTTTCATCCATGCTGCATCACTACTAAACAAGAGCGACTTTCGCGCATGCATGATGATATCTCGATCTTGCTGGCTGACGTCGGAATGCTGTGCTGCGAATGCAATGGATTCTTCCAGCAGGTCTTGGGAGATTGTTGGGTAATATTCCACTATGTCGAAGCAGACAAACGTGCATGCCGCTTTATTGTCTATTTCTCGGAACCAGTTGACGACTGCAGCGGTATTCTTCCAGGAGTTTAGTTTCAGTTTGTCTCGTACTTCTTGGGTGATCCTCGCCAGGATATTCTGGCTGACTTTCCCGATCTCACTTTTTGAGGGGTTGATGAGTCTGCATGGTAAACTTTGTGAGAAGTTGGTTTTGTGATCTTTTAGGGTTATGTACGCGTTTTTCTTCGCCATGGTCTCGGCTCGGTTAGCGATGTTGAGGCTCTCTGCGATGCCTTTTGCTTCTTGGTTGATGTCGTTTTGGGCGTTGTCAGGGGCATGCTTGTAGTGCTTCGTGACGTTGTCGTTCAGTAGCTTGGTGTACTGGTCAGGGCTGACTTCGTAGATGTTCCTCGTCTTATCTGCAGAGGCGAGTATGTTCTGTGATGATTTGATCCTGGTCCGGTCATCTTGGAGCTTGCGCTGGAGCTCGTCGCTCACCCTGCGGAATCTAACGTTCTCGACCAGGGACCACAGGTCTTCCTCGAACTTTTTCATGTCATCCACTTGGGATGACATGTCGGCATATCGGCTATGCGGCACCGCACCGACCCAAAACGCCGAAATTAAACCGCTGATGACATGTTTTCACAATGGCTATGGTGATGGACTGTACTAGTATTAACCCTGTGCCGAAAATAAATCGCTGCCGAAGTGTCGAAAATCGTGAAATACTGAACCTTGCCGTTCATGTTTGGCATTAGTGTTGTTACACTTTGGTTGATCTTACATATAACTGGAAAACAAATCCGTTGATCCCCCGAGCTGCAGAGAGTGCTCAATGTCAGAGACAGAGCTTAGTACATTGCAGACTCAGCGGAGGACGTTCGGGTTGGTTGCAACTCTGAGTTTCATGCCGTTAGGCTATCATCAGACAACTGATACTCGGGTCTACCCAACACTTTCTAGCCATACCTTACACCAGATTTAGTGCTAAATTTGTTTATGCTTGTGGCCCTATGTGTTTATAAGCATACTGTTGGGTAGACCCGAGTATCAGTTGTTTGATGATTGCCTAACGGCATGAAACTCAGAGTTACAACCAACCTGATCGTACTGTGAAAACATGTAATTTTAGGTGTATTACAATTTCGGTACCAGGGATCTGCCAGGTTTCAGGTGTAATGTAGAATTAGGTGACCAACGTTCCCTTCACACCCAATGTATACTCTGGTGCCTTTTAATTAATAGGTGTAATCTAAATTGAGGTGCCTGGTTTCTCTACCGAAATTGAAGTTACACCGAAAACATTGTGTTTTACAGACTTCGATGCTGCTTTCAGAGTGTTGCCGGTAGTTGTACAAATGCAGGCGCTGTGTGTATGGAGTGTTAGCTGCTAAGTGTGAGAGCAAAGCGAGCGGGTACGCTTGCAAGCTTACATGTGTGCATCTGTGCGTGGCTTCAAGTAAAACAATGACGTGTGAGCAATAAAATCAGATTGCCTTAAATACATGTACTTTATACTGTACCTGTAGAAGAAAATACTTTGTTTTCCCATAGACACTTTCTATCTTTATCAAATTTTTTGGCGTCGATCCCCAAAATACTGTTGGAGAGAATACTTTTTTTTTTTGAAGTAGAAGAAATACTGCATGCAGTACGGGCGTTGCACCTACATGATTGTACCCAGGGAGTAGTACTACTCCCTGATTGTACCGGTACTTGCACAATGTACCGGTACATGTAAGTTGTTACGCGATTTATGATCGGAAATCAGCAGATCAAGAGAATCGTGCGCCGTTAGTCATGGTCACGGATGAAGGGGTTTACGCCGAAGAATACGCACTGGTGAGATCAATGTCTGAGTAATACTAGGAGGCAGCTGCGATAAAACTGCTCCAAATAACTACTTCAAGTATCATTACCCTAACGAATAAGAGTAAGCCACAGCATTCGACCCTGTAAAGATATTTCAAAGGTCGACTGGAGAGCGCAGTTAAGGTGTGGTGGTTGATGAAAAATCTAACCGTGATTTGAATCAGCTTTATCGCAACAGCTTCAGAAACACTATCATCTCCGGCCCTGGTGCATGCAAGGGGTTCACGAATAGAAGTTGCTCCTTTTTACACTGAATTTCAAGGGCAACGGAAGAATGTGACTTACATTCGATTCGAGTGCGACATCCTACTAATAATCATGTGAAAATAATTTGAACAATCGGCTCAAACTTGAAAGTGGGGGTACGAGATTTATGCTAGTATTCAGGACAATACGGCTTCTATGCAGCAGGCTGGCATGACTGGATTCAAAACAGGGATTAGTAAAATACCGGTATTTTATTAATCCCTGATTCAGAACACCATGCCGACACTGTCGGTGCTGTCCACGGACGACGTGGAGTCCGTGCTCGTTTTCGGCACTCGCGCGGCGCACTCGTGCCGTCCCGCGGTGAACTGAAGCAGCTCGCACTCGCTGCTGGTGCGGCCCATGTGCCAGCGCGGCTGTTGCTGCTGCTGTCCGCGCGAGGGCCCCGGCTGCTGATTCAGGGTGAGCGGACTGGGAGCTTTGGTCTGGAAAGTAAAAAAGAAAAAGAAAAGTAAATTGTGGTGTTCGTTCGCGACGGAACTCACGACGGCCGCTAACCCCTGTAAATCCGGTCTAGAAGCACACGCAACGTGCGCGCACAAGTCAAGGGAAATAGAAGTTGGATGAATTGGAAAAAAAGCAATACTATCAGGGGCGTGACCGCCGTCCAACCTAGGCTTTCCCCTAATCGGCGTGTTTTTTCGTCCATTCGGCTTTCCGCCCTGCTCAAAAACATCAGATTCGGCTTCAAAATCAGCAGACTGTTCGCAAATCGGTTGCAAAATTGGAATAATTATATTGGAAAATCGGCTAAAATAATTGTTGGCATATTGGCTTCGAAATTGGTGAGATATTGGAAGATTTGGTAGATTTTCGGCGATTCTCAAAGGAACCCTCCAAAATCGGCAAAAAGCTTGGTGATTTTTTCGATACGTCTCGTTTTCGGCGAATTATTCGGCCGGCTGATTTGGAGAGTGTACTGGTAATGATCTTCATAATGGCTAATGTTTGTTTGAGAGGAGGTCAAAGGACACGAGTCACACGACCTCAAGGCTCAACGCACATGTACTGCAAGTACTGAAGTAGAGAGGTCGACTGGTCATGCTTGCAGTAACATCATTCGTTCGTAAACACACTTTGCAACAACGTTTGGTAGATTTTCGCCATTTTTCGACTTTTCTCAAAGGAACTCTCCAAAATCGGCGAAAAGCTTAAAACAATTTTTCCATAAGTCTCGTTTTCGGCGAGTTTTTCGGCCGGCTGATTTGGGGAAAGCCGCACAAACAATTTTAACTTGTGATTTTTGAGGCAATGCAATAATGGGCTATCATAGTGGGCCCAGCTTTCCAAAAGCATCCCAGGAGAAGATCTTCCCTGACCCCCCCCCCCCATCGTGTCTGCACCAATGTTGAATACCTTGCAACACCGCTGACTATTGTGCTGTGCTTCAAGCAGCAGCGGACATAGACATATTGTTACAGCTAAATCTCTTTTGAACGACAACCGAAGCACCAGAGGAGTTTGTTTGCACAGTTCTTCTTCATGATCCAGATTTCATACCCGGTGAAAACACCGTGGTGACATATTGAATAGAGTTATGAATACCAGTTTGCCTACAGCGAAAGTTCCCCTTTAATTAAGGCTTATCAGTGTTCTTCTCGGCGGGAGTCACTGTACTGTCTTTGCAGGTCCTGGTCATAGCCTAGGATAGCACATTCACCGGGGTACGGGTAGGATATGACCCCCCCCCCCCCTCCCCTCCCTCTGCTTTTCTCTCTAAAGTCAAACAGACACCATGTGACTACACAGTCACTGTTCAACGAGTCGTAAACACACAGTCGCTTTACTCGTCATGTCAGTATGCACTGCAAAGTCGTACCCTGGGACTTACACGACCGATGCGTCGTCTTGGCAACTCCAGCTGTTGCATGGCATTGGTGAGGGCACCAACATGGCCGCCCTTGCGTCGCCGACTGGTGGCGGTGGCCGATGCGCTGGCTGATGCAGAGTTGGCCATTGTAGAGCTGACCACGTCATTGGCAACCCCCGCCAGGTCATTGCTGTCATCGTCATCGAACATACCCAGCATTGTGCCTCGTGGCAAGCGTGTGTCCGTGCTGACTGCATCGCTGAGCAGTCGGAGGTGCGGGTGAGGCGACTGATGCCGATACTGCTGCTGCTGCTGCTGCTGGTACTGGCCAAATGGAGCAGAGGAACATGGTCTTGGCCCCACACCTGGATGGCCTGCTGGCAGCTGCAGAGATCCAAGCTCACTGGAATCTGCAAAGCATGGGGTGGACAGGAAGATGCATGAAGTTCCGAACGACAATTTCTACAAAACGGACTGCATTATAAGTAGGGCTGAGTCGGGTAGCATTTTCTTCGGGTATCGGGTCCGGGTAGTTTTCCACGGTTAGCACAGGTACCCGATCGGGTACCCGATCGGGTAATGTTCCCATGGTAAGACCACAATGCACACCGGCACACCCTTCCCTTGCGCATTGGGTAGACATGCGTGAATTATTTGTACACGTGCACTGTACATGATGTCATCTGTGACCTCGGGTTTTCGGGTACTATTCGGTACCCGACTACCCGAGGTCCTCACGGGTAGCACGGGTACCCGACTACCCGTGCACACCACTAATTATAAGTCTCAATACCTAGTCTCGATACCTGTGTATTCAAAGCCAGTTTTGTGCTGAAAGGCGGGCTCACGCCCCTACATGGCTACTTCTCCTTGTCTAACCCCCAACACGAAAATGATAGGAGCCGACTGGCCGAAATTTAAAATATTCTTTGTAAATTTAATTTCTCCAAGGTATAGTTCTGGCCAGAGAATTCCGACCTCATGGGTATTATCATGATTATACCGGGATCGGATGTCTCTGCCCAGGACTGTGCAGTGGGTTTGCACTTACCTGGACCCGGGCAGCCGGCTGACATGGTCAAGCACTCGTCTAGCGATGCCGCCGACCGCTGGTAGCGCGCCCGCTGCCGTGCCGAGCTACCCCCGTGTCGTGCCGCTAGTCGATCTGTGTCGTCTCCAGTCCAGTCGCCACCACATGGGCTCTTGCCATCTCTACAGTCACAGACGAAGGGAGCAGACCACTAATCTGGAATACGGAACTTAGGGAATGAAAAAGAATTGCTGGAAATTTTGAACGAATATCCACAAAAGTATTGTACTACTCCCTGGTCACGTGATGAGAGCTCTGCACTACAAGACTGTCTGTATCTCTTTATTTGCTCACCTATTGCTCATCACTTCTTTTACAGATTTGGTGTTGTGGACGGTTTGGAAGCCCCCTCGATAGGCGAAAGCCTTTGGGGAATCCAAAAATTACAAAATTAAAAATGATGACGGTGCAAAAGAGCATAATTGTGCAGTACTTGTAGAACTATGAACATGATCCTGAAGCATAGTTCGAAGTTCAAAGTTCAAAGGTTCATAAACTGCTTGTACATGTATGGAAGTGAGCTAGCAAAAACTTGTAGTGGTGTAATCGTGTATATGACTCGTACTCGTAGGGTAATTATTTCGATAACATCATTCTTGTGAGTCAGTCAAGTGTCAAGTTCGGCAAGAAGCGTGTGTTCCTAGTTGGAACAATCAACTTCATCATTCTTGTAGTTCCTGAAATTTCTGGAGCCAGCCAAAACATTGCCAGGTTTGACGTCACCACATACCGGTACGTAGATACACAATACATTCCCAGGGTGGATACAATCGATTTTGTGTGGTTTTCCTCGTGTTTCATCCACTGCGATGTGCACTGTCTCCTTTTTGATTTCACCAGGAAGCTACAGAGACCCACTATGCGCTCCCTGGACTGTACCCGTTTCTAGCCATTCGTTCCAGGAAATGGAATGCTTAGTACCGGCACTCTTGATGTAAACGAGGTTTTGTTTAAAGGGGAAGTTCAGGCAAAAATTAAAATTTCACCAGTTGTAGTCTTCGGGGTGCTGAGTCGAATGGTCGTGGTCCGAGGAAGCTGAGACGCTCCCTTCCTACTTGAATCCCAATCGAACTCGCGCACTTCCACCGAAACTGGGTGACTGCGCCCTACTATAGAGGACTTTCCATTACATCACCTTTTTGGCGCCTTCCCGGTGTCCACCCAAAGATCACCCATAAGACAAGTCCGTGTCCTACGGTAAAATGTGCTTGGGTGGCAAAAAGAGAGTCAAATGTGTTGTTCGGTGTACGGTTGAAAATGATGTTGCAGGCCGTCGCAGTGGTGAAGCACTTTTGCTTTTCTTTGATGTGGTGAATAGTTTCGGTAAGTCGCGAGGATTACTAGCCGCAGTTACTGTACTGTTTATTCCAGCCTTGAAGAGGCGTTGCCGCGAGAAGATTGACAGAATCCGTGGGCCCAGTACATTGATCCATATTTACCTATGGACGAAGACCTTTCAGCCAATCCCCCTGCGTTGGGTATCCAGGCCTCTCTAAATATTTAGTGAATGTCCCCAGCACATATGCAAAGGACTCTCTAAAGTCTTACAATAGCCCTGATGGATACAAATGCATGTGTCTCATTGCTGGCTGGGTTGGCACATTATCGTGTCTTGCCCAATCGAAGGAAGAAACAACAACTGTCAACAAAATACGTTTGCAAACGTCAGGCACTCGCGGAGTGTTTTGCCGAACCTGTCCATCCTTGGGTAGCTGCTTAATTACCTGGAATTGTTCTTGGCGCACACTGCACTTGCATGGTGGGCCTGGGAGAAGCATGTTCCCATGTTGCTGCAGTGCAGTGTTGTTTTGACTGAATTTACGTTGGAGACTGAAATGTGATGTGTGCTGAATGTCAACACCTACACCACTGGGTCACTCACCAGTGGCTGGCACCGTCAATGAACACTACACGAAAATAGTGTACATGGATTTTACTTCAGCTGGGCAGAAATTGGAGCACCGTGCCCATAACCTACAAGTAGTCTCACTTCTCTTTCGCTGCCTGACTCTCTGTCTCTCTTGCTTCGCATGCCTGTCAGTGTATCCATGTGTGTACGTGTGTGTGTGTGTGTGTGTGCGTGTGTGTGCGTGCGTGTGTGGGTTTTTCTTCCTTATCAGTACGAGTATGACAATGTTGACATGCGGTGGCTGGTAGCACGAAAGCTGACAAAGTCAAACACGGCCATCATTATCATTGCTCCTATGTAGCCAAAAAGTTGGTGTAGTGGCGAACTTAGTTGTCCTGATCTTAAAACACGCTGATGAATGCACATTCAATACAGCAATTGTTTTTTCCTGGTCGTCCCTCGACCTGGGCCATTCTCCATAAGCGGTTGCTGATTACCGGTAGAGTATCCTCCATTACTGCCTTTGCAAGAGTTACACAAGAAGTAAGATCAAGATGATCCTCACCACAAGAAGATCAAGAAGCTGAATACATGTACCTAATTGACCAGAAAGACAGAAGATGAGGTATACTAGTATGTGCCGCAGCAGATGAAGAACTGCACAGCGCAGCAACCAAGTGGGAAGCAGAAGAAGATTGCGCAAGTAGGTCGATCAGAGTATTTATCCATGACAAAGGAAATACACGTTGTGCAGAACATGAGGCATACACACTGGCATGGAAGAGATGATGAGTTGCACCCAGGGCCAGTACTAGAATAGCTAGCACCACCAGTCATGTATAGGTACGTGCATAGAGCTGGGTACATTAGTCATTACCATCAGCATCAGCACTATCAATCATCAAACTCCAGCTATACCTTGCACCCCAACAAACTAAGTAAGTTGATAGTGTTCGGAATCATCTTCGTGTTTCCGCCTTTACTGGTGCTGCCACAAATGAGCTGAACAAGTTGGTTAGTTAGTTCGATACGTACTGGGGTGACAGGGGATGATCATGACTTTTCTCTTCGCCAACGAAGTGATGGAACAATATTCGTGTACTTCGAAGTATTTGCATAAGGAGCGAAGTTGTTGTTGTTGTTGTTGTTTATTTTACTTCGCAGATTCTAACGGGCAAGTTGCCCAATAACAAGAAAGCGAAGGCAAAGAAAATAATACTAATAAAAGAAATAACCGGGGGCAGCAGAAAATGAATAATAGCTTTAAGAACTCAGATGGTGAGCCAAGGAACAAATTTCCATGTTACAAATAATCGCTTTTAAAAAGTAAAAAGAAAAGAGCGGGTGGTACAGCAGACTTCCTATTCTGAATTCCCTGAACGAAGCAGAGACATTAGCTGGGTACATGTCACTATTACACAGTAGCAAGAGAGCTACCTCGGTCGGCATCAGTGGACGTGGACTACGAGTGGATGCGACATACGAGTGGATGCGACAGCAACAGTGACTGGAATAATGGGTGATACGTTTCATGGAGCGAGCGTATGTGGGATGACTGACATCTTGAACACACTGCGTTGGGGGATGGTGCGGATGTCGCTGGGTAGTGCGTTCCACAGCTTGGGAGCGGCAACAGAGAACCTAGCCTGACCAGCGCGGCTTGCGGCGGGTGGTATGTGCGCTCCGATGTCCTTCTGCAAGCGGGTACGCCGATCTGGTGACCTTGAAATCAGTCCACAGAGCCGGTTCCCCGCAATGCCGTGGATGCATCGCCAGGTGAGCAATAGCGCCTTTTGCTTGTGCAACTCTGAGATTCGGTAGAGTTCCACCCGTTGGAGCAGAGGTTGAGCAGAGTCGTATGGCCGAGCGCCAAAAACTGCGCGAACCGCTTTGTTCTCCAGCGTCTGGAGATCCGTTGCTTGCTGGGCAGTTAGACAGAACAAGAAACAACTTGATGCGTAGGTCAGATCCGGCATCACCACGGACTTCAAGTAGGTGACTCGGGCCGCCAGGCTCAAGCATCTCCGAGTCCGCCAGAGGGCACCTACTTTGCGGGACACCTTTGCTGTAATGGCTTTCAGGTGTTGCTGAAAGTTCAGCCCCTCGTCAATGATGACGCCAAGGTACTTCGCGCTGGTGACTGTCGGCAGAGGTTGGCTGCGACAGAGGACTGTGACCCGGGGTCCAGCGTCTCTACCGGGAAAGACTGTGAGAACTTGACTCTTCTTCTCATTCAGAATCAGTCCTCGCTCTTCCAGCCATGCAGCCAAGGAGGAGACTGCGGTGGAGAGCGTACTGGCAACAGCCTGAGTCGTGTCAGCGCTACAATATACTGCGACGTCATCGGCGAACTGGATCGTGGCTGCGGATTGGGCTACTTGAGGAACATCTCTTGTGTACACGTTAAAGAGCAACGGGCCGAGCACCGATCCCTGGGGCACACCGCAGCTGCAAGAGGTGATTGTGCTGCTGCTGGCCCCGAAACAAACTCGCTGTGTCCGCTCACTGAGGTAGCTGATGAGCCAGCGAAGGGGTCTGCCTGTCACTCCTAAAGCAAACAGGTCCTGAATGAGACGCTCATGAATGACTTTGTCAAATGCCTTGGAGAGATCGAGAAAGCACACTCCCGATACCTGGCGTCGATCGCGGGCCTCCAGGAGCGTGTCCGTCAGGACAACCAATGCATCTTCTGTTGAGTAGCCATGCCGGTACGCAAACTGCGTGTCAGGCAGCGCATGAACACGGGAAAGCTGACCTTGTAACTGGTTTTGTACAATCCGCTCGAGGATTTTCGAAATAATGGGTAGTAGAGATACTGGTCTATAATTCCCAGGGGAAGCAGGATCTCCCGATTTGAAGAGGGGGCGAACCTCTGCTAGCTTGAAGGCCCGAGGAACGATACCCGATTTCAGGGACATGTTGAAAAGTTGGGTGAGGCTTGGTGCGATGATGTCGGCAGTGGCGAGCAGCAACGATCCTGGGACCCCGTCACTACCGGTTGCTTTTCTGGCGTCGACTTTACGGAGCAGTTCGTAAACGGAACCTGCATCAGTCCCTCGAAAATCCGAAAGGACTTCCCCTCTCAATGGCCCCTGAGGTTCTGCCAATATGGGAGGTCTATTGGCGTCGGTCACAACTTGATGGAACGTATTGCCGACCTCTTCAACGTCGCATGTAGGATCCGGTTGTGCTCGGGTACGGCCTGTAAGGCTGTTGATGAGCTGCCAGAGCTTACGAGGGTTTGCAGATGCAGATTGACATGTCTGATGAAAATACGAGTTTCGTTTGCGCCGAATCGCGTTAGATGCCTGCGTCCGAGCCAGTTTGAATGCACTGTGAAGTGCCATATCTTCGGGGTTCCGGAGCCAGCGCGTGTGCAGCCTATTCCGTGTCCTGATGAGTTGATACGTCTCACGGTCGGACCATGGAGGTAGAGGCTTGCGGCGCGGTGGTATAGTCTTCATTGGAGCATACCTGTCCAGGACAGTCATAAAGCGCGAGTGCCAATCATGCCACGTATCATCCACGCTTGACGACTGTGGAAGGGAAGGGAAATGCTGAAGTTCTTGCTCCAGAGCGATTCTGAACTCAGGGATACTTATATTCCGAATCCGCCTGGCCTGCTTCGATTGAGTCTCTGCACGAGGAACTGAAATGTTCAGGTTGGCGAGCACAGCGCTGTGATCACTGATCAGACAAGGTATCACCCTGCAGCTGGATACCATCTTCCTGTCCGTGAGGACAAGGTCAATAAGGGTGCCTTTCGGCGTACTTGGAGTGATGCGCGTCACTGCATCCACGCAGTTGGTTAAGTCGAACGTGCAGCACAGGCTCTGTAGATGGGTTCGCTGATGATTGGGGTGATTAGCGGACAAGTCCACATTGAAATCCCCCAACACCGTTAAAGACGTGGCTGAAGAGCCAGCACTATGCATGGCACTTTCTAAATCAGTCCAAAACTCCACGGATGTGTCAGGGGGCCTGTAGGCGCAGCCGACACGGTGATGCTGTCGATGTATCTGTACGTCAACCCACACCAGCTCTAAGCCGCTTACGCTTAGATCTGGGCGTGGTTTGATTGGCAGGGTGGATTTGTAATAGATACACGTGCCGCCACCTCGCCTGCCGCTGCGATCGGTCCTTGTGAGGCTGTATCCAGGAATAGCTACTTCTCCGTCACCAATAGTGCTATCCAGCCAGGTTTCGGCCAATGCAAAAATATCAAAGTCCTGCACCCGGAGGAGTGCCGTTACTTCATCTACTTTGTAGCGCAAGCTACAGACATTCAAAAAACCTAGTTTAAGCGTTCGGGTATCCTGGGTGCTCACCGGAAAACTGATGGTGGCAGCTCGTGGAGAGAATACCTGAGCGTGTGGATTTAAAGACGATATAGCAGTGAAAAGTAGTAATTAGTAAGAAAAAGAACAATCATGACGAGGACTAGCATAGAATCGAGATTACAAGCAGAAGTTTACCGGTTATTGGCTTCCTCGCCGACTCCTCACACGTTGGGCAAGGCGGTGCATCTCTTTTGCAGATGCCTCATTTGCCCATGCGACTTGGGGGTCGAATGCCAGGACTCTTGCGCTGAATGTGTGCTTGCCTGATGCGCGGATGAATCCTTCGTCATCAGGTGAAGAGTGACACCCCTTCCCACGAGAGAGCGGAAATGCCGGCACTCCACGTGTAGCCTCTTCTGCTGGCAGGGTTGTTGGCGTGGCGACTGGTACAGAATAAGCTGCCTGCCGTACAGGTATCTTAGAGACCTTTGGTGGTCGCTTGTCGCAGTGCTGCTGCTGTTGTTGTTGGTTCGAGCCCTCTAGTGTGGTTGAACCTTTTGGTGGACATGGGCAGTTGCTATCTGTTGCTTCGCCTGCTATCGCAGCTCCTGGATTTGGTTCAGCGCCAGTGGGTTCTTGTACCGGTACATGAACGAGTACATCCGGACTGTCATCCGCCATACGGTCCGCAGCCTGGCCCTGTACGACAGTGGAGTACGAAGTGTGATGCGTACGTGTACGTGCAGCATTTGGGCGTGCAGGACAGTCACGTGCTTGGTGGCCAGATACACCACAGCGAAAGCACGTCTGTATCTGGTCGCGGTGATGTGTACGGTACGACCTTTTCTGAATGCTTAGCTTGCAGGGTACACCTTTCTTCAGGATCATTAGCACCCGTCGTACCCCCGTGAGAATTTTGAATTTCTCAACGGTGACAAATTCGCAATCAATATTGCCGACAATTTCGCCAAATTCCCCCAAAGCCGACTCTATGTGGCCCAGATGCAATGCGGGTTCGCAACCATAAATGTAAACACGGGTAGCGGATACTGTGCCATCTCCCGGTAGCACGTCAATGCTCTTACCCTCCAACTGCAGATTTGCTGCGACGAGCTTGTCCCTGGTGGCGAAATCACGCAGGGTCAGAACACAAGACCCGGGCCGGCCGTGCAGGTCGATCTGCAGGACATCTCCAAGCGAGAGACTGCAGGCTTGAATTGCCTTTGCTACGTCCAGATGCTTCACAGTCTTTGGACACTGGAAATGGACAGCTGGCCTGTCCATGTCAGAGCGCTCAATTTGCCTACCACTCGGTATTTAGAAAAAAAAAAAAAAAAAAAAAAAAAAAAAAAAGTTCTCGAGTCATGTGTCCGTCATCCACTGGTTCCGTCGTTCTCCATCGTAGGGAAAACGATAACAACTCAAAGACGATCCAGGTGTGGGAACATCCGATCGCGAGCAGCCCTTTGGTATTCTCAAACTACAGTATGCAAAATGGAACTGCTTTCGAAAAACACTGTTTCCTTCCAGTGCAGGCTTCTTTTTTTGCCACCCAAGCTCCGTTTCAAGTCCGGTGATCGGTGGTGAACTCGATGATCTTTGGCCCGAATCCTCATAGGCCGCACGGTATGACTCATTGGAAAGTCCTCTATAATGTAGATGGGGATTTGTATGCAAAATGTCACTAAAAGCGCCATTTCGTTCTTATAAAAGCACGGATGACCGCGATTGGCCCATATGTTGTAGTCTTTTGGACGCTGAGTCGACTGGTTTTGGTCCGAAAAGGCTGCGATGCAGCGTTCCTCCTTTATTCCCAATCGAACATGGTTGAACAAGCGGTCACGTGCTCCTGGGTGCCCAAATCACCTGGTCACCAGTCTCACCACGCCAGGCGACAACTTTCACACCAAGGTTCAACTCGAGTGACAGGACTGCACCCAAAAAAGGTCAAACAGGCTAGTAAGTTGTACCCTGCAGGCACGGTGACCAGGTGACTGGCGTCCGCAGGAGCACGTGACCGCTTGTTCAACCATGTTCGATTGGGAATAAAGGAGGAACGCTGCATCGCAGCCTTTTCGGACCAAGACCAGTCGACTCAGCGTCCAAAAGACTACAACATATGGGCCAATCGCGGTCATCCGTGCTTTTATAAGAACGAAATGGCGCTTTTAGTGACATTTTGCATACAAATCCCCATCTACATATAGTAGGGCGCAGTCACCCAGTTTCGGTGGAAGTGCGCGAGTTCGATTGGGATTCAAGTAGGAAGGGAGCGTCTCAGCTTCCTCGGACCACGACCATTCGACTCAGCACCCCGAAGACTACAACTGGTGAAATTTTAATTTTTGCCTTAACTTCCCCTTTAATAAACAGGCTGGGAATGGCTGCGAAAGCATCTCCAGGAATTCGTAAATCTGCAAGATTAGCATAATGGTCAGCTGTGGGATGCCTTCATTCAATTACCAGCGTGTACACGATGTAAATACTCAATTATGTAGTCCACTGTCTGCGCCAAAGCCTACTTCCGGCTGCACGATACTACAGTACACTAGTATTCGATAGGACAATAGCCAGGAAGTTCACATACACTGTACCAGGGCGACACGTGTACGAACGATTGACCAACACCATCAGCATGCTGGAAGGAAACGGCTGCAAATAATAATGTTCAAAGATAGTATCTTTCTAAAAGGATAATAAATAAGAATAAGTATCCTGATCGTTATGATAGTCAGCAGCTGATGTACACGTAGACATGTACAGTAGGTATCGGTTATAGCGTGGGTGTTGGAAAAACGACTTTCTATTCTTATTTCCGATATTTCTTACACACGATAAATCAAGTGTGGCATATCACATGCATGTGCGCAGGGGCAGGAAGATCATCGTACATGCAACGCAGTACTTCTGTGCATGTGGCTGGTCATAGTCCCATAGGCTTACATGTGGCTATGCAAAATGAGGTACATGACTACAACAGTTGAATCTGCAGCACTACGACCCAACGAGAGTCAGATCAGAACTGCTTTGGACGGATGTTATTACTACAGACGATACACTTTGTACTAATCTGGCATGTTTCGCTACACAAAGTCCATTCTTAGGACCGATATATTCTACTGTGGGATAAAATTGCTTGTAAGAATAAATGTGCACTTGAAATCCATGTTATGATTATGAAAACATGAGAGTTCATTCTTGTAGGCAGTATATTCTTTTACACGACCACGCTATAACCGATACGCACTGTACATACAAACCCTGTGGGTCGCCCACGCTTCTAGCCTGGTTGGCCCAGTCGAGACCCTAGCCAAGGGTTGGCGGAGCTCCCTAGACCCTAACCCTCATGATCACTGCTGCGATTCGACAAAAAGAGAGCGTAATGTGATGGGTGGAGAGAGGTAGACAACAGGTAGCCCCATCACGTCACATAGCACAACTCAACCATTCGCTACCCTGTTATTGAGCACTCCTGCTCGTTTGGTCTCGCGAATCCAAATAAAATCAATCAATCATGACTTGTAAATTTTGTTATTGCAAGGCAGTTCAATTATTGTACTCTAGCCATGCTAGGCTGAACTACATACAGACGGCCTCACAAACACGACATTGTTCTTCGTGGGAAGACAATGGATGCAACTTCGACATGAAAGGTTGAAGTAGATTAGAGACACCAACACACGGAGAACGCGGGTATACATGTAGATGTTCTACTGGAGGTATCTGTTTTAAAATGTTATTCTGACGAAAAAACGGCTTAGATGATCACAAACCTTAGCACTGATGAGGCCCCTACGTGGTATGTGCCAGCCAGTGCCATCGTGTCCTCAGCAAACCTCCCTGTCCCGACCAACTCCGGTATACACGCAGCGGGAAGAGATACTCTGGCAGTCTGGGAGAGTCTGTAGCAAGCACGTGAACAACACGATTGTGAATAGCTTGAATGGCACGGTCCGTGTGTGCAAACCACCTGTTCATCCCACGCTGGAATTTCAATGGAAACAAACCTCATAATACAAATGTACATGTACATGTAGTTGGTGAGCAACACAATCATTGAAAAGTATCCGGGAAATCCGAAAGAAGAGCGTGTTCGATTCGCTGTGTGCAAAACACGAGCACAGGCCCTTTCTACATGTAGATGCTCAAAACAGATCTCTCTACATGAAATAGATACTTCATACAAGTATTCCCCGAGGTCTACTACGTATTCACTACTCGAAGTGAGTGTATACAGAGGCTAACGAGGTGTCGCATCCATGTTGGGCACTGGTTGGTCTCACTCTCGCTGCAAACGTTAGGCACTGCATCTACCACCTTGGTATTATTAGTACTGTCACAAAAAATTGAAATTTTCGGTGTACCTAGATTTTCGGTACTTTCGGCGCGTCTGTTTCATAAAAAGGCCAGGTTGGGTGAACAGGACATTTAGGTATGGTATGGTATTGATTTATTTGAATTCGGTATCTCAACAGTACATTGTACAACTTGGGAAGATCCGAATGACATAGATACATAGGTACAGAGAAGCAGCTCCCTATTGGATTATATCTTTCGACGAGGCCTTTCATACCATTACTCTTCAAAGAGTGGCTTGCAGTTTGTTTTCCTCCAGCAAAATCAATCAAATTTGTATTTCGAAAGCGCACAGGTCCCTTGTTCGAGTCCTAATGGCGACAGTCTATTTTGTAATCAAACCTTTCCTTTGCAATCCCTCAGGCTGATCAGATGAGTGGGTATTTTCCAAATGATTATTCTTCGAGGCTAGGCACCAATGAAGTGAAACAAATAATTAGTTTGGTGACCTACTGTGGCGTATAACACTATAAAAAAAAAGATGACCTTTCTGCTCTGTTTTACTTTCTCTTTTCGTTTGTCCCTCTTGATATTTGTACTTTGTACTGTTGAGGCAACGAACTGAAATAATAAAAGAAAACCAAACCAACCAAGACGTACAGCCATAATACGTACAGACTGTATCAAATTTCTTCTGTTTTTGGCTGTTGTTTCGAACCTTCGGAGGTGACGTTTTTTAAAGACTTACGGCGGCTCCCAAGGGATGCTAGCGTGGTGCAACTCTGTTAGCGATCTTCTGGGCACTCTGACTATTATCGGGTATGAAACAACTTTACGTGAATGGCAAAATAGCTCTCCTCAGCTCGCTAGCGCTGCGCGATGCTGGGTAGAAGATTTATCGCCAACGTCTGCGTCCTCCAATGCTCGAATATCGCACCTTCAGCACTGTCTGGCACTCACCTACCTGGCTTTGCACTGAACTTACTTGACTTGGCTGTGGAAATAGCGGAGCAGGCATACCGGTAATACTACATATCAGCGTAGATCCACAGTTTGTAACGACACGGAGAGATGCACTGGAGTTCTGACTGCTACACCGCTGACGGGAGCCTATTATATTATCGTCCAGGTGCAACAGCGACAATACGAACGGCTCGTGCGCGTCCACATCTACATGTACACCGAAGCTGACGGGCGCGGAGCAGTCTGAAGTATAACAATTGCTATAATTATGAACAGGTCGCATATTGCCCGCATAAACAGATCATACGGGGGTCATGCATCTGTCAATGATCGTTAACCAGAGTTGCGTGTTGGTGGCGAGGTTGAGGCATTCCGGAATTCAGAGGCTTGACGTCTTCTCTGATGTTGTCGACCCACCTCTTGTGGGGTCGTCCACGTACGGGGCGCTTGATGTCCGAAGTATGGAGTCTGAAGCATGCACACGGATAATATTATGCGTGTCTGTTTCGCTAGTAAAATGGCGGCAGGTGAAATTCGACCCCTCGTTTTCCTGCTCGAGAGCAGCACCGATTCTAGCGGTCTTTTATTATAATAATTTTCGTACTGTTGCAATCCCGCGTGCCGGGTCTTTGCCATGAGGTGAGCGCACCACTGCATGCAGTGGTCGGATTTACAGGAGACAGTTATGTCGTATGGGCTCAGTGGCTATCCAATTCACTGCAGACTGCCTGCTTGGCGGCAGTGGGTAAGCCATTGCCAGCTGCACGCCGAGCATGACTAATTCCCTTTCCTTTCCTGTCTAAACGCGCATTGTCCATTCTCCTTATTAACATGTACGTGTACATCATTGGGCCTAGTTCCCGTTTATTATGCAAAGTAGAATACACCGAGCATCCAAATCAACCAATGACAGAACAAACGTTAGAACCAGCTGTCGGGCAAACACAGTAGTTAGCGATGTCTCTGCCAAGCTCGCTAGACGATCCCTGGCTAAATTCCAGGTGTCCCATATATGGACCATAGCCTAGGCATTGTGCTGCGAGACAACAATGAATCTGTGTAGTAGTAGTAGTAGTAGTAGTAGTAGTAGTAGTAGTAGTAGTAGTAGTAGTAGTAGTAGTAGTAGTAGTAGTAGTAGTAGTAGTAGTAGTAGTAGTAGTAGTAGTAGTAGTAGTAGTAGTAGTAGTAGTAGTAGTAGTAGTAGTAGTAGTAGTAGTAGTAGTAGTAGTAGTAGTAGTAGTAGTAGTAGTAGTAGTAGTAGTAGTAGTAGTAGTAGTAGTAGTAGTAGTAGTAGTAGTAGTAGTAGTAGTAGTAGTAGTAGTAGTAGTAGTAGTAGTAGTAGTAGTAGTAGTAGTAGTAGTAGTAGTAGTAGTAGTAGTAGTAGTAGTAGTAGTAGTAGTAGTAGTAGTAGTAGTAGTAGTAGTAGTAGTAGTAGTAGTAGTAGTAGTAGTAGTAGTAGTAGTAGTAGTAGTAGTAGTAGTAGTAGTAGTAGTAGTAGTAGTAGTAGTAGTAGTAGTAGTAGTAGTAGTAGTAGTAGTAGTAGTAGTAGTAGTAGTAGTAGAATTTATTATTTTGATAGGGAAGGCCCTACATACGTTGCCGTCTTGTTACAGGGAACCCTAAGTGCTCTTTACAGAGCGAAACGAAAACGGATAGATGCTCAACCTGACGACACGAGACAGGCAGAGAATTCCACCTATCAGCGCCAAGGAAAGAAATAGAGAACATGCCATATCTAGTGGTAGCAGCGGGCAAAGAAAGTGAAGAGAATGATTGCCCTCTAGTGCGCCTCTCAGTGCAATTAGCAGCCGACTGGAGGGTGAACATTGAGGAAAGAAGAGTGTGCGCGTGAGGTGAGGTATGTGTGTGTGTGTGTAGTAGTAGTAGTAGTTGTAGTAGTAGTAGAATTTATTATTTTACAAGGGAACTCCCAACAGACGTTGCCTTTTTACTGGGAACCCTAGGAATGACTTGGTGCTTGTGACAAATGCAGAAAGGGGCTTAGCTTGACAACATCCAGGTGGAAGCATGTTCCATCTGTCTGCTGCCAAAAATGAAATAGCATTCAGGCCGTAACGAGACGTAGCTCTGGGTAGGTTCAGAGCGGCTGAAGCTTGACCCCGGGTAACAGCATTTGTGCGGCATGATGCAGAGCGGGGGGTAAACATCGTGCATAAAAGAGGACTGGTGCAACGAGATAGACACCTAAAAACAAACACAAACAGCTTCAAGTTTACACGGCGAGAGAAAGTATACAGGCTATATTTGGTGAGAATGAAATCGATAGAAGTATACTGATCATGGCCAAACACTCGCCTTAACTTAGGCACTTATTACTGGTTGACTCAAGTTTGTCTCGGAGTTTAGCAGACCAGCAATGAACATAACATGTGCTGGCATAGTCCAAGGTACTCTGGACAATTGTGTGTATGTATGTATGTGTGTGTGTGTGTGTGTGTGTGTGTGTGTGTGTGTGTGTGTGTGCGCGTGTGCGTGTGTGTATGTATGTATATGTGTGTGTGTGTGTGTGCGTGTGTGTGTGTGTGTGTGTGTGTGTGTGTGTGTGTGTGTGTGTGTGTGTGTGTGTGTGTGTGTGTGTGTGCTGTACCCGGCATTGGCGCATGCGCGCATTCAAATACTTCGAAGTACGACCAGCCTAGCGTCTGCCATTGTTCTGGGTTCCGGATCTACCAACTGTCGCCTGAATGCAAGGCGCTAGATAATTACAGTGGAGATCCATTTTTAGTCACACAGGGTTCAAGTAGACTCTTCCCCGGTCAGCATACGGTCAATCGCAAGGGGCTAGGGGTAGCGGGCGTAACACTAGCTCTACCGGTATACGCGACCGAATAGGGTTTGTTTCCTGAGAGTCGGCCGCATCTCCTTCCCATGAAAATTATGCTGAGCGCATACAGGCGCGCTTGGCAGGGCCGCCACACGGAAGAGTGATGATAATGATAATGACGAAGCCTCTTTTGCGGGCAAACAAAACACACTTTGCCATGGTGCATGAGAAGAACACAATTCAAATGCTGAAATCAATGATGATGATGGTGTGGTGCCCGGTGGTGGCGTAGAGGTTTATTTTATTTTTATGCTCAATCTGCGTAAACTGTTTCGTCCTTTGTGGACTCATCAGCGCGGCACAGACAAAATGAGGCCGAACCTGGTGGCAATGAAAACTGATAAATGTTCCAAAGCCAGATTTAAACCAGGCCCGAACGTACATGTGTAGTATCCATGCCTGGTTAATACGGAAGTAATACGGAACTTTACCTGATGTATATTTAGTGTATCTCTGTATGTAAGCGTACGGCGCCTGCTGCGTAAGAGCCGCTGTGCATTTCTGTTTTGATTAGATTTTATAATAACGAGCTATCCAACCTCCAGGTGTGCACCGGAGAGAAAGTCCCATTTATTTGCCGCTTCTTCTTTTACTAATAATTATATCCCAGGTGTGTGCCTGAGAGAAGTAGAATAAAACTAACTCTTGTTGATTGCACCGCGCCTACCACTTGGCAGTACCTGTTACACATGTACATGTACCTTGCCAGAGTGCTCAAACGGACAAGTCAGTGAGCTCCGTATAACGCAAACAGCAAAGGCACTACACTACCCCACCTTTTCGAGCAGAATCCGCCAAGGGCTTTGTAGTTATCCGGTTACATCAAGAGTCACATGTAATTTTTGTAATTTTTATTGTTTAAGGATTCCCCAAAGGCTTTCGCCTATCGAGGGGATTTCCAAACTTTCCATAATACCAAATCTGTAAAAGAAGTGATGAGATGATAGGTGAGCAAATAAAGAGATACAGACATAGTCTATGTACACACACACAACAGAGGCGAAAGGCTGTGTTAGCTGTAACTTAACGTTTCACGCATCGGAGCGATCATCAGACAGCAGCATTCACGTGAATACTGATGTCTGATGATCGCTCCGATGCGTGAAACTTTAAGGGGGCAGCCTACCCATAAATTTCATAATTATGGCATTCAATTGACCGTACCTTTGGTGTTTCTCAATGGATTTGAGTGAAAGTTCGACCACACACTCCTGCCACTATGCTGGCCCTCAGGCCATGATTTACAAGTTCTTGCGCCTCACTGACAGGCTTTCCAGGCCGGAAAAACTCAAATTTCCGGCATAGTGCCACGGTGTGCGAGCCACCCAGGAGCCAAACAAATGCATTTACAATTTTTTTCACATTTTCGTGCCCATTCTGTCCGTGCGCGGGACCCAAACCTAAAACAAGTCCAGAAGCAGCCATGGGTGGTGGGGTAGGGCCCCTCAAAGTGGCCCTGCAATCTGTCACAACGGAACGAGTGGGCGTTCTCTCACAGACTCCCACAGACCCAAGTCAATTTTTGAATTTTTTTAGGTTTAGCACATGCTACGAGGTCGTACCTTTGATACAACATCCAGTGCTGGGACCTCCACAGCAAGCCATTTCCACAGCGCTGCACACCAAATCCAGGATACCCTCAGAAACCGGCAAAGACTACCACCCACGTTTCACTACTGCCTAGTACTGAATCCTACCTGACTTCTTGACACGACTCAAACTTGCCAAAGTCACTAAATCAACGTCAACTACAATAATCAAGCCACATATCTGCAACGTCACGAGGGTGCTGGCAAAAGTCCTGCTGCACAACGGCGGGCTTTGCCCGCCGCCGTGCAGCCCAATACGTGTTTTTTTAACGTGATTTTTGGACTTTTTGACTTGGAGCAAAATTCTGCACACTTTCGCGTGTTTCCATGATACGACAAGTTGCGCACGGTCTGCTCACATTCAAATACAGTGCTGCCAACAAAATGACACCCTGCTATTTTACAGATCGTTAATACTACCGGACATGTTGTATGAATCTAATGCCTTCTTCTCGGTTCTCTCTGCGCACCAACGGCATCAGCTTTCGGTCCTCGACAAGCGATGTATCCGCTGCGTTGCCAACCAGCCATTCCCCTCCCACACAGATCCCATCTACACCCGTCTAGGCCTCATCCCCATCATCCAAAACGCCCACTGTAAACTCCGCCTCCTCATGCTTCGTATCCACACCGCCAGAATTAGTAATCTCCTGTCCAAGCGCCTACGTCGCCAGACTGAAGGCGTCACTCGGATCAACGATCCAAATGCGTATGTTGTCCCTGCCACCAGGCGAGTCTCTGGTGACTGTCGGCCGCTCGTTTC